GTCTCCTGCATTGCCCACGGCTCGGATGCCCCCGCCACCACCACCCCTACCGCCACCATCGAGATTCCTGAGACCAGCGTCTTACTACGGCAATACACTACCACCAAGAGTGCCGAGACCAGTCTCTTACTATGGCGATACACGACCACAACGGCGCACTTCGGTCAGCAACATGAGAGATGTTGTGACAGAAGTGGGGAGATCTCAAGGTTCCGAAGACACTCGAGACCGCAGAGAATTTCCAACTCCTTACGCATGGAGTGCAGCAGGTCCACCGTATCCGCCGCCGCCACCACCCACAATACCGAGAGCTGTAACGTACGGGAGACCAGCAACGTACAGCGATATACAGCCACGCCGGCACAACTCAGTGGACGATATCCGGGGTGCTGTGTCAGAAGTTGGAAGATCTCAAGCCACTAGAGACACTCGAAGCCAAAGACCACCTACATATTATCCCCCTCCACAACCTCATGACTGGGATACAGCCCAGGTGCCACCTCCGCTACGACCGCTGCGGAAATCAGTAGTGTTCGATGATGATCTGGAGCCCCAAAAGCGCCGGTCGGCTATCTCTCTGAACGAACTGTACTCATCGCTTGAGCCCGAGACAAAGGAAGCGAAATCCCCCTTACCGGCGCAAATTTCTGAAACAATGCCTGCCCCCCAGTCACTCAGCGAATATCAACGCCCACTACAATCGGACCTCATAGCCGGAGGCATACCGAGTTCGTCAACGGAGACTCTCCCCCTGACCGCGGAAGCGCTGCGGCAGTTCACCAGGAAGTATCACCACAACAAGAGCCGAACAAATCCCGTCGTCCATCAGGAGTCATCTCGGTCTAGCACGCGTGGAACGATCAATACAAGCTCATCGAGAGCGACAAGGACGTCGGCAACAACCGCGGCGACGACCCGGTCAGGCATTGGCGACGAGGACATCGCGATACGTGTGTCGGGGACCGGCGTGCTCCAGATAGGCGGTGCGGAGATTGCATACAAGGATGGCGAAGAAATCAACATCAGCCAAGCAAGAGCAAGTGGCGCAGTTGACGAGGAAGACGCCACTAGACCTGACGACCGACGAGTAGAACAGATGTTTTTGGACATGATGTGGAGACGTGGTTGGAACCATTTTCCCGAACGTGTTCGCCGACATATGCTCGCCTACCCGCCCGCAAGGAAATGGACGTTGATCAATGCGTATCGCCTTTCCCAGTCCCGACGACCGGCAGTGCGGCGGTTTGAACGAGCGCGACAAACCGCAACGGACGGCGATAATGTTGTCGAGGCACGAGTGATGATTGATGAACACAGTAATGACTATATGAAAAAGGTATCAGACAGGGGCTTGGACGATATGAAGTACAAATAAGTCTTGTGACAGCCTATCTAGTGTCCGATCAAGTCAGATGAATTTAAGTCTAGTTAACTACACCAACGTATACACATATCGATATGCTCAATGATATTTACATTTCGTATACATTATCTTATTTATACATGCTTTAGCTGCCACCTTGAGCGTATAGTAGCTTTACTTGGCCCCTGATAACCTCCATGCCCTCAGGGGCAGACTTTGTAGTTGTAGCACCTTCGGCTTGATGAACATCAGGAAGGTCACAACGCCAATGAGAACGCAGATGATGTTGACGGTGTAGTACCCGTCCCGAATCGTCTCGCATGTCCCGCCTCCGTTTATACATCTCTCCTTGTCAGCCTGAATGGCGCAAGAGAATGCCTCTGTTACAAGGGGCGCAGTCAGCTCCTTTGCGGGATCCGGTTTGCCAGGGTGGCAGGTCGCTGCTGTGAAAGCGTCCACCATTTTCAGCACAAAGAACCGCGGGAAAGTACCGCCAAGATTGGAGACGCTGCATACGGTTAGCATCTCGTCGTATGATTATGTAGAGGAAGTTAGACTTACGTTGCAAGCAAGGTCATGTAGGTGCCACCAATGACGGGATCTGCAATCCTAGCGTGGAAAGCCGCCACGGCGACGAACATGACCGTGTTCATGAAGGTGGAGAAGATGTGCTCGAGAATAACCACCACCAGATACCACGGCGTCACACCTTCAGCGGGGAAGATGATGACCGTGAACTGAGCAAAGAGCGCCGCTACCAGCCGTCCTGCAAAGCCCCAGCACCATAGCCGCATGGGCGTGTACTGCTGCGACCATTTGCCCGCATAGTAACCCAAACTCATCTCGAAGGGAAAGTCGATGAGAACCGTCAGCGCCATGTTATCCGTGCCAAAGCCCTTGTCGAGAAGTTTGAGATTTGTAACGCCGTCGTTTGCCTGGAAGCCGATCTTTGCAATAAGATGCACGATGATGATGGTTTGAATGTTCTTCAACTTCAAGACGCCCCACATGATCTTGTACACATCCCAGATACCGTCTTCGTTTCGAGTCTTTTCCTCACGCTTCATGATCGCCAAACCGATCGTCACGACGATGTACGCCCAGCCTGCAAAGGTCAGGTATCCACCCAGGCTGATCAGACCGTAATCCAAGGGTTCAGTGCGGAAATAGCGATTCGCAAAGTCTTTCGAGTTGAAAGCCAAGAAGATGGTATACGAGAGGAATTGACCAGCAGTCAGGCCAACAGTCTGCGCGGTGGAAGCATAGGAAATGTTACCCGGAGTCAAAAGAGTAAGAGCCCAGCCATCGACCGCGATATCCTGAGTGGCGCACATGAGCACCAGGAAGAACCACCAGCCCGTAAAGTTCCACACTGTTGGTCCACCCGGCTTGCCTACAGCAGCCATCATACCCTCTACCACAGACCCCAGGTAGAGCATCCCGATACCAGAGAGGAATTGAATTGGCAAAATCCAACTCTTCCGTCGACCGACCTTGGGGCTCCATATCGCATCCACAATGGGACTCCATAGAAGTTTTAATGAGTAAGGGTATGAAGCCAGACTGAAGACTCCAATCTCGCCGTAAGACATATGATTCTTAAGTAAAAATGGTACAGAGCCGGTCGCCAATCCCAGCGGTACACCTTGGAGGAAGTACAGCAGTACTAGCAGACCAAAATTCCTCTGGTCGTGTATCGGAAGGTCCCAGAAGCCATGGTTGTTCACCGTCGGCGTCTTCGGCACAGCGTCATCCAGACTGAAAGAATCTCGCGCCATGAGGTTCGCCGTGACCGTATCCGAGTCGTGCTGTGCGGCGCCCTTGCGTCGATATTCGATGTTGCTCATCTTGCCGTTTCCGTTGCCGTTGGCGTGGCCGTTCGCCTCGTCTCCTGGCGTGGAGATGGAGAGCGAGGTCCCGTTTTGCTTGGGGGATTTGGCACGTCGAGTTCGGACACCCATTAGGGTATTGTGAGGGTCGTCGTCGTCCGGGTCGGATGAAGCTTCGTCAAAGTCGTCAGCGCCGAGGAGGGCTCGCGTATCTTGCGGATCTGAAGAGAGCTTGGCTTTCTGCCGTGAGGTGGAGCTCTCGCCGTGGTTGAAGACAGGGTACAGATTATCGAGTTCTTGAGCTTCGCCCGAGTGAGTTGGGAGTATATTGTTGTTACTGCGTGAGAACGTCCTTGAATGAGCGACAAAGTTTTCGTTGAATGATGTAGGCATCCATGTAAGTCAAGGTCGCCGAGGTCAAGAGGTCTTGGTGGCCTCTTCAGATCGGCGAACGGAAGCTCAGGGCTAGAGAATATCGGAACAACTAAGGCGATGTCTGCCTCGTGATTGGGAAATGCACGGAGCCACACAGGTGTCGAGCAACAATAGGCAGTGACCGGGGACGGAAGCAAGCGAAGCTCTGTCGGGCGCGGGCAGGGATAGGGCTACCGTGGCCTTTTTGCGACCAGCCGAAGTGGCAAAACTTTGAACGAAGGGACGACACGAAAACGTCAATATCACAATAATCGGCGAACTGAAGAGCCCGCCAAGAATGGAAGAAAGTGAAGAAACGAAAATGCTCCTCCAAGGATTGTGACCGGAGCTCTCTGCGTTGAGATGAGCCTTTCCAGCACTTCTCGCAAATTATCAATCTGGCTTACTTCAGATCCGATCCCACCTTGATAACTTTAATGGTCCGGAGAAAAATACGCCGCCCTCCGCCCTGTCCTCACAGTCTCAGGGGCTTCCTTGTTAGCCAGGAACCAACCGAAAGGCGGGGTGTGCAGTGCAGCCGGGCTGGCGGTTGTTAGCGGCCTAAGCCTAGACGCGTCGAACGCGTCCCCTAGGCTTGCCAGATGCCACCAACACAATCATGGCATCGACAGACTTAGACGACGAAATCGCCGCGCTCGAGGCGCGAGGTAAGAGAAGATGACCAATTGAGAGATAGAGATAGCATCAATTGCTAATGCATCGCAGCCGAGACCCTCAAGAAGCAAGTCAAACTCGAGGCATCAACACTCCTATCAAACATCACCGCGAGCGAGCTCCTCAACGGTCTGTCAAAGCGTGCCCTCAGAGACCATAAGGATGTCCAGGCCTACGCACAGCAGCAGGAAGCCTACAAACAGCAGTGCCTCTACCGCGCATGCGCCAGCATCACCACCTTCAAGGTGCGCGACCCGGATCCGAACGCGGTGGACGGCGGCAAGGTGCTGGGCGTGCGCATCGAGGTCATGAACCGCGCAAAGTTCATCCGGCCTTACTATGTGCTCCTGAACCGACCGTACGGCGACAGTCGCGGCTTGCGTGTGCACAGGCACACAGTGCCGCCGTGCATTCCGCTCTCGGGACTCGCGGCGCGGTACCTGCCGCCTCCTGCGAGAGCGGATGATGGCGAGCAGCAACGGAGCGCAAAGAAGCAGGATCTCGCGCGGTTTGTGAGGACGCTGAGACGGGAGATTGTCAGATATCACAATCGCATTGCGGTCATTGCAGATCTCCGCAAGGCCGTTGGACTCGACGCCAAGAAGAAGAAGGGCAGGAAGAGCCTCGATGAGAGCCCATTGGTGGACATCAGCGCCGCAGACCCGGAGGCAAAGCAAATCAAGGTCGAGTGGAGAGACGGCCGGACAGGACGTCTCATTATCGGCGACGATGGAGAGGTTGTCAAGCTGCTCGTGTTTGAAGGACAAAGCCGTGATCGCGATGCAACACGGGAGCTGCTGGGCGAAGGCACAGCAAGGTTGGAGGACTTGGCCAAGAAGATGGGGGCTGTTTGAGAGGAATGATGTGCCAAACAGACCTCCCACGACATGGTAACGGATTCCTGTGCAAAGCACTGATAACGCGAGCATCTGTTCACTTACGGCTCCGAGCCATCCGACACCATTGGGCGCATCGGGTCCACAGGTTGAGAATCCAGGATATCAAGGGTCTCAGCATCAAAGCCAAGCATTTCGCCCGTGCTTTGGACGATCACCCGATAATTCCGACAATATCCCTACAACTAGGAGTGGTTTGACCGGCACAGGATCCTGGGGACATGGCTCACAGCCCATGACGACACATCCTGTGTACAAAACATCTGGCTCATGCTATATGCCATGCCGTCCAAGCTATAGCAACCGCGTAGGCGAGCTCAACAGGAGAAACGCGTGCGAGTCGTGCCCCATAGCTTAATATACCACGTCATGCGGTAATGCAGCGACCCACGACCCAGTGACGCGGCACACCACCACATCAGGGCCTCTGGAATGGCGGGGGCGGGTCGGGAGCGGACGGCGGATAAGTGTCTGAGGAGGGAGAGGCGGCGAAGCGAGATCAGCTCCCAGCGCGGCTATTCTTGCAGGATCGACCGCCGTCCAAACGAACGGACTCCCTCGCGTCACGATGTGTCATGTTTAATATCAATATTGAGAGCACGCAGACTCTTCAGTTCAGCCCCAAGCGATTCACACGTTCGGTGCGTCTGTAGTCAATGTATGTCTCCTGGGGAATTTGATGAACGCGCTTTCATTACACGATGCATTACTATTATTACAATGCCGAGCCTTCGAACCGACCAAGCAAGAGTCCCAGCTGGTGGGCCACCGATTCCTGTTGGCCCCCTGGATGTGCCTTTCCCGTCCCGTGCTCTCATATATCGTCACAGTCTGTTTTGTCCAACGCCTACCACCGACCATCCAACCAAGAGAATCATACACGCAACACCGATATATTATCCAAGTTAATTACAATCAGGCGAGGGCCCCATCAGACACCGTCCCGCATGGGACACAGGTCTCGCGGCACTCTCTCGCCTCACACCACTGGCCTGTCATCTTGCAAGGCAGCGGGTAGAAATCTGACAGAAATGGGAACAGCGTATGTCGATGCTCTTCGATCGGCTCACCGGTGTTTTCCCGGTGCCATGATGAAGCGAGAAGAAGAAAAAGGTGTGTGTAAATGGTGTGCACAAGATGAAGGGAAATGTGTGTGTGTGGTGTGTGTGTTTTGCTTTCCAGTGACCGAACCGGAAACCCATGCAATTTTTACCATCCCGTTATGCCCTTGGCTGCCTGAAGCCCCTGAATGGGTTTAGATCAGGGCAGCAACGAGCGCCGCAGCAGCAGCCAGCGCACCGCCGGCACGCTGAGCATTCAGCGCCGCACCGGCCGTGACGACGGCGCCCGTCGTGGTGGTGGGCGCAGCGCTGATGGTGCCGACCTCCGTGGTGGTAGGCACGGGCGTCGCCGTGATGACTGGCGGAGTGACGACGGTGGTGGCCGAGACGATCGGCACGCTGGACACGGGGGTCTCGATGCTCACGCTGACGACGGGCGAGCTCTCGACGGGCGGTAGCGAGTACGAGGGCACCTCTGACGACGAGGGCAGCGGGGCATATGTGGTGATCTCCTCTGCTGTCGTCGTCGGGGCCGGCGCCTCGGAGTAGCTGATGACGACGGTGGAGGTGGATGGGGCAGGGGTTGCGGTGACTGTCTCCTCTGTCTCTGTCTCTGTGACGGGGCAGATGGTGGTGCTGACGGGGACGACGACGGTGGTCAGGACTGTGCTGTGGGCGGGGCAGAGAGTCACGGTGGGTGCGCAGCTTGTGACGGTCTGGGTAGAAGTGGCATAGACGGTGCTGGTCGTCCACTTGGGCTTGTGGCCCCAGGTCTTGGTCTTCCAGACCTTTGTGGTGGTAGAGTCGCAATCCTCAGTCGGCTGCGACCAGGTAGGCCAGTGCTTTGGCTTGTGACCATCGTAGTCGTCGTCGTGATCACCGCCAGCCATGGCGAGCGCCGTGAAGGCGGTGAAGGCGAGGATTGTGGACTTCATGGTGATGATGTTGGAGCGTATGTATGATATTATTCTATGTAAGTGAGGTGTATGTCCGGTATGAGAGCAGTTATAATAGAGTTAAGAGATGATGATGCACGGGAAGTCTTCTTCTGTTTTCAGCGAGAGACGAGAACGAATGTGGTGGTATCAATGATACGTGAAGAGAGAGGAAGAAGAAGAAGGACCAGACCTGGTGTTGAAGAGGGCCGGGCTTCCTATTTGAGTGTTTCTTGATCCTCTTTCCTCTCTCCTCTCTGCATCCGCTGCCCACTGGGACAGGAACAGGAACAGGAGACACCGTTGAGCAGGTTGTGGCCATGCGGCCATGCTCTCCAGGCCAAGTCATGCAACGCCCGAACAGGACAGGGGTAGTGTACAAGATACGTACACCTTGCAGGCCACCCGGCTGAATGACGGCAAGGAGGAGGAGCCAAGGAGGGAGACCCCCAGCAGCCTTGTCCAGGGGATGGTGGAAGAAGGGGCATGTTTCCCTACTCGCCCACCAAACACCCACCGGTAGTCGATCAATGTGGTTGTACGCTGCTCCCGTTCTTGTCGTCCCCTGGGCACGAGCGACCACCGAGACAGATCTCAAAAATAGACCGAGGAAAAAGCAAGCGTTTACTCCTAGGAAGGAGGGGACCCTGCGAGCCGCCCGTCTTTCCATGGTGTTCCTCCTCGAACGGCTAAACAAAAGCTAGATGTGATTATTTAGTAGGGAGCAGTATAGCGTTCGATCCCTTGCTTGCCGCACGATCCCCCAGACACAGAGTCTAGATGAAGCTGCGGCTGGTCTCTGGCTGCCGTCACAGCGGCGGGCGGGAGAGAGACTCGTCTAATCCACTCCAGCTAAGACGTCAGTCAGTCTGTGGATCAGTCAGTCAACCTGCGGTATAGTACAATACCGGTATAGTAGAGCACGCCTGTTTCTCGCAAGCATCATCACAGGAGGAAGAGGAAGAGGACAGCGACATCGGTGTTTCGAAATGGGAGCACCGCCACCAGTGCCCTCCCTCCTTCCTTTGGGCTGTACCGGTACTCGAGTAAGGGTCCTCATCAGTGTTCCTGGCCTACGGTATGCGCTGGCCTGGCGGTGAGAGGGTTGATCAATGATCAACGATCAATGATCGGTGCATGGAGCATGGAGCATTGGTGATTCCCCCCTCGTCCCAATCCAAAAGGTGAGGATGCACGAGGCACCGCATCTTCAATGCGACCCCGCCGCGCGAAGAGTGACAAGCACCACCAACCAGCACCGCCCACCTCCCAAGACTCAAGACTCATGCAAAATGCAGAGCCCATGCACGCAACCGCATCGTCGATGGGTACCTGCATTGACGGCACCCCACCCAGCTCACCTTGCTTTATCTTACCTACTACGTACGGACCTTGCCTGCCTGCGCCCATCGCAAATCAGGGTTATCTTAGCGTCCTCTCTCCTTTCGATAGGGGGCCGTAGGGAGCCGTAGGGGGGTCTGCGATCGCAGCTAGAGTCGCTAGAACACAGCGACTCGACGCACCCTGCATAACACTAGCCCACCTTACGCAGTACTAGGCGGCACATATACAGCGAGGAGGCCCAGCACAGCACAGCCTCGGGGGTGCGTGTTTCAAAATCAAACCCAAACCCCAGGCTTGGCTTGGGAAAGTGACTCGCAACTTGCTTCTTTCTTTTCCTGCTCCTCCTTTTCTTGTGCCCAGCCAAGGACACCCTTACCGGTAAACTCGATGGCGATCCCGCCCACAGGAAAAGGAAACGCCGGCTCTTGCACCACCTTGCACCATCTTGGACCATCAACACACACAGACTTCCAAGGAAGGGGGTTTGAGTTGAGTCGGCCAAAGCAGTTCAGTGACACCACATCCCATTTCCTGTGGCCCCAATTGCCGGCGGGATCGCCCATGATGTCAGGAGCCAGGAGCTTTTGCTTGCTTGCCTGCCGTACGTAGATTGCCTCTCTGTCTACTTGACTGTACCTATACTGTATTTCCTTTTGGTCTTGGCCGATTTGCGGCACGAAACACCGGTGCACGGCAGAGCAGGGGGAGCAGAAGGTGAGTCGAGAGACCATTAAGATGGCCACTTAAGGGACAATCAACACCTTATTTTCCCTTGTGTGGTGCGGTGCGAGCTGGGTCTCGTTATTATCCTGAACCCCCGGTCCAACCGAACTTGTCGCCAAAACATCCCTCTTTCTGATTCCAGGTGCTACGTAATAGGGGGCGTCGTCGAAGATCTCGTCCCGTTTCCAAGATTTGGCATCTCACCCCTTCTGTGTTCGACAATTCATTGTTGTTGGGCAAGAACTGCTCGGCTGTCTCCCCATGTTACGACACACTGCATTGCTGTCGATTAAATATTCGCCACTACAACATGGGACAGGATCACGACATGCAGTATGAGGCACAACTGACTGAAACGAGTTTTTGACGATAATTTATTACATGCTATTAGATCTAGCTAGATAGACGGGCCTTCGACGCTTTCACACCAGCATCGAAGCACGGGTAAGAACGAGCGTAAAATCTTTTTCGAGTCCTCCCTCCTCCTTTTTTCCGCTATGCAAATGTGCGTCGTGACGACTTCTCTCAAAAAGACAAAGGAAATAATGGGTGGTTTAAATAGCTTTGTGGGTTCCAATCTTGTGTGGTCATTGGGTTGTGCTGAAAAAAGCAAACTGAATTGCTGAAGGGGGTATCATTCTAGTGCAGTGTCCTTGTGCAAAAGGTCGAAAAAATATTCAAGCAACATGTAATGCGTCGTGAGATCTGCCCCAATTCGCTTCTCATATAACAAAGGAAAATGGTGGCTCGGGTCGTCGCCCGAACCAGATATTCGAGCTCGTGTAAGTGCCAAGCTCGACAGTAGCACCTAGTCATCCTCGAAGAAACCAGCATCATCAAACTCCTCGGCGTGAGCATCAGAATCATAAGCCGAGGATCGCATCATCGGTGGAGTCGACGGCATGCCTCTGCTCTGCCGCCGAGGCGGTGTGCTACGAGAAGGCATCTTCTCCTGTTGTCTGAGGCTTGCAGAAGGGCCGCGCGGGCGGTTGGCAAGGTCCTGGGCTGTAAAGCGCCGGCCAGTGCTCGAGAACGCCGTCGGCTGACCCTGTGATGGCGGGGTTTGTCGTAGCCCGGAAGCGGGCGGCGTCAGTAGGCCACCGAGAAAGCTGCTCTGAGAGGCAGGGCTGTCTCTTCGAGGAGTCGAGTTCTTAGCCGGTGCGGGTGATGACAAGACACTAGAGATGTTTCCAAAAGTGCCTTGGTTGCCGCTCTTTCTCCAATTACCCCATGCAGCTGCAAGAGGTCCAACAGCTTGCGCAACTCTCGGTGTTGCGGCGTCACGGATTGTGGAAGCAATGTTGGGAAGGTTGATTGAGGAGCCGCCGTTCATAGCCCTCTCGCGCTCTTGCTCCTCCATTTGCAGATTGGCCTTCAGCCGGATAGCTGCGTCCTTGACAGCTTCCTTGTCAAAGTCCTCCCGAGCGAGGGCTGCAATTATGTCCTGAAGATCAGAGTGTCTCACATCGAGAAGCTCACGAAGCCAGATGATCTCATCATCACGCTTAGAGATCTTTGTCTCGGCGTCAGGATCAAGCTTGGCAATGAGTTGCTCAAGTTCCTCGATCTTCTGCTCACGCTCTTGCAGCTGCTCCTGTAGAACCATGATAGATTCTCGAAGAGCCTGTGGGGAGATCTTCTCCGGCAGTTCCATGGCCTTCGAAACAGCCTTAGGCTGGGCTAGAGCAGCGGTCTGAAGAGCAGCTTGAACCGGCGACACTGCCTTTGCAGCTAGTGCAGCTGCCCGTGCAGCTTCTTGAGCGATTTCGAGCTTCTCTTCAAGGTGAGCGACACGGTCCTGCAGGTGTTCCGACTTGGATGTCGAGATGCTCAAGCGCTCTAGGAGATTCTGCTCAGCTCGTTGAGCATCCTCGGCAGTGTTGCTAAGTTGGCGCTCATAACGAGCCTGTAGATCTTCCAGCTCGTTCTGATGCTTTCGAGCAAGGTCCTCAAGATCAGAGTTCTTTGTATTTTGCGCCTCTTCCAAAAGCATTTCGTGACGGGCCTTAGCCGTATCAGCATCGAGCTTCACCTGGTCGAGTTGCGAACGCAATTTCGAGATTTGGTCCTCAAGCTCCTCGCGAACGACATTGACTTCATGGTTAGCGTCTTCAAGCTCGGCTTGCATGGTATCACGTGTGCGTTGGACTTCTCGGGCGCCAGACTCTCTTGCTTCCTCGAACTCAGCTTGGTAGCGCAGAGCAGTCTGCTGTAGCTTATGGTTTTCTGTGCGAAGTTCTCCGAGAAGGTTCTCAAGTCTCTTGCTTTCATTAACAGCTCTCATGCCTTGACGTTCACCGTTCTCGAGCCTCTCAATCTCCTTTTCGAGACGCTCACGCGTAGCAGCTTCGGCTTGGAGCCTGGCATCAAGAACTTCCTGTCGTGCAAGCATAGCTTGTTCCTTCTTAGTACGACGGGCGTTCTCCTCGGTGATCTCCCGAGCAGCGCGGGATACGTCTTCCTGAACAGCAACGAGCTTGCTGCGATAGTTGTCACGCAGACGCTCGTTTTCTTGCAGCTGTGTGCCAAGAGTATCGATCAACTTCTTCATGTGCTTGTTCTCCTCAAGAGCCTGGGCGAGGTCATCACCCTGGCGACGAGACACATCAATGGCGCGCTCAGCTTCTGAGCGCCAGTGACGGGCTTCTTGGCGGGCGTCGCGGAGATCGACTTCAGTAACATTGACACGGTTTTGAAGGTCACTCTGTGTTTTCTGGGCGTTCGCAGCCGCTGCCTCCAGCAGTGACAAGCGCATCGTACTCTTGCCACGACCTTCTTCAGTCGACCTGAGCTTAGCCTCCTTCTCCTCGAGTGTCTCGCGAAGACGGTTTTCTTCTTCGGATGAGATTCGGAGAAGGCGTTGGACCTCCGAAAGCCTGTCTTCAGCTGTTCGACGGTTGCTCACCTCCTCCTCTGTCCGATCTTCTTGGTGCTTCAGTCTATCCTCAAGATCGGCAACCCGCTGATCGTAAGCGCTTCTGTTCATGATCTCAACCTCGATCCTTGTCTCGGCCATCTGCAATTTTCTTTCAAAGTCGGCAGCAAGGTCTTCAGCAGTTCTCCTGGATGATATTTCGGTCTCATTCTTGGACTCTTCAAGACGGAGACGCTGCTCAAGCTCGGCAAACTTAGCCTGTAGCTCATTGTATTTGTTGCTTAGATCCTCTTGGCCTTCCAACATGACTGGCTGGGGTGGAGTGGCAGGCATGCGCTTTTCAACAGCGTCTTCAACGATGTTGCGAAGATCCTCGCCTCGGAAATCAAGGTGCAGAGATTGGCTAAATTGCTCCTTCATCTCCTCCATAGCCTTCAGAAGTGGCGCTATGGATTCATTTGAGCCTGGTTGGGTAGCAACAGGTGCCGGCGCATTGCGCTGCTGGTTGGCAAATGCCTCCATGACAGCAACCCGGATTTGCTCCATTTTCTTGTCGCGCCGTGGGCTCATAGAACGACGTGGAACGGGCATCTCGTCGTCTTCATCATCCGCGTCACTATGTTGAAGCTCTGCCGACATGCTTCTTCGCTCACGTCGGCTTGAGGGTGTGCCTCGGGACATAGCAGCAAGCACATGCTGAATGCCATCCAAAGTTTTCTCCATGGGACCCAGTCGAGCAGCCAACAGTCCCCCGACGACTTCATTAACACGGCCATCAAAGAAGTTTGCGCGCGCATCAAGCTTGAGCTGTTCGTCATCACTGAAAGCGCCTTCCCAGTCACTAGGAGGTAGGCTCTCGCTGGTGTTAATGCGATTGACCCCGTTCTCAGAAAACTGAGCACTCTGTGGTGGATCGACAAAAGGGTCTTCGAGCTCTGTCGAAGGCATAGGCTGATGTATCTCTCCGGGCAAAGCGCGGTATTCTCGCGGCGGATGTAGTTGCAGATTCGCCTCGTTGGTGACGGCGGCAAGGGGAATATGGCGTGTAGGACTCGGCTGGTGCCAGCGAGGTGATGCCATAGTCTTATTGACTCCCATGGTTGGATCTTGCTCGTTAAGGTGCTGCATGATAGCATCGATTTCCTCGAAAGAAGGAGAGATATCTCTGCCAGGAGCATCTTCCCCTTCAACAGCCAGAGCTGGTGGTTCCTCAAATTGCGGAATACTGTCTTGTGTATTATCCAGCTCTTCGGTCTCGACAGGGGACACGATTGGTGCTTCTGCATCGCTCTGGTTCGAGATTTGCTCCTCCTCGGGCTCAGCCGGCGGTGATACAGCATATCGTGAGGCAGAAAGACCAGCCGGTGGAGGAGAAGGAGTAGCCGCGTATCTTGATGCTGACAGGCCCTTGGCGACAGGTGAAGGGGAAGCAGCAAATCTTGATGACGATAATCCGGGGGCAGGATCTGCGACTGGAGTTGCCACCCGAGGGGGTTCCGGCTCGTCATGCTGAACCACAACTTCCTCTTCGACCGGTTCCTCGATGGCCTCCTCAGTGGGCTCCTCGAAGGATGCTGGCACAGGAGTTTGTTCCTTCTCGTCCTCGGACTGGGCCCCGAAGAAGGATACCCCAGGCATGAATGGTTTAGCTGTTGCCGAAAGAGTCTTCTTGTGGCGTGGCTTAAACTTGTCTTCACCAAATGGTCTGGCGATATCAAAGTTTTGTACCTCAACTTCGGACTTGAGCTCGAACGGTGCCCAGTTCATAGTGCTCTGGTCAGGGGAAATCTCTGAAGGACTTGTAGTATCCTTGAGATCTGTAGACTCCGAAACCATGGTAGATGACAGTGCCATCTCGGGAGCAACATGTTCCTCCTCCTCTTCCTCTGCCGGTTTATCATCAGCGCTAGCTTGCTCAACTTCGATACTAGGCTCGGGCGTAGCTTCGGAGAAAGAAGGTTCCGGCGTTGGCTCGGCAAACATTGGCACGTCATCACCATCTGCGTTGTTGCCTCTGAATCTCTTGGCCCGAAATTCACCAATGATTCTTCCATTCTCGTCCTCTTGTAGGACTTCGACAGGAGGTGATTTCTCGCGGCTAGGCGGACGGACAATCGGGACAGCCTTGCTCTCCTTGGCAGGCTTGACGATATCTGGAAGGTTAAGGTCAATGTTGCCGAAGATTGAGCTTGCTCTGTTTCCAACACTTTCGCTTCCTGACTGAGGTGGTGTTGTTATAGAAGGCGTAAAGGCAGGGGCATCTGCACGGAACTTGGGACCCGATGCAGAGAAGTTGAAGTTTGTCTGGCCCGGTGAGAACGCAGGCGCATTGACATTGATCTTCGAGCTGGAAACTGTAGTAGGAATACTGAACTGGCTCGAATTGGCAGATAAGGGAGGTTGTGGCACTGATCCAGCCTGGAAAGGTTGAAAAGTGTTGCTCGAGAAAACAAACTGTGAGGGCTTGAAACTGCTTGTTGGGTTGAACTTGAACTCTGGAGCTTCCACATTCAGCTTAGATAGTGAAGGTTTGCTACCATGGCTGGGGCGTCGCGAACCGCCTGCAACGGAACCGCCTTCAGACCAAGGATTGCTCGTTGTCGAGAAAGATCTCTGATGTGGAAGCTTACTGAAGCTAGATGTGAGCACAGGCGTGCCTAGATTGCTGGGGTTTGTCTCGATTTCATCGTCCACTCTCGGAGAACCTCTCTCTTGCGCCGGCTTTGGCTTGTTGAAGCTTCCCTCGTCAGTGCTATCTCTCACTTCATCCTGGTCGAAATACTTCTGAGACAGCGAATGACCTCTACTGTGAGGCTGGGGGTGATGCAAGACCAGATCATCGCCAGCAGCATTAGTACGGTGCGGTAGTTCTGGCGCGAACTGAACAGAAGCTTCTCTGGCATGAACAGGCCCAGCATTCTCAGTTTCGTTGGGAGGGCTATAGTCCTCGTCATGGTCAATCTGAGATCGAATCTGTTCTTCGAGGTGATACTCGGCTTCGTCAATCTCCTTCTGCAGGCTAGCACTCGCGTTGTGGCTGACGAATCGAGGAGGCTCGGGAGTTTTGGATGGGCTCTTGCTTGGTGGTTCCTCTTCAACCTCTCGCAATTCCTGAAGACGAGGTGATGCCCTAGCAGATTGGAAGTGTTGGTGTGGCAGCATAGGATACTGGAGTGACTGGTGGCGCTGGTGCAAGTTCATTCCAGGTTGGAATCCATCCGGCGAGAATGGTGATGTAGGCGACATCATGGAGCTCAAATTAGCAAGAGACGGCGAGCCACCGCGGTGCATCGATTGTTGTTGAAGCAGCATTGCTTGAGGGGAGAAGGGGGAGGTCTGCTGTTCCGGGAAGCCAAAGGGGCTTTGGCCCGCTGAAATCGAAATAGATTGGCGGGGATTGTACTTTCCGTTGAAGGAAGCAGGCGAAGCAATCGAGGTGATCCCCGGGCTCTGAGTTGGGAAAGGGAACTGCTGGATGTGCGCGCTTGATGCGGATGATGTCGGGATCGGAGGTGAGAATGGCAGTGGAGGATACTGTGTGACCGAAGCCTGGCGGCTCATGGCTGATGTCGCTGGCGAGATAGATGGTGGTGGCGCTGGATCGTCATCGCCCATCGATACTCCAAGAGCTCGCAGCTTGGCCTCCAGGAGCTCATTTTGATAATCTTTCCATGCATTCAGATCCGGAAGCATGACCTTATATTTCCGCTCCGATCTTTCTCGTATCATATCTGTCATGCTAGGCCACTCATCTCTGCTCTGAGAGCGGTGCTCGATAGGGAGTGGTGAGTAACCGATCGGGGCATCCAGATCAAACCCATCAATGTTATAGCCCAGCTGCTCCCAGGATCTCAGCATGCTGGTGACAGCAGAAGAGTTAAGAGGCATCGGAGCCTTCCCCGGCCGTCCTCTTTCATCATCTCGTGGGAGCAAAACCAATATGTTCTTGCCTTTCCACGGTACCTTCTTCTTCAGACGCGGCGTTACAGCTGGTTCTTTCTTAACTGCCGCCTTTTGCGGTGTACTCGGTAGTGGTACATTGACGTCGGCGGAGCCATTCAATGAAGCATACTCCTTTTGGGGCGTTCCCGGGACTGCTACAGGAGCCTGGACAGATTCTCCAATACTCTGCTCCATTGCCACGTCAGTGTTAGCCTTCTCTACATCAGGGTTAGACATGTTTGCAACTGCTCTGTTTGACAGAGATGCAAGATTGCCTTGTTTGAGTGTTTCGGTGCTCGATCGTTTCCGCGGATGCCGTCGAGAAACGCGTCGAGAGTGAGCTGCCGAAACAAGTCTTGCTCTTGGAGTTCTAAGATCGTTCTCCTCAAGCCACGGGGCTTCGTCTCCTGAAATTGAGCCGCTCAGTGAAGAGTGCTCACTACCTGTGCCGTCGCTAAGCCAATGGCGACGTTCAGCGTTCTCGTCAGCGGCCGTGTGCTGACGGATCCAATCTTCCGTCAGTCCGCGTACCGGTCTTCGAGCGCGATTAGCAAGGACAGCCGCGCTAGTTAGAACCTGTGGTTGTTCCTCCGATTCCTCGTGGTCCAGCAATGGCGCAGGGCGAAGAAAAGGGGTGTGAAGTTCGAGACGATGAATAGGCGAGTCCTCCGATGGCTCACTACTAAAGCTCTGCCGACGAAGATGGCCTCTGTCAGATCGAGGATACGGAGATCCCCAGCTGGCAGTGACGTATGGGTTGTCTTCGTTCTCAGCCTCAGGGGGCGGTGTCCTCAGGAATTCCAACGCTCGCGCAGGCAACTGAGGCGCAGGGAGCGGCGGGAGAACTGGAGACTGCTCGCCGTCGTCTGCAGTGGATGTGGTTGACAGTGCCGGGGAGCTCGGCGGCGATTGGAGTTGAGACCGAGTCTCTTGAGGACCGTCCTGTGCAGATGCACGAGGAGGAAGTGGAGGCGACGAGTTGGGAGACGACGTTTTTACTTCAACCTTGATGGCGGCAGGGGTCAGTAAGGATGTGAGACAAAAATGCTGGGGTGCGGCCGGTGGTGCCAGACACGGACGGCACCAGCGCAACGATGGGTGAATTCTTACCACGAGGAGATCAGCGCAGACGAGAAACTCGCCGTCTGCAGCTAGATCTCTATTAAATCACGGTGCCCAAAGCTCTTTGCCGCCCCGAGAATATCTCTCTCGTTTTCGGGGAAGACAAAGGAGTTGTTGTCGTCGTCGCCGGGGCTGCCTTTTGGTCGCGATGCCGACGCGTTCCCAGTAAAACGGCGCGCGGGTGTCTGCGTGGCCCTTTTTGCTGGCGACGGAGCTGGTACGTAGACGTGCAAGTCTAGTGACCGCGGGGGTGTTGCATTAAAATAAAGGGGGGGAGAAGAAAGAAGAATTAAAGGAGCGACAGGAAGACAGAAAACGAACAACTCGTCGTAGCCGAAAACATCGGATCGCCGTTCGCGCTGCCAGAAAAGGGGAGACTTCGAGATGAGAGATACTGAAGAGGGCCTCGAAGGTCAGGCTCGGCAGGAGAAGACAGCGAGCGGAAAGACACGCGAAGGACAGCAGCACCAGGGTGGAGGAGGTAAGGTAAGGTTGAGAAGAGAGGTAGGGATCCGGTCGTGAGACAGAGGGAAGAAAAGAGTCGTGGGCCAGCTAATCTAATTATTTTTCTGCTGGGATGTCTGACTGAGAATGGCTGAGTGGCAGCTAGCAGCAGGTCGCTCTTTCTTCATTTGATCCATGCAGCGAGGAGGCGGCGGTACCTACCTTAGCAGTTAGACAGGCCAATTTGACGGGAGCCCTGCCTGCTGGTCGTGGCCAGCGCATTGGCCCAGGCAATCTCGCTCATTCGCCCGATGGAGAATACCCCTTGACCGATGCATGTGCAAGTAGACGACGCGCTCATTTCCGCGTCGAAGGATACCCCGCTCTCAAGTACCCTCTATCAAATGACTTGTTCCTACCCACCGATCCAAAAAAGACCTTCCAGAATCCTGCCATCGTTTGCTGTCATTTTAATAGAGCAGGGTAGCATCACAACCTTGAACGGTTTGCCTCCTTTGACTATACAGGCCCACCGGTTCATGTTCGCGATGCTGTCGGAGAATGACACGACACGACGACACGATAGAGAGACTCTCCAATTGCGGGGCCTTCCCAAGGGACCTCCCGACCTAGGCCGAGTCTAACGGACGGGGCCTAGGATAGACCCTTTCTTTTTGAGCGGTCCGTCTGTTGCTGCACGTGCGAAACGACTCTATTCAACGTTTACAAAGAAAGTTAAACTGACTTCACTTTGTCTACACTTCGTGTCAGCTTGGTCCATATGTTTATTGACATCTCATCCCCTCAAATGTATTCAATGCCATGGCAATTGATAACTTGACAATTTAGTGGGATGTCGAGAATGCTTCGTAGTGGGGCAGCGTAATTTGTCTCTGGTCCCCAGCCTTCCCCAGTCTGGCGGTCGCGTTCCTTGCTCCATATCAACCAAATCTCTTTGAACATAAGCTAAGTTAGCTCCTTAATTGACTTTCGGCCCGCCAGTTCATAAGAGCCCGGAGAACAACAACGCATTGCAATCGTAACTGTTAGATTTGGGTTTGCACAACTATTCAGTGTTTTTTTTTGACAGAATTCATACCTACTCCTCGACTACGAGGTAGTCTAGAAGGCCCACCGTCACTCATATCGCAGGCCTCCATGTTATGTCCCTCGCATTTTGCCAGAACCAAAGACGCTCCAAAACTCCAAGAATCACAACGTAGCCGCTCTTCAGCCAAACCGCAGGGCTCTGCCCTTCTGTATCCCTTTCATCTGACCATCGTGATAAAATTAACTCTCGCAGAAGAAGTCAAAGTCAGCATTCGAGCTAACAAGCGACGTAAACGCCGTCTCCGTCGAGCTCGTTGCCGCGCTCTTGCACTCCGCTATCAACGCACATCAGCCTTCCATCCATCCATCCATTGACCACAACCACAACCAAGATCCTCTCCCCCCCATCGAAACAAGAGACACAGGGAAACTTACTCGTCTGCTGGTCGCAATCACTGACGGGGAAGTCCGCCGTGCCATTGTTGCTCAGCTCCGCGCAGGCGTTGTGCTGGTTGTCGCACGCGCGGTTCGCCGCCGACTGGAAGTCGGTGAACGTGTCGCCGTCCACCTCGAACGGCCGCTGCGTGTCGCCGCTGTTGGTGATGGCCGACGCCTTGATCCCGCCCAGCGCCCCCGTGAAGCTCTGCAGGTTCGTGCTGCTGTCCGCCGACTGCCGCGGGTAGACCACGCCCGCCCCGAAGCCGCGCCGCACCTCCTGCGTGATGTCGAGGCTCCCGGCGTGCGCGGCGACGGCCGCGAGGGCGACGAGGAGGAGGTTGCTGCCGAGCATGATGGTGGTCTTTTTTTGGAGGTGAGGAATAGACTTGATATCCTGCGATCGACGTGTAGAGCCGTGTGAAGTTGTGGAGTCTGTGCAGTGCTATCTCCAGAGTCGGCGTATATTGATATCCAGTACTTCGATTTTTCAGAATCTCGTAGGGTCCGCAACTGTTCAATGAGTATGAAATCGGGGAAAATAAGAACATTGATTCCATTCAAAGTCTTTAATTGCCTTGTCTTGTTGTCGACGTCGAGTTTCTCGGCCGAGCGACCCTGAAACGCGCATCTTCGAGGGGTTCGGTAGAGGACCCGGCCGGTCTGAAACGGTGCTGAGACAACGGTCTCTGCCACCACCAAGCCTCTACTTATCCGCCAGGATAGATACTTGCTGGAGCATCAAAGATTATTGTGTTTTATTAACAAAGCTCTGCCATCTTCTACCAAGGTAGTAACAGTAACCCTCAGTGAGAAGATTATGCTACCCTGGTCGAACTGAAATATGTTATCCTGGCGAAGGAGTATCGCACCAATAAATTGGATGATATCCAGACTGAAAAATGCTTAATTGAGAACAGAGATTCAGATGACAAGTTGACAGGGATCTTTTGAGAATATTGTATTAAAATCATCATATTGGATGAATACAGTGATGTTAAGCTTGGTCTATCGACGCTCGAGGGCGCGGTGCGGTGCGTGGCCTTCAAAAATGACAAGAAATCGCCGTCTCACTCTCTCCTCCCATATCGTCCTCCTCCACTTAGAAATTTCCACCGAGAAAGGAGATCAAAATGTTTTCCTCTCGAGTCCACACGAACTGCTCAGCTGAAGACCAGCCACTGCATCGCGATTCTCATAGACAAGATACGCCTGGGATCCTCTAGTAGTAGCTAGCCGCCGAAGCAATGATTATGTTTAAGGAAAATGAGTCTCTATCCGTTACTTTGGGATATACCCCCAAAAGGTTGTTTTTGTGATACGATGCCATGCCATGCAAAGACTGGGTTTGCCGTCGAACGCCGGTTGACCGGAAAAAGAAAAAAGCAAGATATTGACAGATTGGTGTGATGGTGGAGGGTGGCCTATACACAGCGAAATCGACTATTGCCGGAGTCGAGGCTTCTCACGCTCGAACGACTCGAACTAGAAATTGGACGACGCGTTCACCTGGGTAGGTGCGTGATAGCTCTCGAGCGTGCTCTGGAAGGGTGATCGACCGTTACCGGGGGAGCCGCCAGCGTCGCTCTTCTGCTCGGGCTGACCGAAGCCGTTGTTGTAGCCCATCAGATCATCGTTCTCATCGGCACTCTTCTTGCGGCCCCAGATTCTCCAGGCGAAGAGACCACCGACGGCCAGGATGATCGCACCACCAACACCCACGACGACTCCGATAATGGTGTTCTTAGTCTTGGTCGACATACCCTTGTCATTGTCGCTGCCGTTGCTTGAAAGACTGGCAGTAGGGGTCGTGACAGACTCGGAGGTGTAGGACGAAGTAGACCCATCAGAAGCGGTAGTCATGACCACTACAGTCTTAGTGGATAGTGGGACAGACGTGGTCTTGGAGGTTGATGAAGACTCCTCGGATGATGTGGTGGAGGATGACTCGGAGGTGCTAGTTGGCTCGTCCGAGGAGGTTGAGGAAGGCGTCGAGGTTGTGCGAGGAGTTGTGCTCGTCGTGCGCGGCGTGGTAGACGTAAAGATCGTCGATGAAGGCTCTGCAGAGGTGGTCGTCTCGACGCTGACGATGCTACTGGTTGGTGTGGCATCATCGTCAGTTGCTGTCGCTGATGTAACGGCGGCTCCCGTAGCGCTGGCATCGTCCTGGTCGTCATCTCCGCCTGCTTGCCTCTCCATGATCTCGAAGCTTGCCTTGCCAATGGCGTCCGCGTCGATCATGAATGTGTGGGCGACATGAAGAAAGGAGAGTGCTACGATGAGTAGCTGGAATAATCGTGTCGAGTACATGATGACTGTGTGGTGAGGGTTGATGGGGGTGAAAGGTTGATAGATGGATCACGCTTCCGACGTCGAAGACGATGCCCGAAGGGATTGGAAACTCAATGTCCTCGACAAAGAATTATATTGAGACGACCCAAGCTGGCCAGTCAGTCAGATGCAGACTGCGTTGGCAGAGCAGAATGCTAATACGCGACAGGGACTGTGTCACGTAGAGGTCGTACGGGCGGCAGGAGCAGCCAAATGAAAGGGGGCCCTGTCGAGTTTCGAATCAAATCGACACGGCAACACTAGAAAGCCGACAATACCGTGTCTCTGGGTCGGTCGCAGTCGGTAGTCGTCACGGTCGAGATAATGGAAAGAAACAGTCGTGTATCCGGAGCAGAAAGGCGTCGAAATATGGAGAAGGGAATAAAGAAGCGAGCGTCGAGGTTGGGTGTGTGGTGTGTTGACTGGAGAGGTCAGATTATTAAAAGAGAGTGAAGCAAAGTGTGAGGTGAGCTGGTTGTGGTTGCGTGTTCGAGGGGGGGACGGAAGTACCGTCACACACACACACACACACCAGAAACAAAAGGCCTAGACAGCGACTGCATGGCACCAGCAAAACACACGCAACGTCCTACGACCAAGATACTGGCACTAACGCAAAACAATGACGCATTGTATGCACTTATGTCAACACTCCTACCAAACGGACCCTCAGTCTAGACTGCGGCAGGAAAAGAAACGGTGCAGCAGGTGACAATGCTGCAGGCCTCTCTCGGCTCTACTCGTACTGTACTGTCTAAGCCTTCCTCAGCGCTCACTCACCCACTCACTCACTCGCGGTACAGCACTGAGCCGAGCGCGCAGGAAGCAAAAAGTTCTTGTTAGCGGGAAAGGGGACTCGTATTCAGAACCCACAATGCCCACCTTGGTGCCACCTCCCAGCGAATTACTGCATGGTAGTGCCCGTCAACGACCCACTCAGGGTCCACCGCCCACTGAATGTCTTGGCCCGTCTTTGCCTCGAGCCTCTGTGTGGTCGCTGCCCGTCAACTCAACTGTCCATGCGTGTGTTTCTGCTCGATGTTCAACTCAATGCCTGAGGAACGATGGTCTTGGTCTTGGTCTTGGTCTTGTATCCAAAATTAATCAATCAGCAACGCCCCTGGTCCCTGGACCACCTCCTGGCCGCATCCCGACACCTCAGCATGGCTGCCATGGCTACTGATTGGCTGCTCCTGGTTCTCCATGGAGACCACCATCAAGGGTCATGTACATGTCCTGTATGTTGTGCTGTCAGCGCCGCTGATGAACAGTTGCAGAAGCCTCTTATGCCAGTGGGTAGTCTCTACCAGCTCCCAGCGAGTCCTCCGTCGAAGCCTTGGAAGCCTTGGAAGCCTTGGAAGCCTTCGAGATCTTCACCATCTCGGGCGGCTGCGCCTACTCTGGGGAATTACAGTCTCCCGTGCGCTGTTATGCAGCCCGTACGCATGAAATAGCAGTGGCACCAGCTCAAGACCCCAAAATACGGATGCGCAACCGATCAACACGGGGTAGAGACACCGTCATGCCTCTCGACAGGCTTCTCTCCTGGTGATCCCTTACCCCGAACAACCTCTCCGTCAGAACACAAAACCAAGAATGGCGCACGCGATGATCGCCGTCAACGATGTTTCGGGCGTTGATTGCGAAATAGGAAAAACCAGGTTTCTGCAAATAGTTTCCTGCCCCAGAAAGAAAGGGGTCAAAGAACAGACGTCGGTACAGTATCGTCATCGCCGGCCTGGCATGCCGAAACCGGTTTTCTACCGTCCCTCGCCTATCTGGTCGCCGTAGCTCATTTTGAGTGCACGATTTGCGTCTCTGATGATACCTTACCGCAGAGGTCCTAGAGGCCTCATGCGGAATGACATCGCCAAACGTGCGGCGCCGGTCCCCTCTGCTCTTCGGTAGAAAAAGGTGGAGGGGCAACATGGCTGACATCTGCCGGGCCAGTGACGTGACGTACGCCAGCTGAAAGAGGCCAACCACTCCCCAGGCATCGTGACCTTCCTACAGCGACACTTGAAACAGCAGCTTACACCGCAGTCAGCCAATCGCCAGCATCTGTTGACTTACTGGGACGACCAGCTATATCGGTGAAGCTATATGTTGAAACATGACACTCGCAGCCTTTTTGACTTTGGTTGCAGCTTTGCTCTGTTCGTCGGTGTCCTCAAGACTTGACTGACACAACGAAGCCACTGCCGACTAGACGACGCCATCCACCCACTAAGGGTTTTTCGGCTTGCTCGATGTCTTTGATGCTGCTATTTTGGTCGCGCTAGTGGCTCTGATCGATTCTTCCCGCATTCCATACATTCCTCACACTGTCGAGCAAGCAAAACGCGTAAATGCTTGATGTTAGAGTTACAGTATCGTTGTCTCAATACAATGGAATGCCACGCGTGTGGCGCGAGCATTCTATAGAAGATGCAGTGGTCCCACGTCTTTATTTGTGCTCCCATTCTTTCTAAAAACGGCCAGACAGCAACTCGATGCCTGACTAACTCCCTTCTTACGGTCTGGGACAACGATAAGTAAAGCCAATGAGTTGGTTAGTTAACATCCTCGAAGGATCCAGGGAAGCCCAGACTTCAGCCTCCTCCATGGTCGAAATACCACGACTTTTACCCTTTCAGTTGAGCCGTGGAGAATGGCTCAAGCACCAGCAACCTATAGGGAACGGCGCCGGACCAGAATGGTGGTTGCGCTGCTGCGAGCAAACAGGCTTAAGCTTACTGACGAACCTTAACGTTACACCCATAGCCCCCATAGCCTACTTAACGTTGTCTTATCCTTCGCAAGGCTGAGCATTTCGCACGTTTATGTGAGATTACCTGTTGATGTTGTCCCGAGAGTGCCGAATTGACCATCCTTCGAATCCCACCACGGGGAGTGAAGTGAGCACCATTGGGAGGCAGCATGAGACTTGGAGCCCACGAGTCTCAAATCATGTCATGAGATTATCCAAACATTTGCACACTATGAGCCAGTACCTAGAAAAGACCGAGAGCCTGAAGACTGTGTCCGCAATCAAAACCTGAGGTGTTGCCTTAAGTTGCGACTACCCTCAGGGCAGTCCGACATCACATGGCCGGCACCAGTCTTACCGCAAGTAGGGCAAAACAACTCCGCCTCTCCATGCGCATAAGTGCAGTGCTTGCTGCCCTTCGTGCACTCCTTGAAAGCGCATAATTTGATCTTGTTCGCTTTCTGGTGGCCATAAACCTTGAAGTAGTCCTCTTCTTCTTTCGTATGACCAAACTTGCAACTAAGTTCGCGGGTGCAATACTTTCTCCACTGGCATCGCACCCGGATCTTCTCCTCGTCCCTCTTGAGATGTCTCAGTTTCTGCTCTGAGCGATAGTTCACCTTGGTGAAACCATCAGTGTCGACGCCGCAGTGGTCATCGACGAGGAGGTCATCGTCGTAATCGCCGTCATCCTCGTTGAAAACACGAACCTCCCCCTCTGGTAGCTCCTTGAACCGTTCAGAGATGGCAAGCTCGGCTTTGAGGTCGCCGACGCGTTGGCTGTACTCGAAATAGCTCAGCACGCTAAGCCCCTGCTTCTCGAGCTTCACCTTGCACTCCCTGAACAGACTCTCAAGCTCCTTGTATTCCATGTATCGTGCGAATGCCGGGATGATGACTAAGTCCTGGCTGGATGCCTCGGGACGCACATGAGCGCAGACGTATCGATATACCGGGGTCTTCATACTGGAGATGAACTGATCGATCGCATCGGCCTTGGTTAAGGGGTCGAGCACAACGGTGCTGTGGGCGTTGATGATGTTTCGGTCGACGCGGAAGGTAGTCTCACAGAATCCAATCTGCTCGAGGTAGTCGTCGAGCAGCTTCACTTGGACGAGTTCTCTGCCTTGTGGCTGCATGTAGATGCTAGCCAGGCAATTCTTCCATGACCAAACATGGACAGAGAAGCCGTATTTGTCGCGAATCTTCCTGATAGCCGACAGCAAGTCTCGGTCTCCGGAAACCATAATGAAGGTGCTCGGCATCTGATCACGGTACGCTTCGGACGCCTCGTCCACGGAGTCGGCAACGATTTCCGCATCCACCTCCTTCTCCCGGCCGGTCCACGAGCTCCGTGCGAAGGTGCTAACTTTCACATTGTGGGACTCGATGGCCCTCCACACCGTGTCGACCGGTGGAGGCGTCGATCCATACAAGTTGACTCGTATGTCAAAAGTCTTCTCGTCCGCTCCCAACTCAGAATTCTCCGTGAGGATGTCCTTCAGACGGCCGACGTCGAACCGCCATGTCGGATCCCACTGCACTTTGAGACCTCTCTTCTGGGCATAGGTCTTCTGTCCTTGGATCCACAGATTGGAGTTATCAATGTATATGTGAATATTGCCAAAGCTCCGTTCCCCAGCATGCCCTCTTGTGGCGGCGTTTTGCATGTCGTCAGGTAATATTCTAGCCTGATGGTATGCTTGTAGGACAGCTAGGTCTGGATGTCGTAGCTAAGTGAAAACGAAGTTGGTGGAACATTGACTTAGAGTGCTTGACATCAGGTTTGATGGCTTGCACTTTCGTTTGCTATAGCACATGAAACAAAGAGAAGGGTACTTGCAGGATTCCAGACCTCAGAATGGCCGTTTTCTTTCAAGTGAATGAAAACTGTGTGATGTATCACACGCGCATCTTGGTGCTATTCTTCTTTTCGGAGGACTTTCAATGGCTTCGCGCCATTAAGGTATCCAATGCCATGTGATTGCTGCCCAGTCGTGCAAGCGTCGAACCTCTTGGGTGGCAGCCTCACATTTTGACCCATCTTCCTACGTAGTAAACGCCAGGTGACTGGTCTACAGCACATCATACATATTTTCGTTTTTACCCAATCGATTGTGCAGTAAGCAACCCAATCAGCCACCTAAACCTGCTTAAAACGATGCGTGATTGATATGTTGGTGATACAAATACCCTTTGCTCATAGAGCCTACTATGTATCTGCTGGTGCACCAAGCTTTCGCCGCCGATCAGCATGGGGAAGCAATGCTTGTGATAATTGAGCACAGTATAATCCTGTCGACCTAAGTTTATGCCTTTTCTAGGAGATCTCGGATTTCATCCAACCAAGCCAAATCGAGCGGGCGCAGCCCTCTTCTCTCCCTGAGAGTGAGATCTGCGCCTTCTTTCAAAAACAACTTGACAATACTAATATGACCTTTCCATGCGGCAAGGTGCAGTGGTGTGTTGCCATTGTAGTCCTGTGCATTGATATCTGCGCCGTTCCGCAGTAGTAGCTTTGCGTTTGCAAGGGAAACGTCGGGGTCATATGCATGTATCTGAAGTGAGTCGTAGCTATACAGAACATGGTGCAAAGGGGTCATATCGGAGTCGTCTCGATCGCTAGGAGATAGCCCGTGGTGAATGAGGAAGTTTAGAGTCTGCGGAGAGTCTGGTCCTGTAGCCCCGGCGGCCGTATGAAGTACCGTACGGCACTGCTCGTCTCTTCTGTGAATATCTGCTCCATTGTCGAGCAGCCACTCAACTGTAGTAAGATATCCAGTAGCGGTAGCAATGTGAAGTGGTGTGATGCCGTCGTTCACTGGGAGATTGATGTTCGCGGAATCCCCAAGAAGCCTACGGAGAATGATTTTATGATTTCGAAGCTTCGGGTTTCGTAGGGCACAGTGGAAGGGTCGATAGCCTTGAACATCTTGGATCGAAATATCAGCGCCTCGATCCAGTAGTAACTCGATATAGGTACTGGAGCCAGATGATAACGCTGCTAGGTGTAGTGCGGTGCTTCCCTTGCTGTCCAGTGCGTCCACTTCTAACCCCTTTGCGAGCAGATAGGACAGGACAGAGGTCGAGCTGTTGTAGACCGCAGAATGCAACAATGTGCCGCCATTGCCTCCAATACATGGATTTGTCAAGTCCGTATCATTCTCAACAAGATATCGCACGGAAGCAAGGGATCCCGAGGAACACGCCAACTCGAGAGCATATGCATTACGGTAACGCGTGCTGGAGAATCCTTCGTCCATCTCCACAATCGCTTTCAGCGTAGTCTCTGAGCAGCCTGTGAGAAACCATATGCTACACTGTATTTTGAACCCAAATGCGCCTGCTTTGACTTCCATATCCATTGAGACTAACTGAAATACTCTAGCGAGGTTGTTCTGGAGTTGACGAAACTCCCATAGCCGAGGATCGAGCTGTTGAGAATTAACCTCTTCTATGAAGCGGGTCATCTATGAGTTTTTGGAGTCAGCAACTGTCTTTACTACAAAAGGAGTCTAGAAAGGCTGATGTTGAATATAAATCCAGAATAGTAAACAACTAGGAACATATCCTTTGCATTTATTACTCAAATGAGAGGTACAGTGGAGGGAAAAGGGGAACATGAACGCAGCAATTGCTTACCAGGCCCCATATGATACTTATACGGCTCCACCAAGTTGACATGACAGCCGGGTCGTGATTCAGTATAGTCCGAACAATATCAATATTGCCCGAGTATCCAACAGCAACAAGCACAGAGTCCAGCCACATATCCGGGCCCACCTCCCAAGTGGTCGTCTCGCTCAGGTCTGCCCCAGAATTGAGAAGCATCTGGACCAAATCTGTGTTTCCACTCACGCAAGCCATTGTGAGGGGCGGAACTGATTTGCTGTCCCGAATGCCACAGGCAGCTCCATAGTCCAGCAGGACCTGGGCAGTCTCCTTGCTTTCGTACTCCACGGCGAGCTGTAGGTAACTTCCATGTTTTCTGATCCATTGATTGACGTCGAGATCACCTTTCTCGCAACGATACCTAACAAGGCTTGTTAAGTTATGTTCCACCGCAAGTTCTGTTAAGCCGTAATCCTCTCGAAGCATGCCGTTCGGCACGAGGCAATTGTAGATATGTCGCCAGCATTCGAACGTTCCGCTCTCACGACCAAGTATATCCTCAATGAGATCTACTTGGGGCATACTAAGCTTTTCGGCGCTATGGCAATGGAAGATCCAGTTTTTGACCGCATAACTAAGGAACGGGAGCTCGGCGAGGATTAAAGGTTCCTTTATACCCACAGTCCAGCGCTGCGGGAGGTCTCGCACCTCAGTAAGTCGCAAATATTGAAGGCACGCTTTCGCTAGGATGGCGTGCCCCTCTGCCGTGAGTTTATCGGGATGATAGACGCGGGACTTCGATTCTTCACTACTAGTAGATAGAAAGTCTTTAACGGATTGGTGGATGAACTGAATGATCCCTTCGGATGGGTTCGAAACTCCTAAATTCTCATCCTGAGCCTCAACATCAGGATTAGTACGGACCTCCAGAAGCCCACCACATCTGCTCCGAATTCTTCTTGCTATCATGGTCCCCTCACGGACCACGTTTCGTGACATATCAAGATCCAGCTGGGAAGAGTATTGCGTTTCTCCGCAAAGAGCTGCTATAATGCGGAACTCCTGTAATGTGAGAGGTCGTGCGGCGGTAAGAACTACTGAAAGCATCATATTTGACTCATTGATATACCGTGCATCAATCTGCTTCAAGAGCATATCAAATATACCCTCTAGTTGATTTGGGATGTCGCTGATGATCTCTCTGAGCTCTGCAATAGTGGCTCCGTCCAGGATAGAGGTAACTACCCGTTCTAAGGCGAGTCTAGCCCATAGAAAGATACCATCGGCTTTCTCAATAAGCTCGCTCTTTAGTTGGTTCATTTCCTCGCCAGAATCTTCGTCCAATCTTGCTTGCGTCCACTGGTCGCAAATAAAGCTGGATATGTCGGACTCGTTCTTCTCTTGCAGCTTGAAGCTACCATAGAGACTAGGGAGACGAATATCAGGTAAATCGCGGCAAGAAAAGCAAATCCGTAGATTGGATGGTTGACTACTGTTGCTGAGATCGTTAAGGAAGTGCACTAGATAATTCACTCCAAGCTCGATCTGGCACTCATCAAGAGCGTCCACAAACAGGTATATTTTGAATGATTTTGATCCTTCGCCTAAGACGGCCCGAACCGCTTGTTTCAGTCTTGTCAGGGGCCACTGAGCTTCGGCCAGCGACTGAGCTGCTCTCTCAGCAATGCAATCGGGGTCGCCACAGAAATGAACCTCTCTCGCGACAAGCCATTCGTCTGCAATGAACTGCGACATACTAGGCTCCTGCTGAAGTGCCTGGATCAGGATAGATCGGAGGAATCCTTCCAGGGAGTATTCAAGTGGCTGCCCTCGTTGGTTGAAGAAATGATGGATGACGAGTGAGTGGCTGTCAACGTCCTTCCTCGCTCGTGTAGTGATCGCGTTAAGCAAGACGGATTTGCCACTCCCTGGCTTTCCGGACACACAGAATAGGCCACTGCCGTTTGCAAACCATTGAGAATAGTCGCTTTTAATATCCCATAGCCACCCAAGAGTCTTTCCATGTGGTTCATCGCACCTGTCAATAGGACTAGGAAGGCATGGATCTACCAAGCTCTCGAGACATTCTTGCTTCCTCTTGAACATGGCTTCTCTGTCTCTTGCCTCTTCGATCTCTTGTAGAACGGTATTTATCTTCCTACGAAGAGTCTCATATAGCACCCTGTACGCATCGTCTTCGGGGCCGTCGAAGCGAGCGATTGTGCGGTGATCTCTTGCAATAGGGACGTTCTCCGCCAGCTCACTGTCGAACACAGCTGAGTCCTTGTCAACAACCAAATCTCCAAGTCCGGGCAGCAAGACCTGTTCGTAGAAATTCACAATGGAAATTTGACCCTTGATCTTCATGAAATCGGAGTTGGCGACGAAAGATTCGCTTGCTCGCGGCTGTAGCATAGATTTGACGTTGACAGGAACCTCCCGATTCGCAATCTTGCCAACCTTGATCCCCAGTTGAGGTAAAGCCTTGTCAAGAACATGGCTTCCACGATGGGGGGTTCCCAGGAAGAATACAGCTTTTGTTGACTGCAGGCAGTGCTCATCGACCTTTCGCCGAGAGCTAATTACAAGCGTCTACTAACTGTCAGACTACTATGGTATTATGATATGTTAATTGAGGCCAGTGAGATAGGCAGTAAAAGCATTGCGAGCATGCAGTAACTGTAAACGAAAGCCAAGTGAGAGTGGTGCCCATATTTTGGCTTTCTCGCATAGTAGTTCATTGAAGTGTAGACTAATGCGCCTGACTTGTAAATACTGACCTGTTTGATGATTAGCCCACCCAGGCTATGTCCGACGAAGACAAGAGGTCTAGTGGACTGAAGAGAGAATAAGCCCTTGAAAATCCGCATACGAGGTCGAAAGCACATACCAGAGGCCCCTGCCGATGGTTCTTCAGGTGAAGTAATAGACTTTCGGCATGTTGATACACTCCTTGAGAGTTGGTTGAACCTGAAGAAACATCTGCAATGTAGCCAAACACCGCGATTCGTGCTTGAGGGATGAAGCGTTGAATATCGTTTGGCCAGTAGAACCCTGTTTCCTCATTATGAAATGTTCGATAGGGACTACCATTTAGCCCATGGATGATGACTACGCTAAAACACCATCATTTAGATTTATCGAGACACATGAAAAGACAATACGACTTACTCAACTCTCGCACGTGGCGGTTCATGAAGAAACGTCAAACCCTCCCTATGGAAGTTTTCAGGCTGATCCTTGGACTTCGGCATGGTTGATTTTGTGATGATGTTGCTGCCAGATCGGCGTGGTTGATGCTGAACACATTAAAACCGGCGATGGATAGGACCTACGACGAGGCTCCCAAGTGGTTGGTTCAGGTTTATTCTTCGGTGTAAGCAGTCCTTATTGAGGCAGCCATGTCTTTCTAGACTTGTTCAGGCGAACGCTTCAGCGTGCATCCGGAAAGCCGCGCGTTTGGGATGAGGCAGTGTGGCGATGGATGCACAGCCCTCCTGGAGATACCTATAGGTATGCCTTGGCCATTCCTTCTGCTGCAGCCGCAAACAGGGAGTACGACAAACCTCCCAAGAAGACCAGCAAAATGAGAGGGCGCAGATGCCACTTGAATGCGACTTCGTCATAATATGACAGGAAAAGCATGGGCCACATATGCTGCCTTAGAAAAACCCGGGTTTATCGCAACGAGTTCAACTTGTGTATGCCCAATTGACGCCACTGTCACAAAGAGTTACCAGCCGAGCCACTTGAGCTGAGCAACCTCGAAGCAAAGCCTCGCGCAGGGCTTCCCAATAAATAAGGTAGCTGACCAGCAGTGTTCCCGATATCGTGTTACTGCGATAACTACCTTGGTGATCTCCGTTTGTGCACTCTGCTGTCAACGGTAGGTAGTACGCATTGATTGTGTTCTGCTATTGTTCGACTGTATCGAATTTCCTGTGAAGAGGAAATCCAACTATTAATTGCAAGTTATGGGTATGAACCTCTCTTTTGAATCTAAATCGTTGCAACACTGAGTCTCAAGGAAATGCTGATTTTGGTACAGAGGCAAGCTCGCCAAAAACAGAATTGGTGACAAAAAGACACTTCTTCCGGCGACTGCGCGCACCTAAGCAAGATGTTGAGCATGTGGGCAAGGTGGCAACAGTACAGACCTTCTACGAAGGTCCTTTCCAGGAAGATGATCCCGATAACATCAATTGGGTTGAGTGGGCACCGCCATCGCTACCTGCACCGAAAAGGAAGAAATTCGAGGGTGCTGCAGTTCAAGTGTACAAGCGTTTGAGCAGTAATAAAGTCACTGGAGTGACGGAGTCTCGAAGCTTTTACACCTACATGATCCGCCTCCAGAGCCCCTTCATTCGCGAGGTCTTCCAAGAAAAGTTCAGACTGCAAGGTCTTAATTACGATTCCTGGGACTGCGCCGACTCATTAAGGAATCACCGAGCTCTATTCCATGCACGAGAGGAGATCGCCGAAGTCGCCAAAACTAGCGATGATGAGTTGACTCAAAGTCATTGTGAGATACTGTGCGAAGTCATTGAACAGAATCTTGCCAATACGCTGGACGGCTACGAATCCTATGAGAAAGATCAGATGATAAGCTATCAACATCTATGGACTCTCTTCCCTAATGGAGGTGTTTTCGCGACCTATTATGATAGTCAACTGCGTGCCTTTCGAGTGAGATCATCAACTGAAGACTTCCCGCTCTTTGTTGAGTGTGAGGAAATTCGCTTTGATGGCTCCCGATATGGTTACGACAAAATCCTGCTTGAGTTCCCAGAGTTTGAAGGGAAAGTACATGTCTCAAAACTTGTACCATTTCCGTTTATTGATTTAAATCGCAACCCAGCGATCAAAAGCCAGCTTTTGGAACGTAATCGAAAAGTTCTTGAGTATCAATCGCCCCAGTATCTAGCTCACGTCCCGCTCAAGCAGAAGTTCATAGAGAGCCAGAATGTTGTGGCTTGGTATGCAGACGAGGTACGTGAATGTATCACGATGGGGCTCTTGCCCTGTCTACTCACATCTCCACCATACGCTGATCGTCTTATAGGAGGATGAAAGAGTGATGATAGATCCTTGGCTGCATGGGACGGTCACAAAGAAATATCTGGATCCGTTACCAGGCTATTTCAAAGAGGGAACCTCGAGCCCGGAAGCACCAGTCACTACATCTGATAACGATGGTTCGTACATCTTCTCCTACATAGTCTCTTGTATATCAGCTTCTATGACTGACACCTGGCTGAAGGCAAAGACAAAAAGCCACGTCTCACACGCCCCACCGAGGAAGATATTAAAAAGAACTTGGGAATTGTCTTAGAGGAGGAGGAAAACCTCCTGCTGCTTTGTCCCATGCTCGATGGTTACTCATTAAGGGAGGACAAGTGGAGTAAGGAATTGCTATACTGTCACAAGTCAATCATGACTGACATTTGATAGACTCTTATTCCGTTACCGAGCTACAACCGTTAAAACTCGATAGGACGGTATTCGACAAAGTGGTGTTTGATGAGAAGAAAAAGGAGCTGGTTCGCTGTTTGACTGAGCTCTATGTAGACTCGAATATTGCTTTCAACGATCTTATCGCTGGAAAAGGTACTCAGAGTGGTCTCTTTCTGAACGTCACGCGATAGAGTGCTAACAAATATATTCATGCTAGGTCAATGTCTACTTATTCTCTTGAGCGGAGATCCAGGAACGGGAAAGACGCTGATGGCTGAGTCTTGTGAGTCAAATGCCCCTATATACGGTGTGCACAACTAATCCAGTAGTGGCCGATCATCTAGAACGTCCTCTACTCAGAATCGGCTCCATAGACGATAAGTTGAACGAGGACTCTAGTCGTGGATCCGAATTCAAATCCAAAATAGACAAAGCAACCGAATGGGGAGGATTGGTGCTCTTTGACGGTAAGTCAGAATGTAGAGACCTTAGTGATATCGCCCGAAATTGACCGTGTGGTAGAGGCAAACTTCTTGGTGCAGGAGAGAAAAGGGGTAGAGAACTTCATATCAGGTTTGACTTCTCACCACAGCCTTGTCAAATTTTCTCTAATGTATGGAGCAGCATTCATACGGCATATCGAATACTTCAAAGGTAAGTGACCTGGACAATCCTCCCATATAAGAAAGGAAAATCCCTGACAAGTTGACAAGGCATCGTATTTTTGACAACGAATTCGACCGAGGCCATAGATGCCGCACTTCTGTCGCGCGTACAGATTCATCTTACTTTTCCGTCCCTGACAGCACCAAGGCGGATTCGTGTCTGGAATAATTTTGTGAAACGATTACCAGAGGAGATCGGCTCTCTCTTTCCTTCTGATGTCGAAAGACTGTCAAAATGGAAGATGAATGGCCGAGACATCAAGAATGCGATCAACATGGCAGTTGCATGGTGTCAGAAGAAGAACATTCCCCTGACTGCCGACGCTGTGGAAGATCTAATAATGCTTGTGAACCCGTTTGCGAGTAAGGAACTCATATCCGCAAATGGAAAGCCTGACAAGAATGGAGTCAAAATCTCGGCAATAGAAGAGTTAAACAGTAGTCTTTTGGACTTTTAGAGGCGGATCTCGTTCATCATTGTAGAGCGATGGCAATGTTGATTGGAGGGGCATAGAACGGCGGTGGTGGGTGCGCATACTATCTACAAGAAGAGCAGTCTATGGCTGCGATTTCATAAGAATTGGACCTGTTGATGGATCAGTAAAGACTCCTTACGATCATGTCCGATTGATACATACAACGTACATATCATTATCTCGATTTATATACAACCATAAAAGTTAGCCAAGTCTATTCTCTACCCATTGAATTGAAGATTGTATGAGCTCATATCCGTATAGTCTAGGTAAGGGTTGCCCCGAGCGTAAGACAACGCCCTGTACCGGTTAGGTGTTTTGGTTGTTACAGCGCGTACCTGCCTGAACTGCTTAGGTTGAGTCGTCCAAATTCCCGTCGCACAGTAGGCTTTCAACCAAGCAGTTGCACTATGGTTTCGAAGGAGGATAGGTCCGTATGCAATTGAGCAAAAGCTCCGGCTTGATTTTCGTAGGATTTCCAGCTTGCGTAAGGGTGATTGTCTTTATACTACATAGAGGCTCCTTCGTTTGTTGCGTCACATGCAGAGAGCGTCGTCACCAACCACCTGGAAATGCTCAATTTGGTGTTTGATAGGCGCTAAAAACATTTCGCCATTGTAAGCTTTGTCTGAACCGCATCTAAGCATCTCAATGTGGTGAAGCCGCTATCTTCCAAAAGAGGCAGGAGCAATCAAGCGGAACTGCTGTGTTGCGTAAGATGGCGAGTTGGCGCAAACATAAACATGGTCAAACAGACATTTGAAGATAGAAAACTGAGGAGGCGACAATGCAAGGTTTAGAGGGAACATTTTGAGCTACCACGAACACCAAACCTTTGCCATGAAACACCATCCGTCTAAGGTATTCGAATGACAGACCACAACATGCTGCGCAAAACTTTGACAGTTCATTCTTCGCTACTCTTCGACCCGAAGAAAAAGGCATTTGTTAAGAATATTTCAATCCAAGTTGACTGCCAAAATGGCTCCATTGCCAACGTCTTTCAAAGGAAGTCTGACGATGAGATCCAAGATGATGACATTGACCTGAGGGGAAAAGTGGTGATGCCTGGATTTGTTGATAGCCACACTCACATCTTTCTACATTCTTACACGTAAGTTGGAAGCCGTACTTTCAACCAAAGTAGAGTCTGACTGACCATTATTTCCCCTTCAGCGAGCGCTCGTCCACTGAGCAGATGCGAGATGAGAGCATCGTAGAGAGAATTGTGCGGGCGACAAATCATGTTCGAGAAGCTCTGCTCGCAGGCTACACCACCTACCGGGATCTTGGGACGGAAGCTATGGAGAACTTTGATGCAAATTTTCGCGACTGCATCAACCGCGGGCTTCTCCCCGGTCCAAGACTCTTCGTCGCGACCCATGCCTTGGCCAGTACCTCATCTTACGCGATCCGGTCCGAGAATAGACAGAACGGCTTGGTGCTACCGCAGGCTTCGGATGCCGGAGACGGACCAGACGGGGTTAGAAGGGCGGTTCGACGGCGAGTAGGAGATGGCGCCGATATCATCAAATTCTACGCCGACTATCGACGCAAGATCATGAGATTTCCTCCGTTGCCGTCTCATGTAAAGGGAGGTATCGAGTTCCTTCCACCTGTCCCGAACCCAGCTATTCCGCTGTTCAACCAGGAGGAGATGATTGCGATTGTGGAAGAGGCGAAGCTGTCTGAACTGCCTGTCGCGGCACACGCTGGTTCTTTCAAGGGAGCTATGATGGCTGTGAAAGCTGGCGTGACGTCTATCGAGCACGGCAATGAAATCACAGAAGAGCTGTGCCAGGAGATGGTCAAGCGCGGATGCATATTCGTTCCTACCCTAGCCGTCTTCGAGGCTGAAGCAAAATCTATACTTCCTGAATTCCTCACGCGCTGCAAAAAGGCTCACGATCTAGGCGTCAGATTGGCCGCTGGCGGCGACACTGGAGCTTTCCCTCATGGTGAGAGTGCTCGAGAGTTGGAACTCATGATTGAAGCAGGCATCCCGTTAGAAGACGTTCTTGAGGCGTGCTTTATCGGAGGTTGGGAAGCCTGTGGAAAAGACAAATGCGGGTATCGCTTTGGCTGGTTCGAGAAAGGAAACAGAGCAGATATAATCGCGCTAGATACAGATCCTCGGGATGATCCGAAGGCGTTGCGTAAGGTCAATTTCGTTATGAAGGATGGGCGGGTTTGGAAGAAAGAGGGTGCTGCGGTTAACATGGCTCTCGAACATACGTGGACGAATCCATAGAGGAATTGGGATGGCTCCTTGAGACCTTCCCATCAATTATGTCATATGAAGCTGAGATATGTGTCGCTCGCTTATACACATTGCCAGAAGCTAGATGTCATGATCCCATCGCCAGATGCCATCCTTCTCCACACAACCATGCCCCCATGTTTGCGATGCAATGTAACAGTAACAACCCAACTTTCCCCTCATTCCCCTCCAGACTTTGAGGAGACCAAGTGGATTTTAAACATATGGTCCGAAACGGACCGAGACGATCGTCACAACTTGCATCCACAAAGGTCGGCACAGTGCAGGCAATCTCGGCATTCGCCATCCTTGCATGGAACCGTCATTTGCCATGAAGCTTGTGTCGACACACCGCGCCTCCACAGTAGCGATTCACCTGCCCGCTTCTCAACCCATCCATGCCTAAATTCCACGAACCACAGCATCCAGGTTAATTGCGAAAATGTGACTTCAACTGCAGTGCGCTTCGCAATTCGGGGTATTGCTCGGAACCTTCTCCAACATCTCCAACTCGGTGTACATTGGTAGATAAGGTATATTAATTAGCAAGGTAGATATCATTGACGCGCAAGTATGTGTATCATTTCCTACCTCCTCACCTTGTAGCCGTTTTTGCTACTGTCTTGGGATCATGAGACTGTCTACTTGTCTTACTCTTGCGGCTTCGGCTTTTCAGGGATGCAATGCACTTGCTCTCGGAGGCCGTCCTAATGCACTCATCCGGAGCAATCCGGAGACGAGAGCTTTGCTGCAGGATATCGTGACATGGGACGAACACTCACTGTTCATCAATGGAGAGAGGGTAATGATCTTTAGTGGAGAGTTTCACCCCTTTAGACTTCCCGTCCCATCTTTATGGTTAGATGTCTTTCAGAAAATCAAAGCTTTAGGTCTGAATGCAGTTTCTTTCTACGTTCATTGGGGCGCTCTCGAGGGCAAGTCTGGCGATTTCTCGTCAGAAGGTGTCTTTGATTTGAAGCCATTCTTTGAAGCAGCAACGCAAGCCGGGATATACTTGATAGCTAGACCGGGCCCCTACATCAGTACGTAATGCTGCAACCTCGTTCCCTACATCATGATGCTGATCACTCCGAAGACGCTGAAGCGACTGGCGGTGGGTTCCCAGGTTGGCTACAGCGTATACAAGGCAAGTTGAGGACTTCGGCTGAAGATTATTTAAATGCCACGGACAAGTATGCGGCTCTAGCCCTTGCAAAGGACATAGGTATTGACCTCGTGAAAGCTACATGGCAAATATCGGCAAAATCATTGCGGACGCACAGATCACAAACGGCGGCCCTGTCATTCTTGTTCAGCCTGAGAATGAGTACACCGGCGCTGTTAGTGGAGTGCTCTTCCCCGATCCAGCATACATGCAATATGTTGAAGATCAGCTCCGTGATGCTGGGATTGTTGTGCCGCTTATCAGCAATGACGCCTCCGCGAGTGGTCATAATGCTCCTGGGACTGGAGAAGGTGAAGTGGACATTTATGTAAGTACCGTCGTAAGCGACTAAAAACCGAGCATCACTGTCGGCTCTTCATCACCGACACTTACTTTCACCATATCGTCTGTCGAATAGCTAATCTGCTGGCGTTCCTTACCTGTTATGCAACAGTCATTCTTCAATTTCCAATCACGCAAACCTAACCTGAAATAGGGGCATGATGGGTATCCTCTAGGCTTCGACTGCGCCAACCCATATACTTGGCCGGCTAACAGTCTTCCAACTTCTTGGCGCGCAACTCATTTACTTCAGAGTCCTACAACGCCATACAGTATTCCCGAGGTAATAACCAGAATAAACGCGGATCACTTTGCAATTGCTAACTTTAAGTAGTTCCAAGTGAGAAGTCGTCAATCGAGCGGTTCCAATAAGGAATTTGTCTAACCAATATAATAGGGCGGCTCCTTCGATCCTCCTGGCGGCCTGGGCTTTGACCAGTGTGCTGTTCTCTTGAACAACGAGTTCGAAAGAGTCTTCTACAAGAATGACTACAGTTTTGGGGTTACAATATTCAATCTCTACATGGTGAGTTATCATTTTGAAACCTGTAACTCGTTCTCATACCAATTACAGATATTCGGCGGGACAAACTGGGGCAACATTGGCCATCCGGGTGGTTATACATCCTACGATTACGGCGCCGTGAGATTCTTCTTTTCCGATCCTAACCACCTAATATATCGCTGACTTGAAAATAGTCAATCAAAGAAGATCGCACGGTCACGAGAGAGAAATATTCCGAGCTCAAGCTAGAGGCTCAGTTCCTAAAAGTGTCTCCTGGATATCTTGTCGCAACCCCAGGAAATCGTACAACCACCACATACAGCAACAACGCTGATATAACAATCACGCCGCTGATCGGAAGCAACGGCTCCTACTTTGTGGCAAGACATACTGCGTATAACTCACTTGACTCGACGACCTACAAACTCATAGTACCTACTTCCCTTGGCAGCCTTAGCATCCCGCAGATCTGCGGCTCGCTCACCTTGAACGGCCGTGATTCGAAAATACATGTCACAGACTATCCCGTTGGTGACTACACCATTTTATACTCTACTGCTGAGGTCTTCACGTGGAAAATATTCGATGAACGAACGATACTATTTGTCTACGGTGGTCCCGGTGAGAGACATGAGTTGGCAGTTAAGAACGCCGCATCTGGGAAGCTTCTAGAAGGAAGCAGTGTTATTCTAAAACCCTCGAACGGCTCTTTAATTGCCCATTGGCGAACGGGTACGGAAAGGCGAATTCTCCAAGTTGGCAATCTGTATATCTACATTCTTGGTAAGATTTTATCCCCTAGGTCTACGATAATAAACAAACCCTAACCTTGCCACAGATAGAAACTCAGCGTACGAATATTGGGTGCCCGAGTTATCAAGCGGCTCTGATGCCTCTTCCTTAATTATAAAGGGCCCATATCTTGTGCGCAGTGCCTCTATTGATGGTAGCGTCGTCAATATCAAGGCCGACTTCAATAAGACTTCAACTGTCGAGATAATCGGGGTTCCATCAGGCGCGTCGAAACTACAAATCAATGGGAAGAGCGTCCAATATACGACCGATAGTCAGGGAACATGGTTGGCCGATGGTAGTTATTCGGAGCCCAGTGCTGCCATCCCGGACTTGTCCAGTCTGGAGTGGAAGTATATCGATTCGCTGCCAGAGATTCAGTCACTTTACGACGATTCTGAGTGGGTTGACGCGGATCACACAACGACGAATAATCCAGTTGCTCCACTCCTTACGCCAGTGTCTTTATATGGCTCGGATTATGGCTTCAACACTGGCTCTCTCCTGTTACGCGGGCACTTCGAGTCTGTCGATGGTTCTGAGAAGACGTTGGCTCTCTGGACCCAGGGTGGTCAAGCTTTTGGCTTCTCAGCCTGGCTAGACTCGACGTTTCTCGGGTCCTGGGCAGGAATTGACGCAGACTCGGACAACAATTCTACCTTCGCACTGCCAAATCTTACAGCAAGTAAATCATATGTTCTCACAATTCTTATCGACAATATGGGCTTAGACGAAGACTGGACTGTGGGCTCTGACCAGATGAAGGAGCCTCGAGGTATCCTAGATTACTCTTTCTCTTCCGGCTCCGGATCGGTGGCCACTCCCGTCACTTGGAAGATCACTGGAAACTTGGGCGGTGAAGACTATACCGACCGCGTTCGCGGGCCCTTGAATGAGGGCGGGCTCTTCATCGAACGCCAGGGCTACCACCAGCCTTCACCGCCGTTAGACGAGTTCTCTACCGGAAGCCCATTTGACGGAATCACTTCGGCGGGTGTGGCATACTACACCACCAAGCTGACGCTCGATTTGCCCTCTGATGAATATGATATCCCGCTCTCTTTCACTTTTGTCAACAACACAGCTGTCTCCGGGACATACCGCGCACTTTTGTTCGTCAACGGCTACCAATTTGGCCGATATACTAGTAATATTGGCCCACAGACGGACTTTCCTGTTCCTGAGGGTATCTTGAATTATCAAGGAGATAACTGGATTGGGTTGACGCTGTGGGCTTTAGACAGTGGAGGTGCAAAGGTCCCGGGATTCAGTTTGACGGCGGGGGTGCCAGTTCTGACCTCGAGACAGGTTGTCAAGCTGGTGGAGGCGCCGGCTTGGGAACAGAGACAAGGTGCATACTGAGCAGTATCACTTGTCCATAAGTCATTATAGTGGATGCACAATCGTGATAATAACACCGTTTACAGACATGGCCGCAAGTCAGGGACAGATTGCGGAGAAAGTACCCAGTTTTGACTCAATGTAGTCCTCTGCCAGAGCCAGCTAGCTGACCGTTTCTTGCTGCCCTTCCCCTAATGGCCGTTCGTGACATGCATCAGGCCGTGACTTATAACCCAATCACCATGCTTATCAACTTAGAGCCTGAAATCCAAGAAGGTTGACTGGCCTTGCTTGCTCCATCGCTCATTTCCTCTTATCGACAGGCTTGCCTTTCTTGCCAGCATCTGAGCCAGAGACGGCGTCCACCTTGTGGTAGCCTTGTATTATGGCCTTGCGCTCCTCGAATCTGTCCGGGTCGAACTTGAGACCGTGGGACGCCATGAAGTTGCGATCGCCACCCCAGGCGTCCTTGACAATCTTGTTGTCAGAGGATTGAGAAGCTTTCTCGCCGAAGCCAGTATCGGCGTTGGATTTGTTGTTGTATGCTATCGTTAAGGGGAAAGCGTGGATGATCAGATCTTCACAGTTGTAATGATCTGTAGTATTAGAGATCGAGACATTGTCGATAATGATTAAGAACTGACGAATGCTAAATGGAGATGTCTGAAGGTTTTATAGATATTTATCTGAACAATTGACGGTTTGACATAGCTGTTTGCGTCAATAGAGCTAAGTAAACTTTCTGTCGCAATCAATCGGAAAGACCATCATGGTCAACTACAGCTGAGCCCAAGCATGGGATATGTTTGCTTTGCCCACAAAATACCTTTGGTTACGTGATTGGCTTCAAACATGTACTAATAACGAATGCAAATCATGATTGCATTTCCTTTGCGGGCATATCCCTCTTCTTAACGGCGTACACACACGAGTAATCAATAGCGATGTGTCTGCATCTTTTTATCATATTTGCTATGATTGTTTCATTGAACTAGCGTACGTCTGCATTTCTTCCACTTGTGATGACACTTCACTTCCAGCAGTACACTTCACAAACTACAACGATTTGGCCGCATTAAGATGAAATGAGCCAACCTCGTGTGGCAAAATGCCGAATTTTTACCATCCCTGCGAGGCAACTTCGCACGCCTATCGAAGCGCTGAATACCCGACTCATCCGGCGTGAATTACGTACATGTCAAAATAAAATGAAATCACTCAATTAATTATACAGTGTCATGTGAGGAATTGATTTTACATTATTTCTACCTAAGTGTGTGGTGTTTGTTGGAGGAATCAAATCACCAGAACGCCGAGTGTCTGCGACACAAGTTGCCTGTCCCGATCCCATGGGTCTTATCCGTTGCCCATCCCAATTTTGGGAATTCTAAAATAAAATAAAAAACGCTTGACGCTAATTTCCAGATACGCCGTGCTTGTTGAAAAAAAGAAGAATCCAATCCCATAGTAACACAAATGATCTTCTCCAGGAAGATCAAGGAAGATCAAGGAAGATCGAAGGCATCGTCCTCCTTCAGATAGACCTCCTCGGTGTGGCCGCCGAAGATAATTCCTCTTCGCTTCCATCCACCTCGCTTGATGAAGTAATCGGGCCCATCAAGCGTGCCGGCCTGCGGCCTCCGACGAGGAGAAGGCGAGTTCCATGGATCTCGCTTCACGTCTCCGTCGTCAACATCCCATTCGGACGCTGCGGTCGAGGTTGGTGAGGGCCAGTCTCCAAGATGATGCTCGTCATGGTGCCTGTCCGGCGTGTTTTGGACAGGCTTCTCTCCAAAACCAAAATCGAAGCCATCGTAAATCTCCGACCGAGGTGACTGGTAATTCCTAGGTCTGTGGAGCTCATGTCCGGCAAATGATCGTTTGTTTCGAAGTGTCCGCTCCGTCCGCTCCCGGAAGCTATCATGGTGCCTCGACGGGGCGACGGCGGGGACTTGTGGGACCGGATTTAATCTCAACGGATCCCATTCAACTGAAGGAAAATGGCTTTGGCGGTAGGCATCTGAGTCTGTGGAAGGTCTTGACCCAGAGCTGGAGACACTGGTTTGTCTCTGATGTAGTGGTTGTTGCCCATCTGATCTGAGCTTCTTGTGGCTGCGTACTCGGTTGAGTATCCGGGCTGGGCCGGAAGGCGAGGATGGACACAGCATGGTGACGTGAGATAAGGAAAGGAAAGACTGAGTGAGACGTCTTCGGTGTCACCTGCGAGGAGGAGGAACTCCAACCTAGTGGAGGTAAGGTGAGAATATCAAGGGTTCTTGACCAGGCCAGGGAGGCAGAAGTGCCGGAGGTCGGGGATGGGGGAGCTTGCATCTTGATATATCTGCAGGTTCATGGCAGGCCGGCCAATCCGGCTGGTGTGCCTTGCAGACTGCAGCTAAGAGCAGAAAATAGCTTACCTGCGAACCACCGATCATGATGCCACATCGAGTCGAACACGCGAAAAAGCGAGCCGATGTCCGCACTAGAACGACACACCGCCGCCTGGACCATGGCAGACTGGCAGACGAGCAAGACCCCGCCATCGATGCGCCCGGCTAGCGTCGTCCTTCTGCGTCACCCGATGTCATCGGGGTGCGCATCCTCTTCGGATGGGGTGGAGGTGTGCCACACATCAGCTTGTCACAAGCCGATCATAGGACCATCGCTTGTTTCAGTCATCACACCTCAGCCATGCTTAGGAGGGGCCGCTCTCGTACTACCAGCTGCTAAAAGATGTTAGAATAGACACGAGCCACACGCCAGCAAGGCTGCGACCAAATCTGGTTCTGCTATTGTATGCTATACATTGGCTGGCGTGGAAAAAAACCAAGAACAAATCCTTGGAAGGCCCGGCCTTGGACGGATAGCCAGGGGGTGGCCAAATTTTTCTGAGCAAATGTTCCGGATCGCAACCTGATGATTGGCGTGATAAGCCAAAAATCAGGAACAACCTGACGACACACACGGCTCGCTGTTTCCAACTGTGTGGTTGATCCCGCAGATCAATCAGCGAACGTCACTCCTGATTCCAGGCGACCATAAAGTGCTTGCGTCGGCCACGCGCAAGAATTCACGCAGCCTCTGCGCACCGCAAACCGGGCAAGATGTAGCATTGGCGGCGTGCAGACTCACTCGGAGTAGTGCCCGGGTTGTGCAGCGCGGGCGTGCATTGTCCGGTACCTTGCATCATTCATTCTGTAAGTAAAAAAGGGATGCAAGGTACGGTGCAGGACAAGCCACCAAAGTGGGATTGGCAAAGCTGAAGCATCACACCCAGCCGACCCAGCTGATCATGTTTTTCGCGGCTATCGAAGATTATTCTGCTAGATCTTGAGCAGAGGCCAGTCTCGCCCCAATGCAGGTACAACTGTAATTTCAACAAGAAGCGGTGAACTTGCTTTTTGGACCGTCTTAGCCTTGTTCTCGCCCGGCTATCGTGCACACCGACGAAGACCTGGCCCAGCGGGTTGCCCCTCATTGCTGCAAGCCTGGAAAAGGCTGGCCTTGGTCGCTAGTGCCGGGCTTCGAGTCCATTAACAAGACGCTGATATCGCGGCTTTCTTCGGTAATGGTGTGCAGCTTGTATACTGCCTCGCAAGTAATTCACACATTCCGTGTCAGAAGACCACGGAGAATTGCCGGAACGAGATGACTGATAAGGCGAGTGGCACGAGTTTGCTGGTAACGAACCGCCGCTCGATGTTGCAATATCGCACACCTGCGGGCTTACTAAATTGCGGTGGTGGTTCGGGTGAGTCGCAGATGTGGGAACACAACCTTGCACAGCTGCATCGTGCGGGGGATATCTGTGCGATATCATTGACTGTCAGCTCACCTGAGCCTAAGTTAGCGTCTCATCGACAAGACGCCATCGTCAGTTGGGCCAAGATAGTCGAGCAATCGCATTGCCCAATCGAGGCACACTGTTAGGCAAGAACCGGATCACGAAAGCCTGGTATCATCGAGAATTACAAGTTTGCACCTATCCCACCCCCACCAACATTGAATTCACCCGGACGGACATGGACTGCTTTGAGGTAAGCCGAGGTTGCCGCGATCGATTGATTTAAGCTATTTGCACAAGACGAGCCTGAAACCCCCATGATCTGAGATATCTAGCTTTGGCAGCACTGTTTCGTTTGATTTCAAGACGTGCGGCGGCGTTGAAACAATGTTGGGCATTGCCACGCAACTCTTCGACTGTTGACCAGGTGATTAATCCTGGTCTCTGAGGCCATCCACTTTTGTGGTTGTGGTGGGGATAAAACATCGATAGATTGATTTGACCTGTCCAACTTTGCCGCCGTCATCAACTTTCCCACTGTGCCAAGAACAATTGTCTTGAGTCGAGATTGCGAAGAAGAGGTCCTAGAACCCAATATTTGAATATCATCTCCCCCGGTCAGCCCGGCCGCCAGACTGCATCTAATTGTAAAAGAGCTGAAAGTCTAGCTGGGGTGCTTGGCAATAGCACCGGTGTTCGGGGATGATCTCGGGATCCGTTTTAACGTGAAATTCAGCTTACACTGCACAGCGGAGCCCTCGCCGGCCGGGAGGCTGAGCGCAAACCAAATTGCCGTTTGCCAAATGATCCGTCCAATACGAGCCCACCTCTTCGTATCAGCATTCGGCTTAATGCTCGCACAACTTCGTCTTCCGGCTCTGACTCGCAATCATTGCAATCTGGAGCGGACCTTGTCCAAGTCGTAGATTTTATCAGCAATGGCCTCTGACTCGTGATGCAGGGGTAGGATATAGATTTCGAAGCTGAGCTGATCGACTTGCGTTCGAGACCAGGAGCTCTCTACAGAACACCATCGTTCTCCCCGGGTAGACGTTCAACACGTTTCTGTTCCCAATTATCGATATCTTTCGCTGCAAGTCTCTGTGAAGCCAAGGTGTCAGTCCGAAACCCAAGGCTATCCTGGTAAGATGTAGCCTACGTAGTATTCTTCTCGTATGTCGACCTTCCGGCGCTGCTTGCCAACACCCAGCTCCTCTTCCTTTGACATCTGCCGGACCTTCCTATCATATCGCTCGTATCTAATTGCGGTCGCTGGCGTCAGGACAAAAGAACCTCCAATGATGACTGCCATGAATGGCAACCCAAAGAGCAGAAATGGGTGCTTCGCCATTAGAGCTCGATACTTCACAGCGAAGGTGTTGGTGTTCACCGACGAGGGATACTGCTTCTTCGAAAACACCGTCATATTGATGGATAGCTGCCTGTTCTTGCTTCTGCCAGTCGCTTTGCGCTTCCGTAGAGTAATTGAGACCTAGAGTGTTGATGTAAATTTGTCGTATGATGCGTGCAGAGCTTCTCGGTACGGAGCTTAGCTCACCTGTTGCCCCACTGGCTCTTAATGGGCGACCCAGGGCACGTGCTGGGTCACAGGATCACGCGATGGTCTCTTGCGACGCGTCCAAGCTGCAACTTCTGAATTGGATATCTATCTCATCATCAACGCTGGGAAATAGCTCAACGCCACGAGATGTGGACAGAACCATGGCTCCGGAGTCGTACGGCAGAGCTGGTCGTTCTGGTCATACCGGCTTTGCGCCTGGACCTGCCAACGGGGGACCTCCTCCTTCGACCCTAGCAGCGCAGCTCGTTGAGAATGTCTCAGCGACCGCAAAGTCGTCCCGCTCCGACGAGACGGGTGAGCTAAAACGGCTCTTCAGCGTGATCGAGAGAGTCAAGAACCAGCCCGATTTGCTTAAAACTGCCGATGAGCGCGTTGAGCACAATCATATGCTAATCTATGTCTACGCCCGAGTTGTCCTGGAGGGCCTTAAGTGGGACGATCCGTTCGCCGACCGAGAGCAGCTCAGAACCGAAGCATTGAAAGCAATCAACTTTTTGAAGGTGACGATCAAGGAAACGCCGAACGTTCTGAGCTATTGCACAGATGAACATGCGTTTCTCTTTCGCGGAAAGGAGCCTTTGTGGCTGTGGCTCTTTCCAAAAATCCTCAAGATGCTGGGCCATAACCACTGTATTCCACTTAAATCTGCAATTGAGGCCTTTTGTACCTTCTTGTTGAACACTACGAGTCTTTCTGGAGGCTTGTGGCACTGTCGTGCTTCCTTCGCTCAGTATCTGCAGGGCATCTTTGAAGGTAGACGGTCTATATATGTGGCAATGTTTTAGCATTCACTGACAGTTTGTAGAAGTTCTTGCATACCTCAATGGGCTCAACTCGACTAGAAGAGAGGCTATCGAGGTTGAGTTGCCGTCGAAGCTCTTGCTGGATCATTTCCACCATTCAGCTGGCTCCGTAGTACGCGGCTGTTTCTACAACATATACAGCGTCACCCATGCATTCAGGCATGCCCTCGGCCTTCTGAGAATTATGTCAACTGTCTCCTTGCCGAGCGAATACCAATCGGATTTCTCTTTCACAGAACAAATCCCATGGATACTCGATTCACTACTTGTGCTGAATGAGGAACGACGCCGACGATATGATTTCCTCCAGGAAACGCCATTTACTATTTTGGACCCACTTGTCCGACTAACGTTGAGATTGTCAGACCTGGCCGGCATCGAACGGGCACTGTATTACAAGGCCCATGTCACGATGGTTCTTCTTTGTCAAGATGTACTGGTGCAATGGCCCGAATTGCAAGAGGACGACGAGACTTCCCAGGCGGCAACGGATACCTTCTGTCTATCACTTATATCTCTTTCCGATGCAAGCATCAAGTACAAGCCTATTGTCAGGCTCGTCGCATCACAACTTCACCCCTTGCTGGAGAACCTCTTGCCGGAACCTGATACTGATCTTTCAGTGGGTATATCCCTTCCGTTGTAGACTATACGCCCAGCTGACTTTCGTTAGCGATGTGTTCAACTTATACGTGAGGTGGTAGCGGTATTGTCGCTCCCAACACTCAAGCCCCTGAGCAATGAAATACAGTCCGATAAGTTCAGAAATTCCCAATTTCGACTACTGGTTAGAGACATTCAACTCAGATTCAACCCTGCTCCTGTCGGCGAGCCGCCTGCGAAACGGAGAAAAGTTGCTATTACTCCGTCAACATTGCCTACCGTCATCCACTCCTTGGCTAAAGTGCTTGATTCAATGTCAGACACTCTGGAGGACTTAGAGTCGACTGTTTTGGAGCAATTTCCTCGTCTAAAAGACGCTGAACGCTGCCATGTTATCGACTTACTGGCACATATCGTATGTGCAGCTGACGATACACTTGCACCCATTGCCTCGCGATCGATGAACGGGTTGCGTTGCTCTTACTGCTCCGCGGCAGAAGAGGGCGAGGAGCAGCCAACATCTCGAGATGCCGGGACCAAATTGGCAGCTGTGCAGATTTTCATGAAGCTCTTACGGTTACCAAGCTTTCTCGAATCCCGGCGTCCGCGTGTCGCGGCAATGGTGGCTCTGAAACGACTCATTTTGCACTCCACAGATCCTGAACTTCTTGATCTGGAGAAATCTGGCCCTGGACAGTGGTGTCTACAGTCTCTGCAAAGTTCTCTTCGAGAGCTCCGAATCGCAGCTGGAAGAACATTAGCCACTTTTCTTAGAGCAGAAGTCGGGGTATCAACAGAGCGCGATATCCTAAGGCGTAACAAGGCAAACGCTTTGGGAATACTCAAATCGATCTCGGACAAGAACGTGACCCATCTGCATGAAAGTTGTATCATGGCATGGGGCCAAGTTGGAAGAGTAGTGTCAGATGAGGAGCTCGCCCTCGTTCTTGCGAAGCTCCTTGATTATTTCGGTCATCGGAATGTCATGGTGTCTGCATTCTCCTTCAACGAGACCTTGAACTTGGCAAATTCTAGGCGCACAAACACCCGAAGACTATTCGAACCATTCTGGCGCAGTCTAGCATACAGTGCTGTAAAAGACATGATCTCTCGGCCACAGACTGCCAGACTGCTCGCGGAATTACTCAAAATGAGTGTCAACGACCTGCTTCTACTGCTTCAAACACATGCTTTGCCTTATCTCGTTTTGACCAAGAAACGTGAAGTCATCCAGAGGATTGCAGAAGCAAGAGGAGAGAAGGAACCATGGCAGCCTTGTCTTGACGCCGCCAATATGAGTTCTATCATGGCTCTGCTGCTTATCCAGGAGGTTTCCGATGTTGAAGAGTTCTCTTTATCCTTGCTCCGACACGTGTCTCCGCATTTCAATAGTATAAGTCTCATGGAAATCTTGACCACAGAACCTGTTCCGACAGCGTTGGAGCTATTGAAGGTCAGCGGAGAAGTGAGCGAATCACGAAAGCAGCTTGTACGGGCTGCCCTGACGATGGTGGCTGGAATGCTCTTGAATGGAACAAGGGACGTGAGGAAGAAAGCATCTCATGTTGTTGGGAAATTCTTCGAACAGCATGCATTGGGGTTGACAGCCCGCTTGGTTGAGGTCATCAATGACACGCTCACCGCTCACCCTCCTATCCAAGAGCAGAGGCGATGTATCGCAGCAATGGAGGAAATGATCAAACTCGGCAAGTATCACGTCCGGATTGCCAGACCCCAAATCTCGGCCTGTCTACTCTCAGCTCTCACATACGACGAGCTAAGACGAGCTGCTTTTTCGTGCTGGTCGGCTCTGCTCACGCATATGGAGGAGGAAGATGTGGAGGTGCTTATAGAGACGACCTTCTTCATTATCGGACACTACTGGCAATCCCTTGATGATCACACCAAAGATGCAAGCAGGGAACTGATCGTCTATCTGCTGAGCAATCACCAGACAATTCTCAAGGAGACGGTCAACAAATTGCCATCGGTGGCGCACATTGGCGAGCTTGCCGACTTGGAAGCTAAGCTAAATCGCCTTCGGAAGCCTTTGGATAATAGAGCTGCGTTTAACTTATTCGCCGAGCGACTCAGCCATGAAAACTCTGGTGTTGTTCAACAAGCCTTACAGGAACTTTCGGACTATCTCCAGCAAAATCAGAGCTATTTGCAAGCTGCTGCCATCAGTGAGCAGCCTGACTCAATCGTCACTTTCTTGTACAGGACGCTCTTGGACTGCTCATCCAAATACAATGGAGTACAAACAGACATTAGCCGCCTCTGTGCCGAATGCATTGGGCTTGTCGGGTGCTTGGACTCTAACCGGATAGAGACGGTCAGAGAACAAAAGACCTTTGTGGTTCTTCACAACTTCGATAACTCGGAAGAAACTACTGATTTTGTTCTGTTCGTATTGTCAGAGGTCCTGGTGAAATCATTCTTGTCAGCGACAGACACGAGTGTTCAAGGCTTTCTTTCTTATGCCATGCAGGAACTCTTGGATAGATGTGACTTCAAGATGGCCGTGGCTCAACAGGGTCGAGAAGGACCGAGTGTCTACAGGAAATGGTTGGGCCTTCCGGAGACTACACGAGAGGTTCTAACGCCTTTCATGACTTCACGATACAAGCTCAACCCTATGACGCAACCCCAGATGGAGTATCCGATATTCCGCTCAGGGAAACCATACGCCAATTGGATGAGACATTTTGTGTTAGACTTGTTGCAAAAGGGACAAAACGTCTTCGCACAGATCATTTTTGAGCCTCTATGTCGTGTGATCCGGGTCAAGGACGTGTCGGTTGCCGAGTTCCTGTTACCTTATCTTGTGATCCACATCACCGTGGCGGAAGACAGTTCATCAGTCGACCGAGAAAACGCACTGAATGAGTTGTTGAGTATCCTAAAGCAAGAACTTCCAAAAAACGCATCGTACATCGAGCGTGAAGAGATGAAGCTCTTTTCTGAAGTGAGTAGAGGTTGACGCTTTTGTGCCACACCTACTAACATATCTCTAGGCTGTTTTCCGAGTCTTGGATTACGCCATGAGGTGGCTGCAGCTGAAGAAGTCCCTTCCTACGAGAACTAAGCGGGACGAACTCCAGGTTCAACGAGTTCAGCAGGTGCTTAATGCCATTCCCGCCATGATGATCACCCAAAGGGCAATTGAATGCAATCAGTATGCCCGAGCTCTGTTCCATCTGGAGCCTGAGATTCTGGCACGGGATGAAGCAGGTCTAGCGGGAACCGACCCAAATGGAGACATGATGGCATTGGAGGCACTACAACACGTTTATACTCAGATTGACGAGCCAGACGGTTTAGAAGGCGTGTCTGCAAATCTCAATGTCATCGACCTCAACCAACAAATTCTCAGTCACAGAAAAGCAGGAAGGTGGACAGCTGTGCAGACCTGGTATGAAGTTCGATTAGCAGAGTATCCGGATAACATCAATGTCCAGCTCGACCTCCTCACCTGTCTGAAGGAGTCTGGACAATACGGTAAGCTGCATTCGAAAGGAGACCACATAGTCATTTGCTAATAGTACCTCCAGACGTGCTTCTCAACTACGTAGAGGGTATGAACACGACTCCTGCCACGATCAACCAAATAGTCCCATTTGCTGTGGAAGCATCATGGGCGACTGGCAGATGGCAAACACTCCAAAAGTATCTCGGATCGTACAACGCCGGAAATCATCTTGAAGTTTTCAATTTGGGCATTGGGTCAGCCCTCCTTGCTCTAAAGGACGGCAAACTAGATCAATTCAAGGCGTTCATACAGGAGCTTCGAGACAAGGCCGCATCGTCGATGTCGTATTCAGCCACGGTATCATTGCAATCTTGCCATGATGCTATGCTCAAGTGCCACGTTCTCACAGACCTTGAGCTCATTGCAGACAATGCAGTTGAAGATAACGGAGACCAACAAGAGACCCAAACCCTTTTAAATCGACGACTGGAGGTGATCGGAGCGTATGTCAGCGACAAACAATATTTGCTGGGGATACGCAGAGCTGCGATGGAACTGATGCGGTACGTCCAACAATCACTTGTTCACGACTGTGTGCTAATTTGGATAGGCCTAAATTCGGCAACGGAGACATCTCGGCTCTATGGCTTTCGAGTGCTCGATTAGCTAGGAAAGCCAATTCTATGCATCAGTCCTTCAATGCAGTCCTTCATGCATCTCAACTTGGTGACGGATCTGCCACCATTGAGAACGCCCGCCTCCTATGGAAAGAAGGTCATAACCGTAAGGCGATCCAGATTCTTGAGAATGCTATTCGCAGCAATTCATTCATAGGATTCAACCTCGTCCCTGAAATTCCAACTTCCAGCAAAAATCCCGAATCACAACGTAATTTGCTCACTGCACGAGCTCATCTTCTTCTCGCAAAATGGCAGGACTCCGCCGGCCAGACCAATGCGAATGCTTTGCGCCAGCAGTATCAGAATGCTGCCAGAACTCATGCACAATGGGAGAAAGGTCACTATTACCTCGGCCGGCACTACAAGAAAATTCTAGAGTCTGAGAAAGCGTTGAAGCCGGATGAACAGACTGATGAATATCTCGGTGGTGAGACAGCAAAATTGGTCATCGAGAATTACCTGCGGTCCCTGAGATATGGAACTAAATATCTCTACCAGACCTTGCCCCGAGTTCTGACATTATGGCTGGAGCTTGGAGCTCAGGTTGACAGGGCGCCAGATGGCAAGGTCTCTTTGTCATCGGAGCTTTCGCAACGACGGAGGGCTGTCTTACGCGACCTCCATGGAAGCATCAAGGACAATATCAAACGTCTACCGTCGTATATTTTCTACACCGTTTTGCCCCAAATCGTCGCAAGAATAGGGCATTCAAACATTGAAGTTTTCGGAATACTGGAGACCATTATTCTGAAGGTTGTTGAGGCTTATCCCCGTCAGGCCTTGTGGAGTCTCTGCTCGATCATGACGACAAAGAAACATTCAGAACGTGGAACCCGAGAGCAACAGATCTTGCAGAAGCTTCGCTTTGCCAGTAGCAAGGTTGAGGGCGGTTCCTATGATTTGAAGCAACTGGTGAGGATGGGCGAGAAATTGGCTCACCAGCTGCTTCAGGCTTGCAATAATGGTGATTTCCAAAGCAACCGAACCACTGTCGCAAGCATCACACGAGATCTCAATTTCAAGCACAACTGCACTCCTTGTCCGCTAGTCGTACCGGTTGAGGCATGCTTGGCTGCCACACTGCCTACATTAACGGACAACACCAAGAAGCACAAAGCTTTCTCACGAGATGTCATCACTATCTCGTCATTCCTCGACGAGGTTCTCGTCCTTGGGTCGTTAGCGAAGCCAAGACGATTGACCGCGCGTGGAAGCGATGGCAAATCCTACAATTTGTTGATCAAGCCGAAAGATGATCTTCGGACAGATCAGCGCCTCATGGAGTTCAACAGCATGATCAACAGATCACTGAAAAGAGATGCCGAGTCAAGTCGACGGCAACTCTACATAAAGACGTACGCCGTCACACCGCTAAATGAAGAGTGCGGTATCATTGAATGGGTCGACGGACTTAAGACACTCCGCGACATCCTCCTGGGTATCTACAAGACCCGCGGCGTAGCCCCTAACTACGGTCAGATCGCGAGCATGATGAAGGAGGCGTGCGTGTCGAGAAATTACAGCATCTTTACGAAGGATGTCCTGAACCAGTTTCCGCCTGTGCTGCCCAGCTGGTTCATCTCGCAATTTCCCAACCCATCCGCCTGGTTCGCCGCTCGTCTCAAGTACACACGCTCATGTGCAGTCATGTCCATGGTGGGAACGATCCTGGGTTTGGGCGATAGGCATGGCGAAAATGTTCTCCTGGAAGAAGGCAACGGCGGCGTCTTCCACGTAGACTTCAATTGCCTGTTCGACAAAGGCAAGACATTTGCGCAACCGGAAATGGTGCCTTTCCGCCTCACGCACAACATGGTCCAAGCCATGGGCATCTACGGCTATGAAGGGCCGTTCAGACAGTGCAGCGAGCTCACGTTGAGTATTCTCAGGCAACAAGAGGAGACGTTGATGTCGATTTTGGAGGCATTCATCTACGATCCGACACTAGACTTACAGAAGGACAAGAAGAGGAAGAGTGATGCTATCAAGCTTAGTCCTACCAGTGTGGTAGAGACCATCAAGCGCAAGGTTAAGGGGTTACCAAAAGGCGAAAGTATACCCTTGGGCGTGGAGGGCCAGGTGGATGCACTGATAAAGGAGGCGACGGACCCTAAGAACTTGGCTGCTATGTACATTGGCTGGTGCCCGTTCTTGTAGGGGCTATAGATTTATAGATGCTATGAAATTATGACTCAAATGTGCTATGATGATTTTGCTGCCCCTGGAGGGTAGAGCGCCTCTTTTTGCGCACCTGCTCCGAAAGTGCAAGAGACGGCACTGATACTTAGCATACTACAAGGGAAGGAGCGAGAGATGCAAGCTGTAGAAGGGAATGCATTCAAAAGCCACCGAGGAGCCGTACCTAGATCGTGGCCTATAATTTGTTTTTTACCATTGGCAATGATTGGCCGACTATGAAGTAGCATTGAATTCGATACAAACGGTTTTCGAAGCAATTGAGGCATTCTTGGAATAAGTGGTTGTCGTTGAGAGCTAAGTTTAGTGCTGTTGGTCCAGGCATCCGTGCGACAAAAGAATAAAACAGTCCGGGCAGTCAGTCTAGGTACCACGCGCGAACCTGACCAGCCTCTTCATTTCTATCTCCTCTTTCCGCCATCAACACGATCTTGTTGCAACCGAATATTTGAAGACTCAAAGATTTGAGGACTTGAGACCTTCATATAGATACGATTATATTTCTTCTAAGCACCTGCCCGTTCACGCGAGGTTTGGTCACCTTGCGCGTCGTTGTTGCGCGTCCGTGCAAGCGAGCTGCACGCCAATCTCCCTAACGTCATTCGAGTTTTCCGTCTTTACAAAACATCTTCGGTCTCACAACACATATTTCAACACCAAAACCAGACATCCATTGCCCAAGATGTCTTATCGTGTTGGTAAGATGATTCCTTCTTATTCTTCTCGTTTTTGAGACTGGTGTGCCGTGTGCCGTGGACGGGCGCATGCTAAACGGTCGCACCTGCCTCGCGCGCCCTTTGACGCTATAACCTCGCTTACATCACATCATACGCCTGTGATACTGACATCTCATGCAGAGGTCTCCCCGAACAACCGCGCCGGCTGCAATGATAGTGTCTGCAAGTCAGAGGGCGTGAAGATCACCAAGGGTGAGCTGCGCTTCGGCACTTGGGTCACCATGCCTGATGGCGAGCATGGCAGCTGGAAGTGGAAGCACTGGTAAGCTCAACAATTGACGCTAAACAGCTGTTGTCCTCCTCTTGATGTCTAATTCTAATGGTCCGGGCGGCAGGGGTTGCGTCTCCGGCGCTCAGATAGAGCACCTTCGTAACGCTGTTGATAGGGACGGCACGTACATGTGGGACTTCCTCGACGGCTACGATGACATGAAGTAAGCATCCCCTTTCCATCTCATGCTGTCATTTCTTCCAATGATCAACCTAACAAATTCGTAGCGAGCATCCCGAGTTGCAGGAGAAAATCCGCCGCGTCATCACCCAGGGTCATATCGATGCCGAGGACTTCAAAGGCGTAAGTTTACCTCATGATCAGCGTTGTCCTGTTTAACTAACGCCATCCTAGGATCCGGAGTTCAACAAGCTGGGTGCGCGCGGTATCCGCGGCCGCAAGAAGAAGGTGAAGCCTGAGGATGAGGACGGCGAGGAGGGTGAGAAGACGCCCGCCAAGAAGACCCCTGCCAAGCGTGGCCGCAAGAAGGTCGACGATGACGATGATGAGGCCTCACCACCGACTAAGAAGACCAAGACCGCTAAGGCCGGCAAGAAGGCCAAGGCCGAGCCGGAGCCGGAGCCCGCCCCTGATCCGGCCAAGAAGAAGGGAGGCCGAAAGAGCAAGGCTGTCAAACAGCCCACCCCCGAGCCTGCGCCCGAGCCGGTTGCCAAGAAGGTTGCGAAGGGCAAGAAGGGCGGCAAGAAGGCTGCTGCTGAGCCCGGACCCGAGCCCGAGCCTGAGGTCGAGGAGAAGCCTAAGAAGCGCGCCCGCAAGAGCAAGGGCGCTGCTGAGGAGGAGGCGCCTGCTGCTCCAGTCCCTGCTAAGAAGCGAGGAAGAAAGAGGTAAGACCCCAACGGCGTCTAATCAATATGAAAGTTCACTAACAGTTGAGTAGTACCTAAGCACTCCAAGTGGCATTCTACATCTTCCGTCTGCCCATATCTAGAGTTGAACGACAATCAGGCGACAATACCACAAATGGTATATTGAGCGCGCCTGTGATTTCCCAAGAGGATCTGTTTATTACCTTTTATCTTTCTCCTTGATCTGCTTAGCTGTCTATCATTTCATTGTACGAAAGTTTTAAGATTTGGAGCCCCCGGGCAGTATTGCTCTGTACTTTAGCTAGTTTATTTGAGAATGAGAGGAATCAATTGCCTGTTACTTTAATGGTGATTGGTGACCAGAAATGCGTGGGTTACTGAGTCAGACTCGTAGGGCAAAGATCACGGTCAGGAAGGACCACCAAATCCATCCTGGGCGGAGGGTCTAAACCCATTGCTTCAAGTGGTCCGTGTGGGCATGTAGTCTTTTAGGAATAGTTTGGGGCAGCAATATGTTCGCTGCAATCCCTTTGGATCTTGCCTACCTCCTACCCACCTCTTTCTGATTTTAGGAGGTGGTAAGGTAACTTTACTTCTGCTATTACTCTGAGACTTACTTCTGCCTCAACTTACACTCTCCAACTTCAATGATTCCCTAACTGTTAGAGCAATTTCTTCTTTCAATCACATCTCAGCTTATTGTCCAGTTGTGGTTACAAGCCCTTCCCTTGATTACTAGCGGCCAACTCAATCAACTATGAGGCGCGCAATAAGACTTAAGGATAACTGGAGTGGCATTGTAGGTGTACTTCACTTCTGTCATCAACAGTGGATTCCAAACCACTGATTTCGTCAATGAAATCAATGAGCTGGAATTCCATAGGAAGGCGTTTTGAGCAAGGTACTACACCAGCTCCTCTCACTGGCTGCAAGTCTTACTATCGTGGCCTAGTAAAACTAAAGTACTACTGACTTGATTATGTCCTCGAAATGGCTTCAAAGGTGTCGGTCCCATTTTCATTGCACTGACATTATTCTGTTTTTCTTTAAGTGAGAGGTATGGGATTTGACAAGATTGATACGTAGTATTTGCAAGTTTGAAGATGATTTGTCCAACCATGGGAACTGCCTGAGTCACGGGATCGGAAAGGCAGTACAGGATCATCCTCTGGAATAGGATCGCCGAGTCCATCCTGGGAGCCGGATTTACAGTATTACTGCTCTACTAGGGTAGTAAATGATGTCCGGCAACGGTATTGTCGCAGCTTTGATAAGTGATTCCTGCCTTTGTAAAAGTTCCTCAGGCTATAGTAATAGAGAGATCTTCTATGATTCCACGGGGATTATGAATTTCGTCATTTGCACTGAGTTCGACTGGTTGCAAGTCTTTGTAATGGCAGAGAACTAACTCAATCAATTGCGAGGTGCGCAAAGGGAGTCAATGACGGATCAAGTGACATTGCGGATGGAGCCTGTTTGTCTTTGCCGTTGACTGACCTCCTCGGAGCGTTTTCCGTGCCAGTTTTCCAATTACGATTAAAGAGAGACAGAAAAGGGTCCAGCCAAGATCGGGACGATGAGGAAGCGGAACGGCAGTGGTATTATAGTTCAGGGGCAGCTATAATCCTAGCCCAGATTTTGGGATGGTTCTGGGGTGCGAAACTGCGGGAGCTCCATTTGTGCAGCTGCATAATTGCGTCACAGCTGTCCCCAATTCTTCGACTCTGCAACACTCTTCAGGTTTGAAAACTCGAAAGTTGGCCACGGTCGTTCCTTTCAGAGAAATCAGACGAGAGAGGCCGCGTTTGTCTCCGTTTTGAGAATACGGCATCAGAGATGGTACGAGACAAAGCTCCACATAATTTCTGCAGCTCAGCATCACATTCTGGCTTTGTCGCAGCGAGATGGGAAGACTGTCGCATTACGTGTGAGCTGCAGTTGGTCTTATGAACGAGTCGGTGTGTCATCATCGAGCTGCCCCTCCCCCCGCGGCTCCAGCTGCGCCGGCTCCGAGATGCCAGCCTTTGCTCGCTATTGGAGTGTCGCCTGAGTGCGAAGAGGCTTTTTTGGCATGTGCCTGTGCGAAAGATGGTGGGCAGAGCTTTCTGTTCCCATGTCTCTCGAGTCTAGCAAATCTGGGCCAGAAAGAGGCGCCTAGGCGTGTGGAACGAATCTTGGATCGGGGCCTCCTGGGTCGTGACTGCCCTTTCTCAAGATTAGTCGACACATCAGAATCAAGCAAGAGCAGGCGCTGCTGACAGAGCCTTCTCTTCCTCCCTCACTCCTTCCCTCCCATCCATCCATCTGCCGTCCTCGTGTTCAAACTGTGACTGTCTACCCTTTATGAGGCTCCCTCAACAAAATCCCCTCATCAAATCATCAAACCTCCAATACAACACGAAGAGAGGCAGCCGTGCAGGCTCCCCGGCCCGCTCATTTGTTCCGTTTGGCCCGGCTCTAATCCATAAGCAAGCTGTGCAGTGGCTGTTCAATTGCTGCACTTCACAACAAGCAAGCAGAAGTCCGTTTGACAGACATTGCTTGAGGTGAGCCTCGCTTGCTTCTTCACTCCGAGTACTCATTCGAGGCACCCGGGCACGCAGATCACTCAGCCTCTGGCCTCTCTATTCTTGATTGACAGCCCCCCTCCCAGCGTGACCAGCACCCACACGGGCAGCAACTCAATCTGGCACTTGGAGAGACTAACAAGGGCCCCCGTTTTCTCTATCCGTCCCGCTTCCCGCTCTCGCTCTACCGGCCGGTGCACCAGCTCACCTACTACCTACCTTCAACGGATACCCATACCATTCCATAATTACCACCCTAGCACAGCCTGGACCTCGAGACTAAGAAACCCTGGCAAACGGGCAGCAGCCCAAAACGTGGACTAAAGAGCCCCTCCCGTACCCAACCAAGGCTACCGACCCAGCCCCTCATATTATCGCGCGCCTACTAAGAAAACCAAGGCCTCTCTTCACCTGTAGGATGACGACGTTGTTGGTTGCCAGTCCAAATTAAATCCCGTCCGCCTGGCCCTTTCCAACTCCCGCGGGACCCCAAAGATCACACACAAAGGCAGACCCTGAAACTGGTTCCTGGTCACCCTTAGCTACCCTGTCCTGGACTTCTCATTTACCGAGCGTCTGCTGTGAATTCTCTCTTCACTTTTGTTTTCTGTAACCTTCTGTCTTTGAGTGTTTGGCATCTTCGCATCAGAAGTACTCCAGTTGGTGGATACTTCAGCGTTTGTTGTAGCTGTTACAGCTGCCACCATTCTTACCCCACCATCGTCAGCAAGCCACGAGGCAACGGATCTGGTCATACCAAAACCGCTACCCAGAAGCACGACTGTCCTACTCAAGAATTAAGCCATCGTTGTTGAAAAGAGGGGATCTGAAGAGTTGCATAACGCTTTCATCATGGCTTCCTACCGTCGCTCCGACTTTGAGGAGCGAGACACTTACTATTCTGACCGTCCACCCCGCCGAGGCGGTCGTGATGTCGACAATGTTGAAATCTACGAACGCGAACGCCGTGAGGAGCGTCGATCACCTCCACGACGCCCCGTCAACGTCGATGAGCTCGACGTACGTGTCCGGGACAGTGAGTCCCGTGTCCCCAACTTCATGCGTGAGGATCGCCGGCCTGTCGAGTCGGGTCAATTGGTCCTTCGCCAGCGAGAAGTTGAGACTGTCGATCGACGACGGCCCCGTAGCCCTAGCCCTCCACCTCCGGTGCAGTATCGTGAACGGATCGTCAGGAGGGCTCGCAGTGTCAGTCCTGGCCCGCCTCCACCTCCTCCTGAGGTTCATGAGAGGGAAGAATTCAGAACCAGGATCGTCGAACGCGAACGAGATCGTGTTCGTAGTCCGAGCCGAGGACCACCCATGGAGCGGATGCGTCCACGATTCGTAGAAAGGAGTCCAAGCCCTCCTATGGAGAGGGTGAGGACAAGAATCGTTGAAAGAGAGCGGGAGCGAGAGAGGTCGCCTAGTCCGCCTGAGATGGAGAGAAGCCGATTGAGGATCATTGAACATGAGAGGGAACGCTATCCCTCCCCGAGTCCCTCACCACCGCCACCTCCCCCGGATCCGCCTGTTATCAGAGGTCCTACTATTGAGAGAGAGGTCATTACTCATTATCGAGACATTGATCATGGTAAGTGGCATGACCCTCTTCGCAGCACAGTCAATACTAATAAAACACAGGTGTTATCGTGGCCCGTCCCCCCACACCGCCTCCACCACCACCGGCGCCTCGCCGTACACGCGACACTGAGATTGATATTTACACATCACGCAATGAGACTGAGGTTGATATTCACAAGACGACCTCGCATTCGCACAGTCGTACACGAGGTCGCTCCCAGTCTCGCGACCGTCTGCCGGTTTCCAGACCCACCTATAATCATCAACACTACCACGATGACGAGATTCTAGTACGTTCAGAACGAGATCGACTCCGTGTAGATATTGATGAGCGACGTGGGATGGCTGGCCACCGTCGCGCACATTCCGCGGCCCCGGAGCGCGTTGACTACAGTGATGAGGCTGAGTACATCACCTCGAAGATTGATAGCCGAGGCCGTATGGGCGAAGCCTGGCACGGAGCAACACGGGACTGGACCATCGTTGATGTGCCGCCTGGAACGGAACGCGTTAAGATGGACGGCGTCGGTGGTGGCGGTGCCGAGGTAACTTGGCAGCGGTATAACGGTGTGCGGCGAGCCAAGTTCATCCCGGAGCGTGAGTCCAGCGGCGCGCTCGTGCCGCTCCAAACGTCACCCAACACGTCCTCCACGACCATCATATCAGAACGTGATCGCATAGCTCCCTCGCCTCGGGATGCCGAGCGAGACCGTCTCAGCGTACAGATTTACGATAAGAACCGTGAGATCGACGTTGAAAAGGTGACGGATCGCAGGATCAGCCTCCGGCCATCGGCTCCGGCACCAGTCAAGCGCAGTGATATGTGGACAGAGATTACTAAAGATCTCGTCGTCCGTGAGGCCATCGAAGAAATGGGATATGAGTACGAAGAGACTGAATTTTTCTACTACGTCATGCAATACCTACGCTATGTAAGCTCATCCTGGACTTGAACTCCTCCCACAAGACTTACATACTAACAAAATCCACAGGAGGATGTCCTTCAGCTCGTGCAGATGTCTGACAACATCCGCCGCCGCCGAAAGGATCGCGTTCGTGAAATCCAATGGGAACGCGAGTATCGTGACGAATGGGAGCGGGAGAGGCACCATCATCATCACCACAGTCATAGCCGTCACAGACGACCAAAGTGGGACGAGGACGAACGCATCGTGGAACGCGAGGTCATCTACGATCGCGCGCCTAGATACCTGCGTTAGGGTCTTCATCGAGGGCTGAGTCGGTCTTTCTTTTGAATCACGACACGCTTATGACATAGACGACAGTTTCATGTTGGTTGGCTTCATGAGATTTACGACAAGTTGGCATATTTGATGCGTTTGATACCATCTCGGGGCACAAGATGCTCACGAGCGTCATGCGAGTATGAGTTGGTGGGAGAGACTGTGTCAGAAGCGTTGACTTCAGAACGTCAACGTGTTGGATTTCCTTGCCATATGCCATTGTTTTCTTGGATATTTTACGACCATCAGTGTAATGAGATTATGATCTAGCCATTTATATCTCATCATAGCGAATGGAGAAAGGGCAATCAGTCAGGTATACTCTCGGGGGCGTTCATACTGTACAAAGGATATAGGATCATATGCAAATTTAACGATTCATGACCAGATTGCTTCCATCTTGTATGTATACTCGATCATCTACTAACTAATGTTTAAGACTCTGGCGAAGGACTCCTGACGTTTTGTGACAAGCTTGTTCATGCGGAGTGATGCAGATGCTTTCAAATCGTTTATACACGTCACGAGCCATTTGTACACCGGTGATAAGCCTTGGTAACAAATACTGTTGGTATCGGTGTACTCCTGCTGATAGACGGGCTGGTATTCCGTCCACCACTTGCTAATTATTGAATATGTACGCCTAAGCTTACACTGTCCGGAACAGCTTAACAAATTGCGAAGTCGCTTGCTTTTTGTGCAATGTACGCTTGAGAAGTGAAAGACACAAAATCTTCCCAGAAAGTTTTTTCCAGAAAATTAGACCTGAACTCCTCTGGGTGTGTTCCCCATAATGCCCTTCATTCCGTAATCTTCACCTGGCTTCTCGTCACCTCCGCACCTCGTTCGCCGGCATCTCCGTCCGTTGTGAGTCGCCCACCAGCTCGTGGCTGTAGTGCTGGTCCGCCATCTCGTACATGGGCCTCGGCCCTTCGAGTTCCTGCGGCGGCGGCGGCGTCTGCACCGCGTACGGGTACTGATAGCCCGCTGGGTACCCCTGCTTGTTGTCGCCCGTCCATTGCTGCTGCATCTGCGGCTGCCCGTATGCGCTGTTCGTGTAGTCGGTGTACTGGGACGGCGACACGGACTGCTGCGGCGGGCTGCCGTACGGCGTCGACGCGTAGTCCTGGTACTGCCCGCCTGCACCTCCCGCTCCTGCTGCGGCCAGCGCGCCCGGCGCGTGCGGGCTCATCGTCGCCTGCGGGTGGGCGTGGCGCATCCTGCGCCGCAGGCAGAGCCACACGCCCAGGAGGCCGGCGATGGCGATGACGCCGAGCGAGACGCCGACGCCGATGCCGGCTTTCGCGCCCGTCGACAGCCCGCTGCTGGCGCCCGCGGACGAGGAGGGGCTGGCCGTGGGGCTGGTGGTCGGCTTGGCGGTGGTGTTCTTGACGGCCAGCGCGGCGGCCGTCTTCCAGGAGCCGTCGCCGTCGAAGTTGACCTCGGTGATGCGGTCGCTGACGTAGTAGTAGACGCGGACCTCGCTGCTGGCGTAGTCGCTGGCGAGGGCGAAGTCGGCGTTGGGTACGTCCGCGAGCGGCCACTGCGCGCGGCTCTGGTTGGCCATGAGGCGCCACACGAAGTTGACGTTGGAGGCCTGGTACAGCGCGCGGTCGGTGCCGATGTAGTATACGGAGCGCGTGAAGGCATGGTCGATGGCCACGCCGAGGGAGCCTGCGGTGCCGTCCCACGCGGGCAGCGTGAAGTTCACGTTGGCGTCCGTGTCGAGCGTGATGGATGTTGAGTTAGTCTTGTTGGTGACGAGGGAGCTTGTTAGGGGACGGGGAAAGGTTGCTAAAGCTGTGTAAGTGCTGTCTTCAGATGTATAGTATGAGCTCAAAGACTTACATAGATGCCACGTCTTATCCGAGTTGAGACGTGAGACCTCGATATTCTGGGCATCCTTCGGCGAGGCGACCGAGATGTTGCCGCTGCCTGTGAACTGAGCATGAATAGCCCGGCTGAATGCCGGAGCTTGAGAAACACCCCCAGAGTAATGCCAATTGGTCTCTGTGGTGTAAGAAATCTCATGAATGTGCATGTTCGCGTCATGATAGTATACACGATACCCTTCCGTGTCGCCTAGCACGAGAGACGCCAGCCCCGTCTCGTTGCTGATCGATTGCTGGTCGTCCACCTGGGGTACGCCGTCCGAAATCACCCAGCTGCCCTGGTTCTCGAACTTGCCCGTGTCCATGTCACAGTAGAATAGTGAGTTGATGAGGTCGCCATTCTGCGCTTGGTAGAACATGGATGTCTGCAGAGACAAGATGTGTCAGTCCAAACCACCTCTCAATGAAACACAATGGTCTCTCCCATATACGGATTCTCTCCTCGCCCGTCAACTATCAACTCAGTCACTCACCGTAGTCTTAGTGTTATCCCACCAGCCCGTACCAGCCACTGCCGTCCCGTTCCGCGGCTGATATGTGAGCGACAGCAGATTCGGCGGGTCGTTTGGAAATATCGGCGTGGTATAGCTGTTGCACGAGCTATACATTATCCCACCGGTCGTGAGATTCTGGACCAAGATCTGGGGGCCGATCGTAGTGAACCATGCCGCCATCTTGCCGGCGCTCGAGGTGGCGGCCCATGTCGTCTGGGCCGCGCCGAGCAGCAGCACAAGCTGCGTCGGCAGCGAGCATATTGAGAACTGCATTATATCGGTGTGTGATGAGTGCAAAATCGGCAGCAAATGCGCTCGCTCGGTCGGCTTTGCGGTTGCGCTACTTCAGAGACGCAGGCCGTCTTCTTCCGCCGTACGCACGCCGGCGGATTTGCTCCTTAAGACAAGGCAAAGGATGAGGTGGGATTCTCGGTGGTCGCACACCAATCTGAAGAGAGAAACAATGTGCTGTGCTACTTAGCACAGACCAGACATTTGACGATGATCCGCCTCGCCTTCCAAAGAACACCAGATTACCGCCCGCGTAGACTCAAGGAATTAGCGACCGGATGTTGTCAAGACAAGCAATGGGAAGGCAATGTAAGAAGTAAGAGGGTAGGAGGGGAGCGGAAGTCGGTACGGTGCGGCAGGGAATGAATGGGATGGTGAGCTGTTGTCAGCAGCAGCACCGGCAGCAACAGAAGCGATCGGGGTGCATTTGAGAGAAAATGAGCGCAGCTGATGGCGATTCCAATTGATTGATTAGTTGGAGGGCCGATTGATTGCCTGCCCTGTCCGCATCCACAGCCTTCTCTGTTGGTTGCACGGATTGTCGCGACCTGGTACCGCACACTGCATTGCAACCGTACTCCCGTGCCGAGTCCAGAGAGCGAGCGAGCGGATTATTGCTGCAGAATACAAGGCCCCGATCTCACCTGCGTTAGCGAGCTGGGTCCTATCCAGACCCATCACTACTCGAGCCATTCTCTTGCACCATCAGCACCCCCTTGTAACTAGGCCGATCTTGTCTTTCGGCCGCTCGCGACGGAGGACCCTGGGCGCTGGGTGCTGACACACATTGCACTAGTTCAGGCGGGACTCCGTTGACAAGTCGATGATTGTCATGGCGTCCCCGACATTTGCTACTTGGGGGTGTGCTCCCAGTTGCATGATTCTGCTCGAGTACATAATGATCAGCGGCCCTGTCGAAAGTCGCTACGTTAGCCTCTTGAGGACCTTTTCCCTCTTGGTACTTTATGGACGAGAAGGGGCCCAGCACATTAGGAAGACTTCACATTTGAAAAGCCTCGAGATAGACCTTTTGAGAGCTGGAAGAGTTCACGTCAAACGCCATTGGGGTGTGCACTGGACTTACAACGGTTGCTACCGCGAGGCGCACGCAGGCGGCACAGAACTTACCTACTCTAGAACAGAACGGCCACTAGCCCCAGTGGCTGCTGCTCGTCGCCTCCTCGCTCTTGAAGAAAGCATTCTGGCACTCATTCGTTGGTGCAGGTTACGAGCAGCAAAAGCAAAACGAGGTCGCACGAAAAGGGCATAGCATCAGCCAAGCCCCCGCCAGATCGGGGGGTCCTTGTGTGTACGAGGAGAACTAATTCCACCGCCGACCTCCGTCGTCCAATTGACTTGAGCAGCAGCCGTGGTGAGCGTGGCTCTGTCCATTTCGGATGACAGTCAGTTGTCGGTGACAGGTCAATCGCCGTACGAGATGCCCTAATTGGGCCCAAGCTGCCCTGGATCAGGGACTTTCAGACCTGCAATAGAGTCCTACAGATCTCACCGTAAGGCTGAATGGTGAAGATAGAATGGTCAGGCTCCTAACCAAGGCTGTAGATGGTCATATTCGTTATGACGGTGCACGAGCATGCTTGAAGGGGCCATAGATAGTGGTGAGAGTTGCCCGGTTGTACGATGAACACCAGGAGCGTGCTGGAATGCTCTAAGCGCTACACTGGTCAAGGCATGATGATCAAATCCCGAAGATGACACACAAGTTGAGGAATCATTGCCTCCTGATCATAAAAATGGTTGTGAGCCCCCCGTCAGCTTATGTGTGGGCCTCCAGCGCTACATAAGAACCACAACAAGGCGAAGATTTGGGCAGTGCCCCGTCCCCGATGATACCAGGGTGGACAGCGTTGCAGGCCTAAAATAAAGGCACCAGCTTGCGGCACAGATCAGGAGCAAGAAGCTTAAAAAATTCAAGCCGATGGAAGGATGCCCTTATTATTAGTGGTAGGATTAGCTGGGGAACATGAGGAATCAGCGACGCCAATGTTCCCAGCTTGCTTAAGTAAGGCAGGTGTTGAAATATCGACCATTGATAATCTGACCAAACTGGGCCAAGTTGTCTAAGACGGTAGTCTCGCGTCCAGCCATAATAAAGGGACCTCGCAAGCTGAAGCTGGTCAATACGGACTTCCACCCTTTGTCACTCTATCCAGCTTGCTATTCGGTGGGATGGATTCAAACGAGCCAGACTGCTTTGGTCTTTTGTTCAGAGTTTCCCGTGCTGCGTTGAACGAGTTGCAGCGGCAGTGCGAGCGTTTGACCCCGTCTCCATAACCCGGGATGCCGGCTCATCTCTTGTGTCAAGGAGTCGGCATTCATCTGATCCAACACAAGACATGAGCACTTTATCTCAAAACTCTGCTCTCGTCGTACAGCGCTTGGCACCGGATCCTCGATAAAAGTCGGGCAGTGTCTGGGACAGAATTGTATTATTGTGGCGCTTGGATTCATCTCATTCACCTTGATATAGATGAAGTCACAAAACACATGTGCAGAAGTCTTGCCAGGAGAAGCCAGCAGCATCATAAGATCTCGTTCGAAGCCGAGTGAGCCGTTCTGTCACAATTGACAGACTGTGTTGGTGGTCACTGAATATATATTTCATTGTCGCCGAGTGTTCTCGGCGCTCGACGTGTCTCAGTCGCGTGGTACGGGAGTGTCCTGTGGAAGTCCTGATTTGCCTCGATTCGTGATTTCTCGCCTCCTCTGATGACCCGCTCTCGGCGACTGCCAGCCGGATGACAGAATCGATCTGCATCGAGATCAGAAGGGGGTGCTGGTGTTGAGACTGTCTCGGGTGGTCGCAGTATGGCATGCCACGTGGTAGAGGAGGACGCGCATATGAACAAGATTTTCTCAGGTATTAATGGTGACGACGACTTTGCTCAGATGAGCAACTCGAGGAGATATGAAAGACGGTGCAGCGTTATACTTTCACAAGAAAGATCCAATCCTAGGTGTAGTTTCTTCGCCAATCCGGAACGAAAACCAGACATGCTCGTGAGAGATGTCAAACTTTACTTTTCCCAACGCAACCAACACGACCTCACCGAGACTACAATGCAGCCTCGACGATATACAGGACCCCGACGTTACGGGCTTAGGGGTAAGACAACTCGCTGCAGTGACATTTCCAGCTCCAGAAACTCCGAATTTGGAGCTGAAGAGAATCGAAGCTGATCATCTCCAAGGTCGTTATATCGTTCCTTCTGTCTGTCATTATGACGCTCGGAGCCATCATATGGGCATACATCTGGCAAGCGCTGCCTAGAGAGCGTTACAATGCTGCCGATGAACTCTTTCTTCGGTCGATCGCCTGTTTCTTCCGACCCAACAAGAAACGCCAATTCAACGTCCTCGATGATGGACGACGGACATCCCGTACGGCGGCAGTCCAAGCATTCGTGCTTGCTATGGTAGGCCCTGCAAGACAAGACTCAGACTTCACTACCATAGGTGGTATCTCTAGGTCTTTTGCGAGAACTATACTCTGACGAATAATAGAGTGATCAACAGTTAGTCACCGGCATCGCCCTCATCCTGGTGACGTCGTGGATTCTACTTGGAGTGGGCGACCTCCGGTCGACATGGAGCGTGTATGCCTATCAGATCGCCTTGGCGTCGAGCTTCTTCAGTTGCATCACCCATCTCTCCTCGCTGACCGTGCTGCGCTGTTATCTTCGCGCACATCGGCATCTGTGCGCTGCGCGTGTCATTGCTGTGAGTATATCTCTCAGGCTATCGAGCATAACAGGGGTTGTCGTGACCGACGCCCACCCAGGGATAAATACTAACTCAGAGTTTTCGTGTCTAGATGACACTCTTCTTCATGATTCTTCTCCCCCATCTCGTCATCGGCAACAGCAACACCTTCAGTGACAGCCGCAACTGGCACATCAGCGTCGAGTGCGCCATCCGTCGCTTCGAGTTCATCTACCCGACCGGCCTGCGCGCCAACGTCTACCCAGCGACCGTCATCTTCGGCATGGCCTTCTTCGTCGCGCTGCTGCTCGGCGAGTACAAGGAGCGCCTCGAGGACATCTACGAGGCCGACTGGCTGCTGAGCTTCGGGCTCGCCGTGCTCCACGTGGTCACGGGCCGCGGGCGCCGCGTCGGCCGGCAGACGCGGTGGTACCACGCGATGCTGAAGCGGGTCGAGGCGCGGCGCAAGCTGCACACGGCGCTCAAGATCCTCGAGCACAAGTGCCGCTACTACCGGCTGTACTTTGTCATAGTGGACGAGGTCGGCGAGTCGTTTGCGCTGCAGCTCGTCTGGCTGCTCTTCTACTTCAGCTTCGGCACCGGCCAGCTGTTTGCGGTGCTGCGCAACCAGCACGAGGCCATGTCGTTTGGCTTCAGCTTCGGGCAGCTGATGCCGCTGCTTCTGTTCATGTTGCCTATCCTCGCGGGACTCGAGATCTTCGCAGGTGAGATTCTTTACCCGTCTATTCGACATGTCTCAATGTGATGTTTGAAGAAGAAGACTGATATGTGCCCCTTTACAAATGAGCAGACCTCGACTCAGACGAGTCCGAAATGCGCACCATCATCGAGCAGGACTCAACCAACCCCAACTGCAACGACGTGACGCCCGAGCTAAACCACGAGCTAATCCACGCCCGCAAGAACTCAATCTACGAGACGATACGCATGGAGGCTCTCCAGGAGGACCGGCGCGACCGCGGCGAGCGGCGCTACTCGGCCGAGCTGTGCGTGGGCGAGATCCGCGCCTCGCTCGACTGGCTTCTGGACCAGCGCCACGACGAGGGCTGCTGCGAGGGCAACCTGGTGAGTAAGGCGGCCGTTGACGACCTGTCGCTGGAGGAGGCCACGTGTGGCTCATGTGCTATACAGAACTTTCCCTTGGTGTACTCTCCCGACTTCCTTGAGAACCTGGCCGGACGAGTCAACTTGTTCGAGCTCACGCGCCGCATGTACAATCCCGCTGCCGTGACGGCCGGCATGCATTTATATCTTTTGTCGTCTTTCCTCATGACGGAGATCTGGGTCATCTTTTTCTATGTTCCCATATATAGCTGGAACGTCGGTTCGATGACTGCCTCCCTTATCGCTACTTTCGTCATTACATTTGGGGCTTTCATGATGGTCATTCTAAATTGGTTAATTTCACTTGCTAGATATTATAGGAATATCGTCATGCTGCATAGGGAGGAAGACTTTGTTTCGAAATGATACCGGCATGTGCCTAGGTGTTTGGGAAGTAATGGTTACAATCAAGCATTAGAGCGTTGTTAAGGCGGACGCATAGAAATCTGATACAAGGATGCAATGCTTTGAATTATGATGCGGTCTGTAATCAAAACGAGAATAATCCAGGTTTCCTGATTTCGCCTTTTGCTCACTGACCAGCCAAGCCCGTATGTCCGCCTCCAAGTCCACGAGAAACCGTTACACCATGCCAGTTCACCTGCCCGTCCAGCCTGCCCAACGATACGGTCGAGGCGATGTCTAATCCTCCGGACCGATTCCACGCTTGGCATCCTTTGCAGCGAGACCGATGAGGTTCTTTTGGGGTTTGGGATAGTGGGGCCTACCTCCAAGGATATCAACGGTATCCTTCATCTCGCTCCAGAAATTGTGAATCGGTCGTCGGTTTGGCCAGTCTGTCTCCTTCTCCTCCAGCTCCTGCATTGGTGTAAACACTACGCTCGCCCCCTTGATGCCAATGACTGCCGCACTCATCGGATCCTTCTTAACGCGATTGTGTGCATTCTTGCCGAAGCCCTCCAAATGTTGAATGCATTTGATGGCCAGACGGACAGCTCGACACCGGTCCATGGGAGACGGTACTCCACCTTGTTGCACGTGTCCAGGAATACTGTCACGCGATTCAAAGCGGTCATGTGCCTCCTCACGGATAATATCCGCAATCAACTTCGCATTGTAAACTTTGCTGGCTTTCTCGTTGATGAGAATGAGACGGCCAGCGCGGGACTGGCCCTTGTCATGTGCGAAAACATCTTTCAGGTGCCTGACATCCGCAGCAAGCATGTCGAGGCTGATACCCTCTTCAGGAGTGTACACGGCACTGGCACCGACGCCCAGACCTCCTAAGGTTGCGACATAACCTGAACGCCCACCTTGGGTCTCAATGACGAATACTCGTCGGCGAGTGGCGGAAGCTGACTGCTTGATCTTGTCGCAATAGTTCACGAGCTCGTTTAAACAGGTGTCTGAGCCGACGGAGTACTCGGTTCCGGGCACGTTGTTGGAGATTGTAGCAGGAAGAAGAGCGATGGGGATGCAAAGTGATGGGAATTCCGCTCTCGCCTTGCGAAGCTGAGAGATGGCGTGGAAAGCCTCAAATCCACCCACAAGGAATAGAGCATCGAACTCATATGATTCAACCAGGTCGGCAATAGTCGACATTCCGGACTCGCTCGGGAGCTCTCGGTTCGTGCCAATCTCGGAACCGCCCTTGCTTGCCCACCCATCAACCTCTAGCCAGTCGAATGGTCGAACTGAGCCCATGGGCTGGTCATCATGGTGTCGCGTAAAGCCTGCAAATCCGTTGTGAATGGCGACTGCTTCATGCCCACGGGACATGCAGTATGCAACAGCAGCTCTTACGGCAGCGTTCATACCACCAGCCGGAGCACCGACATTAATAAAGCCAATCTTCATGCGCTACGATATGTTAGTTGGGTCCAAGGCACCAGCACAGAGATCGTTGCTTACAGATTTTTGTGGTAGGACCATGTCTTGGTCCAATTGCACAGTAGTGGTCAGCATATAAGACTTGTACTGGTCTGAAAACTCGGTATCGCGGAGAGACATGGCTTTGTCAAAGTCGTGCTCGTCAATAGCGGCAGCAACCGACTTGGTATCCATGACGGCTTGCATAAGAGGCTTTCGGACAATCTTGTTCTCAGTAATAGCGATGAAGCAAGTTTCGGTCTCTGGAGTCGCCTCAAGAACAGCATTGACAGCTTCAACGCCCTGAAGCGTTGCCAGCATTCGGTCGTAAGCAACGGCAGTACCGCCGCGTTGTACATGGCCGAGGGTGGTAATGCGGGTATCGAGAGCAAGCCCTTTTGGATCCGCCAGGAGTTCTTTGACCATTCCGGGGCTGATCTTGTTGCCGTGCCTATCGTGTGCTCCTTCTGCAATAATGACAATCGTCTTTCTCTTGCCTAGTTTTCGGTGCTGCATTTCTGTCAACAGAGTTCGACTCCTTTCTTGGGATTGGGCTCATATACCTTTTGTACGATTGCACACATCTCCTCCTTCCAATTGTCCTCCCGAGGCTTTTCAGGGATGAATATGAAGTCGGCGCCAGTAGCGACACCAGCCATGAGGGCCAGCCAACCACAATGTCTTCCCATGACTTCGATGACGAATGCGCGGGAATGAGAGGAAGCAGTAGCTTCGATGTAGTCGACCATTTCTGATATGCGGGACAGGGCTGAGTACGCGCCGATTGTGGCGTCCGTGCCAGACATATCATTATCAATGGAGCCGACGAGACCGACAATGTTGAGGTGCCTGTACGGCTTGACCTGCTCGGCTGTCAACTGGCCGGTAGCCACCAACTCCTCAACCAACGAAGGCCATTCGGCACGGAACTTGTCGGCACCAGTTAGCGATCCGTCTCCACCGCAGATGATCAAGGCGTCAATGCCATTCAGGATCATGTTCTTGGCTCCGAGGAGTCGGCCAGGTCGCTCGTAGAAGGCCATGCATCGAGCCGTGCCGATGAGGGTACCACCCTCGGACAGCCACCCACGAACGTCATGCCACTCCATCTTGCGTATAAGATCACCACCCTGCACAAGGCCCTCGTAGCCTTCATATACACAGAAAGCGTCGCAGCCCATATGAATGGCCATTCGAACGACGGCTCGGACGGCAGCGTTCATGCCCGGGGAGTCTCCACCGGAGGTCATGACGGCGATCTTCTTCTTTGGCGCCGCCATGGTGGGATCGAAAGTCGAGGACGAGGAGAGGATCGCAGGTTTCGATTGGGAGGAAAGGCCGGAAGCGGCTGCACGTAGGATGAAGTTATAGATATCTCGAAGAGGGTATAGAAGAATATGGAGAGGTTTTAGGAAGTAGTCGAGGTATTTAATAGGCATGCATAGGGAGCAGGTATGTAGAGCAGGCCAGCCACACCTTGAGGATGGAGGGGTAAAGTTGGAAGAGAGGGAATAATTGAAGCTACAACAGTGAAGAGACAAGAATGTAGTTCCAAGAAATGGGAATAGGACAAGAGACTTGGCGGGCTTGTCAAGGTTTCACACAGCTCGACAACCGAGGAAGCCGTTGCGAGTCGAACCTTCCCCCTCTCTCTCTCTCTTGCTCTTGCTTTAATTAAACGTTGAAAAACAGCAGGAAAAGAAAGCTGGGCGGCGGGCTGACGTTTTGGAGCAAACCTAAAAGTAAGAAAAAACCGCTTGACTCGGGGATGGAGCTCTTATCGTTATCGGGCCTTCCAATTCACTCACAAGTGGGCAGCGCGCGGGGCACCCTTCGTCACTGCCCTCTATGATCCCCCTAGCCACTGACTGGTAATAAGAGGCAATTCCCTGTGCTCCCGTAGGCCACTTCCACTGGCACACCCACTGAACCATTCAGGGTTGGGGCATGTGAATGGGAGGACAGAGGACACCCTCCTGTGACCTCATTGTCGAGATTTGTCTTAATTCCCTCAGGATCTCAACCAGTGAGGGGTCAAGCTGCTGGCACATCCAATTGGGGCCAGACCAGATCTCAGTAGCTGCAGCTACAAAGAAATTCCTGCAGGTCACCAAGAAGACTCCCCAGCATGCATTCATTCATTCAATTTGCTTCTGGTCAAACCATCTTGAAATGCCTCAGTGCTATACCGGTACTTAGCTTAGCTGGTTCTTTATAACCTACCTGGCTAGTACCTACAGAAGTAGTGAGGGGTTTCCCAGGTGGCTTGTGGCTTGCTGCCAGTTCATGATCACTGCTGGCCCGAGCGTCATTTCAACAGTACCTATATGGTACTATGTAGCGAGCTCCACACCATCCCTTCCAGCCACAAGCGGCAGCAGCCTGCATTTCAGCCTTGTGAGATGCCACCAAATCGAATCTGAGCTTTGGCAACCTTGAGCTTCAAGGCGCGTTCCCTACGAGGCCACCCAACCCTCGCGCTTCAACATGGCATCAGCTCCCCAGAAACCCTTCTCTCTGCGACCATGGCCCCATGGAGACCGCAAGCCCAAGAATCTCGGCGAGTTCATCGCTCGCGTCAATGCCGAGCGAGGCGGCTTCCGAACCGTCACCGAGGAAAGCTTGCGGAAGGAGATTGAGGCGCAGGAGAATGGGGTCGACGAGACAAACGGCGCCGATGAGATGGACCTTGACTCTGAGGACGAGGCCGAATCGACCAATATCAAGCTCGAGGATATTGTGGAGGCGCGCAATGAGGTGATCAAGAACGCAGAGTATGCTCAACCTGGTCTGCATGGCCAGTCTCCTGGAACTTGAAAATGTGGCTAATCCTTGAGTAGAGTTGCCCACCAGAACGCCATGCTGGCCCTCGACTTCGTTTCGCTGCTTCTGACCAAGGAGATACCGAACCAAGCTAGGACAACACTCTCGAACGCTCTGAGAGATCATGTAGGGCTGGGCACATTAGGAGCAACAAAGCTGGCCACCTCGAACCTCTCCGAAGCTCGACTTCAAGATAACAAGATGGTGTCGACCGGTTGGAAGTTCACCGACATCGATAGGACAGTGAATTCGGTCCTGACCTCCGCATCAAGACTGCAAAAGGAGATCAGCCTGGAGACAAAGTACTGGGCCGAAGTCTTGGCTGTTAGTGACAGCGGCTGGGCCGTGTCTCGCGTCCCGAATGAGCGACACACATTGGGAGTCCGGTATGGCTTCTCTGAGGCCGCGGCGACATTTCGCAACACTAGTCTTGCTGCTATGCGTCGCAGCGAGGAGGGCACCGTTGATCTCGACTGTGGGCGGACTATCGGCGAATCGCAGAGATTACTTGTTACCATTGAGAAGAATGGAAAAGTAGTTGGTCGATCTTCTCTACCCAAGCCGCTCCCTTCCGACGCGGCTCTGCAGGATCGTGTCTTAGAAGCACGCGATACGATTTTCAACCAAGAGCTGTGGCATGAGATCAACCGAGAGGGCCGATCACTGCTATCATACAACGTACGCCTCGAAGAGTCATCCATAACCTACGACATGGAGGAAGATACAAAGGTCATCTTCAGTCTCCAGGCCTTGGGGGACGAGATGGACCACTCCCAGGACAAACACTCGGAAGATGGCCAAGCAGCATCGATCAGCGTGATGCTCAATCTGCTTCTTAGCTATGCGCACGAGCAGAACAACCACAGAAGATCTCAGCCCTCTGCTATTGCCAGATTTCAGTCCAGTATCCCACCACCATACGCGCTGTTGCGCCCCATCATCGCTCATCTGCAACACGGGCGGACCCTTGCGAAGGCTACAAAATTTATATCCGACTTGACCACCATCCTACAATCAGCAGGCATCTCTACTGCCCACTACAAACTCACCGAACCTCCCATCTCACCTTCCATGGCCCGCAACACGCCGGGGAGCCGCAGTCTTCCCTCTGAGGCTCTCATCCATACGCTGCTTGAGCCTCTTAAATTCCAATTCCAGCTGGTCATCACCCCTGAGGCGCAGCTTCTCATCCATGGGCAGACCACCTTCTTCCCTATCGTCACGACAATGTACCAGATCCGACTGCTACCTCCCTCCGTACCCTCGAACCAGGACGCCAGCCCCAGCTATAACACGCTCGCGTCATCCTTCCCGCCAACGGACGCCCGCGAGGGCTACCCCGACCTGCGCGACGTCATATACTACGTCCGCCAAGCAACAGCGCGCGCTCTGACGGATCACCTAGAAGCCAGCGTCTACGAATGGACATCGGCCGCCGACGGCACCGCAGAAGAGACTAAGGATGAAGACACCGACGACGGGGCAAGGGACGAGCCGAAAACGTGGATCAAGACGATCAAGGGCACGGTGTTACAGAACCCGGCCAAGACACACGAATTGATTGTCGAGGTCGCCAACGAGGGCGATGAGGACCTGGTGGATGAGCCGGCGCCAGAGACCGACGATTTGCAGCCCCTGGAGCTGCGGCTCTATGGGGTATGGCAGGCTGGCGGAAAGGCGAACAAGAAGAAGTGGGCATGGAATATCAAGGATGCTAGCAAGAGCGCAGAGCAAAAGAATCTAGTTGATGCCGCCAAGGCAGTGGTAAAAGGCCAAGTGGATTGATGGATTTCGCCATCAGCCCTGGTAGGCTAAACTGGTGCTAGGAAACCATCTGAATAGGAGGTTTGCTTGGAGACGACATCACCCAAACAGCTAAAATTTGACAATACACTCAAGATAGCTTGATAATGGAAGTATCCTTTACGGCAAAGCCGAGATTTATCTATGACTCAACTCCATTTATATCCGCTCTTTATGACAAGCAAATATGGCTATTTCTCTACAAGCTTTGGTCGGGCAGTAGCAATTTGCTTCGTTGTCCTAGCCTTATCACACCTTTCGCAGGACCCTGCCCTGACTGAGGCTTAAAATTGCAGTGAAACAGGTCGATTACTTCTGGCTTGCATAGAGCTAGTCTCTGAAAGGTCATAGTGTCGAGTGATCGAGTAATATATGACCTGCGAAGGACAGAATGAGGATGGCAATGATAGAGGTAGTTGTCGAGGACAGATTTTCCTTTTTTAAGGCATCATGATAATCTTAAGCTAAGTGATACACTACACTCGGGTGAATTGCCCCTGACACTGTCCACACTAAACGCCTTAACCTTTCCCCTTTGCACATCTACAGATGTCCGTGCCAGTAGCTCCATGCCGTGAAGCAAAAGCCATATATAGGTATCATAAGGGTGCTCACCCGTGATTGAATTCAGTAACTCCGTTTCTCTCTGCCTTTTTAGCACATAGAGTATAAGCAAATTCCCACTGTTACGTATGATACGCAACCCTAGGTGTTGACAAGAAGGCAAAAAGTCCAGATGAAATGACCTGGACGAGACTAGTATAACTTTCGTATTTGCGTGCTAGACGGCCCACGAGAAGTGCCGTCATAATTAGGTGCGAGAGGAAACACCGAAAAGGTAGGCGAGCTCGCGGGTGGTGAGTCTGCCCACATTGCGGCTCTCGCCTTCATCAAGCGCGGCATCGACAAGTGCTCGCTTCTTCTCTTGTAGTTCGACAATACGATCCTCAACGGTCTCCTGAATGAGTATGCGGTGGACTTGAACCGGCTTCTGTTGACCGATTCGATGGGCTCGATCAACGGCTTGCATCTCAATATACGGATTCCAGAAAGGGTCCATGATGATGACATGGGACGCGGCAGTCAGGTTCAAACCAGCATTGCCAGCTTTCAATGAAACCAGCATGACACTCGTGCGAGACGCTGGATCCTGGAAATCAGTTGCAGCGACATCGCGCTGGTTGCGCGACATGCCTCCGTCATAGCGGACATACTTGAGACCAAGTTCATGCTTTATCGGGATTTCGAGAAGATCCAGCAGCAGAGTGAACTGGGAGAAAACGATTGTTTTTTCGCCCGTCTCCTGGATCTTCTTGAGAAGCTCGCAGCATTCGGTAACCTTTGCAGAAGTCTGCCAATTCTTGCGAAGGTAGCGCATATATCGACGATATGCATCCTTGTTCTTCCTCGCTTCGAGACGAAGCGTCTTAAGCATGTGGGGCTTGATTTCCTCGGCCTTCTCTTTTCCTTTGCGGCTCTTCGACTTGCCCTTGCGCTTGGATTTGCTCTTCTTTGGCTTCTTCTCCTTCTTTCTGGAAGTCACAGCCACAAAATCGTCATCGTCATCGTCAGCTTCTGAAGCTGTTTCAATGTCATCGTCATTAACAATGAAATCTTTGAGATTCCCATTCCGATCGATATCACCCTCGTCTTCAGAGTCGGTTTCAGACTCGCTGGCAGTCGAGTCGTCATCTGAGGCTGTCTCATCATCATCATCATCATCTTCTTCCTCGTCCTCTTCGGATGGCGTGCTCATATGGACCTGTTTGAAAGTCGAGTAATTGATGATCTTGTTGGTGTGGATCGGTCCACGACATTGAGGACACTTCGCTCCACTACCTTCGTCACCAGCCCGGAGATTGTTCTCGGCCGATCTCTCTGTGAGCGTTGTCAAACACTCCGAACAGGTGTCATGACCACAGGGTATAACGATGGATGGGTCGGCGACGGCGTCATAACAGATAGGACACTCAAATGCCTCGACTTCCTTCAAGCGTGTAACAACGGCGGGAGATAAATCCTTGGCCAGCTTCACCATGTCGTCAACAGTCAACTCGCTATTAGCTACATATTCCACGTCAAGATTGAGATGAGGATGACAGCAGGCTTGTCGAAGACGCAGTAGGAGAACCAAAACGTTGGAATAGTTCTTGCCAACCGTGCCAGCTCGCAGATACTTGTTGAACTGCGTTTGTGTTTTCGTCTGAAGATCAGTGTAAAAGCTACGCTCATCCTCTGAAAAGACCGAATGGACAACCTCTTCAGTTTTGGCAGGCAAATTCAAGATCGGCTTGCCATCTATCTCCGAGTTCTTCATCCTGCGGAGCATGATAGCCTTTAATAAGACCCGAAGTTTGCCCATTGCCGCGTCTCTCGATATTTCACCAGAATTTTTTCCGACCCGGCTAGGGGCAAGACTTCCGAAAGTTTTGGTGAACTCCTTGTGTATATTATATGGCTTGATTCTCAGGAAGTGAATCAGGGAGTATAACTCCTGAACACCGTTCATCATGGGCGTGCCAGTAAGACACCAGCGGTATTGAGTATTCACGGTGCAAGCTGCCTTTGCACCTAGCGTGTCCTTGTTCTTGATGCACTGAGCTTCGTCCAAGATCACACGGTAGAACCTGGACTTAGGATGGACCAAAGGATACTTTTTTGCCAAGTCGGCTTCAGCCGCGGGGTCAGCACCTGGATGCTGCTGCTGCCAATCCGCATAACGTTTGAATTGCTGGCCTAGCTTTCCGTATGTCGTCAGAACAACATCGTAGGTGCGTAGGTCTGAATATGGTGTATTTTTCCCAGTGCCATGATAAAGATAGACGCTCAGGCTATGTTTAGGCTTGATCTTCTTCCTGATTTCACTTTCCCATTGTTTAATCAAAGCAACAGGGCCTACTATAAGATTTGTCTGTTACAAAGATCAGCAAATTGGGCTACAGCATGAAAGGGATGGATAAATCGAAGCTTACCTTGACTCTATCAGACGGGGGTCGATTAAGTAGGAGGGCGAGTGTTGATATTGTTTTGCCAAGGCCCATGTCATCTGCTAAGATGCCACCTTTGTTGCTGCCCTCTTCCATCTTCATCATCCATTGGAGGGCCAACCGCTGATGAGTGTAGAGTGGATATCGTAGCCCTTCAGGTGTACCAATACGGTCTTCTTCGGAGAACTCCTCATCTGGGCGAATGTTTTGAAGGAGATCCTTAATCTCCTTTTCTGTCTGAGCTGGGTTCTCATCCTCAAATATGCGTCTATATCGATCATCAAGAGGGAAGCCTCCGTTGGTCAGCATATTACTATAATCAAAGTTGCTCGTGAGATCAATGAGCGTAGCCAGAGAATCACCAGGGCGGTTCCCGGAGCCAGAGCCGACATCCTGAAATGGGTTGTAAGAACCACCTTGGAGGACACCTGGACGAGACGGATCGAGCGTTAGTGCCTGTGGTCGACTATAGACCGATTGGTACGCTGATCCGGCCGCGGGACCATAGGGAGGCAAGATCGGTGATGGAGACGGCACACTTCCGAACGCCCACATGTTAGCATCACTCCAGAACAGTTGCGGGCCGGGAAAAGAGCCATACCCTTGCATTCGAGCAAGTGCAGCTCGTCGAGCCATTTCCGCGGAGGGAACGCCTGGCGCGAAATTTATCGAGGAACTTAGACCAAATCCTGTCCTATGGGTTGGAGGGGCTGGCCTCGATGGTGTGTTCCAAGAGCCTGCAGGCAAGCTGTTCACGAACTCCTCTGGCTGCAGCTCTGAAACCTCGTCGTCGCTATCGATGAAGGCTCCAGGCACATGGCCAGAGCCAGTATTGGCCGTAGTGGGTTGATCCGACTGTGAAGAAACACCTTGGCTCGACGTCAGCTGGCTCGCTTGGTGAGAACGTCCAAGAATCCTGTCGAAGGCATTCGGTCCAGACGGTCCGGCGCCGGGAGAAGACGGTTCAGAGACATAGCCACTATTTTGTGCTATCAAACGTGCATACTCTGCGTCTTGTTGTGCCTGGAGCCTTCTGCGATGCAGCCGTTCTTCCTCTTCTCTTTGGTTCTTCAGAAACTGCTCGATATCCGCATCATCCCTGCGCATGTTAGTATTCGCCCTGGATTTCGAAATAGCATCATGAATGTGACCCCTCGGCCTCCCGCCTAGATTGCTGTGTTACATACCCAGTAAGGTCGATGATAGAATCCACGTCATCTCCGAAGCCCATGTCAAAATCATCGCCCGTTGACGGCGTTGTTAGCGCTGTGGCTAGGGGGCTTGGAGTGGCTCTTCTGGACTTATTAGCCCGTCGCGGATCCTCCCTGCCCTCAAGATGAGTGCTGTAATCGCGCTTTCGGTTCTGATTTATGTTGCTGGAACTAGAGGCACTGGACATGGACATGCCAGTTGGAGTAGAGACGCCGGAAAAGGAAAAGGAGTCTGGTATCAGGTCAGTCATCCGTCCAAAGTCATGACCGTATATCGGGAGAGAAGCGGAGGACTTACTCCCGAGGACCTGGTCATTCCAGCTATTCATCTTGCCCTTATTCTTCTGAGAAGCTGGTCTGGAAGGAAATGTCAAGGTATGGCTCTGACCGCGTGCCTTTGCAAGCTCCTTCTGAATTCTTCCCAGTTCTGCTCGAGCTTCCGCGATCAGGACAGCCGCTTCGCCTTCTTCGGGTAAATCTCGAAGAGACTCTAGGATGGTCTTCTGAACAACTAAATCTTCGGATAGTTCATTGATTCTGGCAGAGTTTTCGGCAGATCTAGGGGCAGGCGGCTCTTCTGAGCTGTCTCGTGGCGGTGCCATGTTGCAGCCTCTGCCCAACCGAGCAGGCAAACGAGGCGAGCGACAGGTAATATGAGCGACTGTTTCACCGGGTTGGTTGGCTGCAGGCTGTGCCACCTTGTGTTTTGGGCGAAATACCTACATACACAGAAAGTGACGAATTGTACCGGCGGGAGTTATGTATCGGACAGGATCACCAAATAGCGCGGCATCCACCATTCGTCGCAGTGCACCTCAACCAACCTAAAATCGGTATTGCAGTCCTATAGGAGAGGCTCGACGGAGCGGTGGTTGCCTCTAGGGGCTGTCGCCTAGCAGGTATGCTTGTGTGAGCGTCTGATATCCGGTCGCCTGGTTGGCCTGTGTTATGTTGGTTGGTATGACTGCGAGGCTCCGATGAGCGGTACTTCGCAGCGTCGAGCCGGGCGACGCAGGTTGCTACTGCAGCCTCGCGAGGAGTAATTAAATGTCAGCCGCCCGCAGCTCTAGTCCGGCGCAGTGCTGACCTGACCGAGAAAAATCGAAGATCGCAGTGATGTGATGTGATGTCGAAGGAAGAATCTGAGGGAGTGGCGAGAGACGGTTGAGGTTTGGCGGCGATTATTGACTTTGCGAACTTTCGCTGATGGTTTGGAAGGGGCGCTCCGTCCTTAAAGTCATCGCGTCAGGCGCGTCACAGCACCTTCCCGGTAGACAAAGCCTGCCTGGTCCCTGCCGAAAAAAAAAACTTTGTGGGGATGCCGCCTACTGCACCAACAGGGCCCCATATCACTCAAGTCAAACGCCACTAGCAGAGCAATTAGAGAGAGCTAAACTAAATGAGGCAAGATAGGAACGATGAGATAGAGCAGTAAATGATGGTTCTACAGATGAGTATCTACATTGTACTTCAAATCACAGTAAAGCTTCATTAACGCTATGCCAGGGTGGATCCTAACACTCGATTATGAAGATAGAATATGTTCGAGGCTTTGATCATAGTTACTCCTTTCTTCACTATCCTAGAGCTTTTTGTTGGCTGCCCCTCTCCTGCACCCAGACCGCAGGCGGCATTCACCTGCTTTGTTTCGCACTCGGAGATGACCGGGTAACCAAGCCTCTTCATGACACGCTTATGTATCACTTTTCAAGTATATTTCACCAGTTACACAACTAATAGCTTTGATCCTGAATAACTGCTGCCTGGCTGTTGAAGTGCTGTAATTGGACGGGTACTCTCTAGGTGGTGAGATGATACCCTAGAAACTGGCGGCCGGTCCCAGGATCTTTAGACTCCTCCCCCGCAATCCACCCCTGTGCCACCTGTAGATCATTGAGAAAGCCATTGGCTGCAACATTTTGCAGGCACAAGCTCGACGGCCGTGCATCAGCAATGAAATAAAGAAAGATCAATCTCCAAAAATGGATCAAACGGAGCTATTTGGAACTGCCTGCAAAACATGTCGCCGCCGTGGAAGGAAATGTGATCGAAGCCTCCCCACCTGTACAAGCTGCAGACAAAGGGGCGTTCATTGTGAGGGTTACATCTTACGTTGGGTTGGTCTGGCCGCACGCGGGCGTTCTGCGAACCAGACACATACGGCAAATCTACATGAAGCTGCCTTTGTGCCCGCGGGGAGGCGACAGCCTTCAAGAAAAGGAGGAGAATCGATTGACAACGTAGAAAGTGCTCGACAGGCTGAGAACGGTCGAGCTAGGGTCGCATCAACACTTGAATCGCCCAAGGTTGGGACACCGAATCCAGGCAATATTGCTCATGCACAAGAAACTGGCTCTCAAGATAACACCATCCTACGGCAACAAGCGTTGTCTCTTTCCAATATCGTGGAAACAAACGACGATAATCTCCAAGTCCTGGTAGAATATTGTATGGAATACCTAAGATAGAGAGTTGTTGAGTGCTGCTAATCGCTCTTAGATAGTGAGGAACTCAGTTCAGCCTTCTACCTCGGAAATGGCCCTGCAGAAACTCCATTCTCTATTCATATTCGATCTTTGACGCAAAGAATGCCGTCTGTGAGGTGCGCCGTAGCGGCGTTGGCATCGTGCCACATAGCCAATCGAGTCGACAATGACCGACTGAAGAGACAAAGCCTTCAACTGCGGCTCAAAGCCACACAGTCACTCAGAAATGATTTGAATGGCAGTATGCATGGGCCAGATCTAGGGAGCCTAGCTTGTATACTGCTACTCGCGCAAATTGATGTAAGTATTCGCCGGCACTTTTTGACGTGATATCTCGCTGAGAGCTGTTGTAGTTATGCTCTGGTGACTGTATCGAATTTGGCACCCATCTTGATGCTGCAAGCAAGTTTGTCCATTCACGTGGGTCTGATGGGACAGAGCGAGCATATTTCGAACAACGGCTCGCGTGGTATGTACCTTGACAGCACACATTTACTGGAACTCACAGTGTGATAGGCTCGACATTCTCAGCGCAACTACTACCTCGAGAGTGCCGCACTGGACCTCTACCGAGATCAAGGCAACACTAAATAGGTTTAGAACGCCATCGGGTCGAAAATGGGGGTTTGATGTGTTCTATTGCCCTATCGATCTCCTCGAATATCTCGCCGACATCACCATCTTGTATAAAGCACAACCTGATATCCCGAAAATTGGTCCGCATGTTTTTCAGAAAGCTATAATACTGGGCCATGCTCTCACAAACTGGTTTGCAGCACCATGTGAATCTGACTCCCGCTCCCACATCATTGAGGTATGGCGACTAGGAATTTTACTCTATCTTATCCGAATTTTTCAAGTCCACAACGGTATTTTCGACACTCAAGGCTTGATGGAGAGCATACTTGATCATGCGCGTGCAATTCCGGTCAGGACAGGCTGGAATATCTCAATAACTTGGCCCTTATTCCAGGCTGGGCTACTCCTTTCACGCAAAGACAACGAGGCCAAGGCCTGGATACGGAAAGAATTACTCATGAACTTCCAAAACCTCGGCTGTTTCAATCTATATCGTGCGGTCGAATTGCTAGAAAACATCTGGCAACTGAACGATGATGAGTCGTATGACTTCTTTACTTTCGGTTACCCGCAGCACCAGCTTGTATTATAACTAGAGATCGTGTTATCTAAATTTCCACAATGGATGGAATTCAACCTTAGATAGAATCTTTTAGCTTGATGGCACCTTTCAGGGGCTTTCCAAACTGAAAATGTCTGATATTATGGAGAGGTAATCCTGAATTCAAGTTCCTTAGATGCGGATTCTATAGAAATCTAGAAATCAATTACTCAATCGCCAGAGTCATCCCTTGAAAATGCAGATCAACATTCACTGGTGGCCTCACTGATGCGATAGTGTAGTTTGGTCCAACCACACCCAATCATACTGTCAAATAGACTGGAGGAATAGAGCCTGAATGGAAGAAATACTGCATTCTTAACATATTAAAGATTTGGATGAAACTTATTGCGCACCATATCGATCTCTTGAAGGATCTCCTCTTTGACTGATTGCGTCGCCCAAGATATATTGATGGCGTTTCGAGCCAGAACAACAACATCTTCATCAGTAAACCCACACAAATGTTTCGCAACTAACATATTATGCAAGATCCAGCAGTCCTCCATATATGCTGGATCATCGCTGTTAATGCTTATCTTGATTCCTGCATCGAACAGAGTCTTGATCCTCGGCCCGAGTTCCGCATATGTCGTGTGCCGCAGATAAGACCATGGACAAATTGTCATACCCAGATCACGCTTGAGAATTAGGTTCAGCAAAGCCGGCTCGTCAGCAGCATTAAGTCCATGGTCAATACGGTCGGTTCCTTCGCCTGCAATAACGGATGCAACTTGTCTAATGTGCTCTGGAGTATCCTTTTGATCGACGTCACAGTGCATGGTAAGTTTGAAGCCATCACGCCGGGCAAGTGTAAAAAGCTCGTCGAAAAGCAACGGAGGTCGATCTTCTTCACACGAATCAAGACCAATGCCTGCAATCATGTCTTTGTACGGTAGGGCAGCTTTGTAATGTTCCATGGCTGACTCGGGAGACAGGTCGCGGAGGAAGCACATAATCCATCTTGATTTGACCTGCAAGAGAGTCAGTCGCTCATTTCTGGTAACTTAGTGGAGGTTGTTCACGTACATTAAGTCTTCTCTCTGCCTCTAGCTGGGCTTCCCTGAAGCCATCCATCATCTCATTCCAGGACACTCCGCGGCTAGTGTGGCCCTGGGGATCGAAGAAAGGTTCACAGTACCGAACATTCATTGAGGCCGCTTGCTCAAAGTAGTTCATAGCTAGGTCGTAATAATCTTCCTTGACTTTCAATGCTTGAAATCCTTCAAAATAAGATTCAAAAAATATGTCCCGTTCTTCACCGTCGTTCATACGACTAGCCTCTGGCATGATCGACTCCAATGCAGCATGAAGCTCTTCCAAACTCTTGAGTACCGGTCCATTTGGAACAAGTCTGAGAGGAGTTTCGTTCCGTTGAGTCAACTTCCATCTCAAATCGAGAGTCAACGTCCCTTCAATGTGTACATGAAGCTCAACTTTAGGGATCTCAAAGACGAACTTGTCATTGGTCGCTATTAGATCCTCTCTTAACTTCTGTCGAAGCTCATGTGAAAGCGCTTCATCGATACCCATGGTTGATAAAGGTAAATGATTTGATTCCAGAGTATTTCTCTAAGACAATAATATTGGTGCCGAGCTCACAGAGGCCATTATTTATATCAATGAATGTTACCCTGGTTTCTATGTGAGTCAACGCCGACAAGATCTTAGCACATAGTGTGGAGGTAATGAAATTGATGCTGACAGGGGGAAGGCGAAGTCCGCCGCGAAACTTGTTCAGAAACTGATTGCAATCCTACCGCACTTCATTAGAGACAGTGATCGAGGTAATGCTTTCAACAAACCACATCATCGCCGAACTCGTTAGGTTGGCCACAGTCTCAGCCTAAGCTGCTTACTGCATATCGCAGGCAAATCTTAGCTGCAAGACTAAGTCGAAACAGGCCACTATTTCAGTTATAACGCTAAGCTCAAACAGGTCAATATCTCAGTCTCTTTCGCTCACGTTTCAATGCACAATGTTGGTTTTCGAGGTGGTCTCTGGCTTCAGAACAAGGCGGCGACTCGTCGTCTTTATTGGACAAATTATCCAGTTTCACCGAGCTGATTAAACTGAAAATCTGAAAATGATAAGAACATGCCGCTCCGTATATAGCAAAATTATAAAAACAACCCATAGTGAAACCTCGTCCCTGACATCTGCAGGATGAATAACACCTAAACTCCGTACCCATGATATCATACACGTACAAATAGAGGCCCGTTAAGAGGAAGATCCTGTCTTTTCAGACTCAGAGCCCTTAGATCCACTGATCTTATCCCACACTTTATGCCATTTATCCGTTACCCAGTCCCAGAACTCGTGAACTTTTGAACCACTCCCACCTTGTTCGTCGCCTGGAGCAGGTTCTTCTGTCGGCTTAGACTTTGGTGGGTCGACCCCGATGGCTTTCGAAGAAGTCGGCGATGCATCGACAGGATCAACACCAACCGGTTGAGAAACGGATGCGGTGGCTACTACAGGTGTTTCAGACGGCGAAAGAGCAGTTGTTGTAACAGTATAGCTTGTTACTGGATCTTGAGGCGTGTCAAGTTCAGCGCCGGGTTCATGTAATCCGACTGGCTTCATCGGGAGGCGATAAGTGCCATTGTTGGGCATTGGTACCATACCGATGGAATCACAGAGGATGTTATAAACCTCAATGTTTTCTAGACGAGTTAGCAGAGGAAAAGGGGAGTAGAGATTTCTGACACATACGGAATACATCGAGTCGACTGTTGGGCTCGTGGGGAAAGGCTGGACCACGGGCAATGAATATCGCCCGCATCAACGGGTGCTCATGGTCATACCCATGAAGCCCACGAGGATGATACACGAGGTCATTCGCCTTGGCCTCTTCTATATTGAACTCCTCTTTCGTCACAATGGCCCAACCGGTTTTGGGTACGATCCACAATGGTGCAATGCGGTGATTCTTCGAGAAATGATATCTCTCGGGCATATTAACGTCTCGCAAGTAAACATCGAAATTGGGGTTTGTCTTGGCCTTATCCACTAGTCCATCATACAGCCCTTGCAGCTCTCTCGGATTCTTAGGTCTTAGTCCAACAAGCGGCCATCCGTCGGTATGAGCGATCTTGTCGAGGTCGATAAGATCCTCCATTTGGATAAGCCGCGTGATATCGGTAGTGGCCATTCCATGATCCGACACGATGATGACGTTGACAATGTTCGTCAAGTTTCTCTGCTCGAAGCCCTTGAACATATCGTCGAGCATCTTGTCCACGTTTCTAATAGTGCTGCGGATCTCGGTACTGTTGGGCCCATATTTGTGTCCATCAGCGTCGACATTTGGTACGTACGCCGCGATGAGTTGAGGTCTCATCTCTTTGACGGCAACGTTTGGTGACTCCATGCCGGGCCTGTCAAGGAACTCGAAGATTCTATCGACTTTCCTCGACAGCTTTTCTTTTCCGTTGTACTTGTCTAGAAAACTTGGCTCAACATGGCCGATGTGTGCTTCGCTTCCCGGCCACATGTGCACTGCCGTACGTATACCTTGCTTCTCTGCTGTTACCCAGAAGGGCTCTCCATTCCACCACTTCGGGTCCATACTTCTTGATGGATCGGTGTAGTAAAACTCGGCTTGCAAGTTAGGATCCCAGAAAGTATTGCCAACGACTCCATGTGCTTCTGGATAGAGGCCAGTTGCGAGCGTATAGTGATTCGGGAATGTGACACTCGGAAACGAAGGAAGCATGTACAACGGTGACACACCCTCCCTCACGAATGCATTGAGCCTCGGCGTGAGACCCCGTTGGAGGAAATCTGCCCTGAATCCATCTAAGCTGATAATGATCGTTGTTGGTGCAAATAGAGCCGTGCCGTTGGTGACATAACCTTGTTTCGCCGAAACACTTTTCTTCTTAATGGACAGCTTCCAGGCAAGTAGCACGAGAATCGTAAACGCTATCGCAATGAGCGTGTGGATGAACAGCCACCGACAACATGATCGCCTTCGCTTGGACTTTGTATCGGCCAGGTGTTGCAACGCGCGACGGTCGACTTCGTCACTGTCCTCTCGATCGCTGCTTCCCGTAGAGCTACCCTCTTTCATGCCCCCCTCTTCCATCTCATACATCAGCTCTCCATCTTCGCCATGCTGTGCCTCAGCCAGCAGCTTGTGTTTCTTCTGCCGGCGCCGCTCTCGGCGTTGTTTTCTCTTCTCGGAAGTGAGGTCTTCTGTCAATTCGATCTCCCTCCCAGATGGGCTTCGCGATCGGCTGCCATCGCTGTATCGTCGAGCTAGAAATCGGAGGGGATTCGGAAGTGGGAGATTCGATCCGCGCCTTTCTCGTTCCTGTCGTCTGCGAGCCTCAATCACCAATTGGTCTGTCTCCTCCTCTTCCATCAAGACGATGCGATCGTGCGCTCGGAGCTCACGGCTGTTCCTCGCCCTCATTTGCCTCTCGTCATCATCACTGTCGCTGTCTTGGTCGCTCCTGATTGATACCGCATCGGCGTCGTAGTCGACGGGCGATAAGAGGGAATGATCCGTTTCGGAGGGGATGCTCAATGGCTGAAGAGGCATCTTCGCTGACTTGCTCTGGGCTCCAGACAGAACCAGGAATGAAGAGACCGTCAATTTATTGATTCATGACAAGATAGAGATATTTGCTGACTCCTGCTGGCGCCGGATTACATCCGCGACTGCCTATCAAGATGGACAGAAAACATGGGATGTGGTTTGAGACGCCAAACTATCAGGGTCCACAAGTGTCAAGTAAGCATGGACTAGGCCCTGCAGGACTATGCTCCCGCCCGCCACTAGGAACACGCCGGGCTTTAAGGTTTTGGTTCATTTCCCACATGCCGGGACCCCTAGGACACATACTGAGTTCCAATGTTTACAAGATAAATGACATTTCGATTCTTAGTAACGAATGGCCTTACATTACGAAGATATCAATACCTTACGACGCCTTCGAGCTCATTAGAGCATTTGCCGTAGACGGGCGTTGGGACCTTTTGATCACTCGCCCGGTCAACTTCCTCGAATAATTGATTGGTTGGCTTGAATATCAAGAATATCTACTTCGGTCATTCACACTGCAATTTCTAAACTACCTGAGATCTTTTCATAGGACAGGCTAAGTGTATTTTATCTTCAATGAGAAGTATGTGTTTACAAATATGCACCGTCTCGTTCCAATAAAGTCGCGACGAGTGGGAGCTTGTATCAAGCTACACAAGATATCAACATCTGAAGAGCCACTTGCCAGGGCTATGTAGACCAGATTCATTGAGAAAACCAGCATGTACGACCATACCCAGCAGAAAATTCGGCATCCCGTCCGCTCTGCCCGAGACAAGCTGCTGAGGGCTGAACCAGTAGTTGGGTCGGTGACGACCAGCGAATCCTCAGTGTTGTACATTTCTTTCTTTTTTGGGGTTCTTTTCTTCTGCTCCGCTTCAGTGCTCTTTTGTTTTTGAATATGCATTGTTTCCTTCCGTCTGGTCCCCAACTGGCCGGATCTCCGAGCCGAAACAATTCAGAACCGGAGCCGAGATGGCATCCTTCTCTGCGGACATCGGTTTTCTGAAGGACGGGGATGAGTATCGCTGCCCTCGGAACCCCTGGGTTCCATATCAGAGTTTTTGATATCAAACGAAGCCAGGTGTAAATTGATAATCGTTTCCTCGACGGAATACGTCTTGGCCTCAGAACACCTTTCACCATCTTCGTATGCCTTATGTGTTATAACGCGCGAGATACTCGCTTGGAACCTCTCACAATGCGACACGGCCAGTCCTTTTTTATTTGTCAACGCTTACCTAAGGTTTCTCAACGACCAGCTTAATTGCTGATATCTTGTCTTCTTGCTTGCCTTCTTTGATGCGGTCGATAGTCTCCTTGCTCGCTTCCTGGCCCTTCTCGGTGACGACTCGCATCAGGTCGACAGCGTCCTGGATGCCTTCTAGACCCTTTCTGTTGACGACTAATGGTGGGGGAGCGGCCTTGTAGGCTCCCTTGGCCAGAGCCTCGGGCAGATATCCCCCAAAGGTAGCAGGTGTCGTCTCAAACCAACAGTCGGGGAATGGTTTGAAATTCTCAGGCGTTGGCTGCTTGACATCCACCCCCTCTGGTACATCCTCCAAGTTACCGATGAAATTGGACGATGCAAGATTGAGCTAGCAGGAACCGTGTCAGCTTTTCATATATTAGAAAAGGGGCAAGATGTCTGAATACCTTCTGCTTGGACGCTGCCGCAACTTTGTATGCCGCGACATTCCCCTCCTTCAACCCGGCCGCCATGAAGATACCAGCACATTCGCCTTTGTCGAGCTCTGCAGCGATAATTTTGGTCACATCGGCATCTTTATAGTCGAAGACTTGGGTGGCGCCAAGGCCCTTAACGTAGTCGAAGTTCTTCTTCGAACAAGTGGCGATTACATCATAGCCTGCAGCCGTGACTAGCTGTACAGCATTGCTACCAACAGCAGAGCTGCCTCCCCAAATCAAGACGGACTTCCCCTTTTTGAGTGCCCCTAGTTTGGGGTAGTCGAGGTTAAGATAGTCCTTTCCGAACAGGAACAGGGCGCTGGTGGCGCTGCAAAGGCCAAGAACGACAGCTTCGCGGTACGGCATGTCGCCTGGGATTCGAGCCATCAATCTGTTGTCCAAGGAAACAAAGTCCTGAAAGCCGTTGTTGGCGCCGAAGCCAAAGACCCGGTCGCCGACGCGGAACTGGGAGGCCGCGGTGGAGCCCGGAGCCACGGATTTGACGGTGCCGGCAATGTCGCAGCCCAAAATTATGGGATAATTGACCAGATTCCTGTCCTGGAGCATGTAGTCGCAGGGATTGATGGCCCAGGCATGCACTTTGACCAACACCTTGTGATCGCCAAGCTCATCGTTCGTAGGGAGCGAACTGTCGCGGATTGCGCCGGGAACGCCAACCGCGTCCTGCCAAACGGCGCGATTGATAGTGGTAGCCATGATTGATCGCCGTGCCGTTCAAAAAAGCATACACCTTGGGTGCGGATGTACAAATTTATAGCTCAGAAGGATCGAGCTATCTATCGACGGACTTAAACCCTTTTACACCCGAGTTATCTCATTTCTGGACGTTATATCCCTATTTCCGCAAAGGCTTCTATATTCAGAGGGCTCACAGGGAAGTTTAGCATCCCGTCCAAGAAGGTTTGTACAAATGAAGTACCTACCTAAGCTGTCAACACCAACAGTAGTACTCGTTGTCTTCCCACACAGTATCGTCAACTCCTCTCTCATGTTGCCATCTGAAGCTGGCTATACTACCAGTCCGCTCATCAAATATGATCTTCACGCTCTCTTCGTGAGAATTTCCGACCGCCTTAATTCCCTGTGTTGTGTCTTCGTCCGGATTCCAAACGACCACGTACTGAAGCTCCCATCTAGATGCTTCCTCAAGAGCCGCTTCAAGCAATACTGAAATATCCGAGAGCTTTTGTTCTTCTGACTCAGGGTCCGACGTAACGATGCGCATGATTTCGAGCTTCTGGTATCTCCAGTCATGATCCCAGTAGATCCAACTCTTCCCATCAACGGTTACGGCTCCTCTCCATTCGATGTCCTTTTTGTACAAAATCTGGGTCATAAAATCTTCTCGCGCAAGCTGCCATGCAATCTGGTCATAGCTAGGGCTAAAGGCGATGTGCACCCTCCTGTCTGAACCGAGTGCTTCGAATTTCTTCTCCATAGCGGCCACATCTCGGTCACATAATGGCTCAAGCTCCTCCTTCTGAAGATATTTTGTTCGGTGCGGTTGTGTAGGTTTGAAATCCTGGCCAGGAAGAAGATGCAATGTCGCCTGATCCGATGGGAATACCGGCCATCCTAGCTGGGCGTAGTATATCTTCCCGATATCGCTGTACAGAGCGCTGAAAGCACCATCCTGGTCGATCTGCTCCTGAAGTTTGCGTAACATAAATCCTGCCATCCCAAGTCGGCGATACTTTGGATTCGTGTAGACGCTCGCAATGCCATAGCCAATTGCTTTCGCGAAGCCTTGCCCGCCGCCGGCGATGAGCACCGTCTTCCTTATGCTTTCACAGCTGGCGATGATGTGCTTGGGGTCATCTTTGCGATGTAACACCCAGTACTTGCATCCGCCGCCCTTTGAAAGGCCTTGCCGCGACAGGTAAATTTCACGAGCAATGTAATCTTCTAGTTCCATGGGCGCTGCCCATGCCGCACCATTGAGCTGCCATGCTATCTTCTGTAGCTCTGGTGTTGCTTCAGTAAATACAGCATCCTCTGTAGTAATAGCATGGTCTTCAAGTTCTGTCATTCTACCAGGGCCAAGGCTGTCAACTAGATCCTACGCAGTGATTCTTACTGGAAGACTCGATACTGTTCGGGTGTGTTTGGTTTTGTTTCAGGTGCAAAAGGGTGTGAATGATGATTTAGATGAGATCGGGATGATATATCTCGGCACTCGCAATTAATGCTATGACTTTCCTTTATCAGAGTTTGCTTCTTAAGGTATGTTGTACCGAGGGCCCACGATCTACCAAGATTAGAATCGTCGTCATAGGTCCCGTGGGGCGGGCAAGCCGGCGCGGCAGGCTCCTGTAAGACAGAGATGCGCCATTTCCGGGACTTCGGTGCGTTTCTGGTTAGCCTACTTACAGCGTCGGAAGCCGTCAATTCGGCAGACGGAGACCCGGTGGCATTGTTTGAATGAGGACTCAGCATGTGAGGTCACAAATCGCGGAGAGCCGATCTCTCCAAAAATTGGTTGAGTTGCTACGCTTGCTGTGGTGGGATCTCTTCACTTGCACGTCGATCTATCTAGACATGCAAGGGAAAATGTAGTTAATTGAAAGCCAGAGGGACATTTGGCAAAACTCAGTATCATTCCTGCGTGGGGAACAGCCAATAAGGGGTCAGATGTTTACCTATTTGTCTCTTGTACAAAAGACGATATCATCGACGCACTACCCTTCACGTAGGGTAAGAAGAGCTTGACAGTAAGCTGGCGATTTAATAATCTTGTAAACATGATGTACGTAGTCGATGCAGAAGTTCTCGGATGCAGCATTACTGTAGCAGTGGCAACACATACATGATAAATATTCACGACAGACCAGAACTTCATGATCCTATCAGAGCATTTTACATAACACCTTGATCAAACACCTCATGCGGCAGATTTCAAGTCACTTAATGCAAGCCTGTCTCAGATATGGCATTGCGCAGATTGACTGTATGTTTCTGAGGCTTCCGTAGTGATCTCGATTTGCTGATGTGCGGGTGGATGGTCCAGTGTGGAAGATGCAGGTGGGCGAACAAAATCGACTAATCCTAGCAAGGATAGTGGCTTATGCATCTACGCAAGACTTTGCAGCAAAGAGAAAGCGCCACACTACAAAGGTGGCTGACCCCCACCTGGAAAAACACAGGCTCCGAAATTTTTTTGGTGGGCAGGTAAAATCATTCGGGACCTAATCAAAAATCCTAGCGGAGTTCAGGGCTTGGATCTTCAACTCCAACACGACACTCCGACAACCGACACCCAATAACGACCTCAGGTACGCGACAATTTGAGGATTTCCCGGTTCAGTCCTCAATTCTAATCAATCGCTTTACCAGCAGATCACCGACACAATGGGCGAGGCAAGCATCGTCGCTTCCAACTGGCGCCTCGTGGAGGTCGGCCGCGTCGTCCTCCTCCAGGGTGACAGCCCGTACGCCGGCCGTCTGGCAGCTATTGTCGAGATCATCGACCACAAGCGCGTATGTGAAGGAACTGCCACGGCTATGAAGTGAGAAAGAACAGAAGTGATTGACTAGATTCGCAGGCTCTCGTGGATGGTCCCGCCTCAGACTCCAAGCTCGCCGTTCCCCGGCAAGCAATCTCCCTGTCCGAAGTTCTCCTCTCCGACTTCGTTATCGCCAAGCTGCCCCGTGGTGCGCGCACAGGAACCGTCAAGAAGGCTTGGGAGAAGGCCGAGATCGACTCAAAGTGGAAGGAGTCCAACTGGGCCAAGAAGCAGCTGCAGAAGGAGCGACGGGCGCAGCTGACCGACTTCGACCGATTCAAGGTCCTCCGCCTCAAGAAGCAAAGGCGATTCGAGCAGCGAAAGGCTCTGGCGAAGGTTAAGGCTTCAGCATAAGCATGAACAGGGGATGGGTGTTGGGCTCGGCGGCCCGGGGTTCTCTAGAGGGTGACGGTATTCTGGACGGCACTGCATGAAACCATCAGCATTTAGGGTCGCTGGATTTCTTTGCTTCGTTTTAGGAAGGCCTGTACGTCACATCATCATTCGTGACCGGCGTCAAATGATAGGGAAATTCAGAAACCAAAATCAAGCAAAATCAAGATCACTCAAAAAGGCATTATGAAGGCACTGTGTGTGATTGGAAATATTGAACTTAATCATGGTATTACAAGATTGTATGAATACGCTATTCCCTCAGTTCAATGTGCTTCCCCTATTGAATGTCCCGTAAATCGTAAATTCTTATGAATCAGAAGCGTCAAACCTACTGCAAAATATCTGGGGGATTCGATGATTACCTAATTGGGTTTAGTGGCATGGTTCAATCAAGCCCTACTGGAGTTTTTCGAACTTCGACAATTCTTCACGCAACCAACCTACCCCCCTCTAAGACCACCCTTATCGAGACATTAGTGGCCGTTTCAAGTAGGTAAGTAATTGAATTCCTCACTGAAGCTCTGCCTTCGATTATTCATTACTTCCGACCGAAGTTCGCTACCTGCAGCAAGCTCTACCTCACCGTCGTGGGGTTGCAAAGTGTGTGTAGCCTCAGCTAACTTCAAGCTGCGATTTAGTTGCCCAGCATGGCGAACCCCAGAGTTGAAGAGCTTCCGGATGACGAGCCGAAGAAGGTCACCGTCGAAGAGCAGGATGATGACAGCAGCTCCGACTCCGAGATCGAGGCTGGCGACTCCAGCCTGCCCACTGGCTCCAATGCCGTCATCTACTCCCGCAACGAGAAGAAGGCCCGCAAGGCCATGGAGAAGCTCCATTTGACCCGCGTCCAGGGCATCACTCGTGTCACCCTACGACGACCCAAGAACGTGAGTAGTTTTCCTCATGTTTGGTTGCATGCAGTGCGCCGGGAATCGAAAACTCCAACTTCATGCTTCCCAGCCTTCTCTGATGATGACTTCAGCTCTTGGAAATTTGCTAACGATCTCCAGATCCTCTTCGTCATCAACAACCCCGAGGTTTACAAGTCCCCCAACAGCAACACCTACATTGTCTTTGGTGAGGCTAAGATCGAGGACCTCAACGCCTCCGCACAGGCTGCTGCTGCCCAGCAGCTCGCCAGCCAAGGCGGTGACCACGACCACGCCGATCACGACCACTCCGGCCACGACCACGGCAAGGCTGTCGAGGCCAAGAAGGATGATGATGACGATGATGGCGAGGAGGTTGATGCTGAGGGAATTGAGGACAAGGATATCGAGCTCGTCATGACCCAGGCTGGTGTGTCACGCAAGAAGGCTATCAAGGCACTGAAGGAGAACGACAATGATATTGTCAACTCCATCATGGCTCTGAGCGTCTAAAAGCACACCCTCACGTCTATCCTTCACCATTTCCGGGCTTGCACAAGCAGGTCCCTCGTTGCGATTATAGCGGCACATCTTTGCATGGGAACTGGAAAGAATGGTCGGCGACCTCTGTATCAACTTGCTGGAATTAGCCATTTCTTCTAAAAGGTTAGGAGCAATTAAAAGTCCCAAGCTCTCATCGAGGCAAATATGATACAATGCATGACCGGAAGTGCTTCTTATTTCGTCGTAACCATCCATCTCCCTCCGTATCGCCGTTCATGACTGCGTTTCCTCCTAAAGCCATATAACACTACAATATATATGCATTTAAAAGTCTGTCTACACCTCGAATAGTAAAATCTCAAGTCATTTCTGCCAATTGGCCTGTTGTCGCCTTCTGAAGCTGCGTTGTATTCGCGCATCGAAGTCACGTGCCTTTCTCACGTGACTTTCCGCAACGGCGCTCCATCCTTCAAGTTTGCCGAAGCCGATAAACGAGCATCGCGAGTGTCAGTTTTCCCTTCCTCGGATACCTCACATCAATCACAACCATGGCCGCAGTAAGTGTATTCCCATCAATTGATGACCGCAGCTGCTACATCAAAACATTCTGAACGTATTCTCTCGCGATTGGCGTGCTGTTGCTCACGGGGGAGCTCCCGGAACTTGAGCTAATTTTCTTCCTCTTCCGTAGCGATCCGCAGCTCTCAAGCTTGACTGGGCCAAAGTCACCACCTCTCTGGGTCTGCGCGGCCAGACGGTTGCATCTCTGCAGGCCTTCAAGAAGCGCAACGACGACGCCCGCCGCAAGTTCCAGCAGCTGTCCGAGGAGCCGACCACCGTCGACTTCGCTCACTACCGCAGCGTCCTCAAGAACCAGGCTATCGTCGACGAGATCGAGAAGCGCTTCAATGCCTTCAAGCCCGCCTCCTACGACCTCGACCGCCAGCTGAAGGCCATCTCTGCCTTCGAGGTTGAGGCTGTCAAGAATGCTGAGGCTACCAAGAGCAAGGTTGACCTTGAGCTGAAGGACCTGGAGAAGACCCTGAAGAACATCGAGGACGCGAGACCATTCGAGGAGCTCACTGTGGTAAGCATATACACGCCGTCTCGATTATCGAGTGGAATCATGCAGAAACTGATCAAATGCAATAGGACGAGGTTGCTGCTGCCGAGCCTTCAATCGATGAGAAGACTTCCAAGCTCGTGTCCAAGGGTCGCTGGTCAGTCCCTGGTTACAAGGTATGCGATCACCAACAAATTTTATTCGCGGCCGTTCATTCGCTAATACCTCCGTTAGGAAAAATTCGGCGATCTCTCCGTACTATAGACAACCTAACAGCTTTGTTTCCTTGGTGTACTCTAGCATTGTAGATATCAGAGAGGAAGAAGTGGAGCGGGTGGAATGTGAATACATTGACCAAGCATCTCATACAAACGCTTTCGAGACGGGAAGAATTAGGCCTTGTTCCTGTCTAACGTGCCCTCTACAACACTATTGACTCATCCTCGCCAGCAACCCATGCTAATCCCTTCAGCATCGCCTTGTCGGCCGCAAGGGCCTGTGGAAGCTGAGGGGCCTTCAGCCAGAATGTATGTGGCCAGCCCTTGACGACCTCGAGCTTGACGTCCACCCCAGCATCTTGAAGTGCTTTGGCATAGCAAAGCCCGTCTGAGTACAGCATATCATTCGAGCACACTTGGATCCAGGTCCGTGGTAGACCTTGAAGCTGCTCCTCAGGTGCCTCCAAGGGCATGCGTTCCAGGCCGTCCCGAGGGATTTCGCGCGTCATCACTGTCAAAAGGCTGGTTGAGAAGGACATGTCCCATGCGCTAGTGTGTAGAGGACGCAGCTTCTCTGGGACATACTCTGGCCCCTTGAATGCATCGCTTGTGACAGGGCATCGAAGTACCAGCCCGTGAATGCTCCCCTTGGGCGCAGCCTGTGATACAAGGGCAGCCAACTCTCCACCACTCGAGCTGCCTACAATCAGGTATCTAGGGCCCCAGCGCTCCCTCAATTTCCCATTGGAATCCACGATCCAGTTGAAAGCATCCATGCAGTCAGCCACTGCAAGGCTCGCCGTGTATTTGGGCTTGAGGCGGTAGCCAACAGAATAAAGGGTAATATTTTGCAAGCCAGATTCCTTCAGGATGCGCCGACACTGTAGGTCCTCACTGTCCGCCTCGCCTACATGGAGCCCACCGCCGTGATAATATATGATGATGTACCAAGGTTTGTCTGCCAGTTCTGGCTTTTCAGTCAGCTCATATTTCAAGACAGGTATGAGCCAACCGTCGCCCCCTGTGACAGTGAGTTCGGTCCTAGTAATCCCTTGGGATAGATGATGGTATGGAGCCCCTGGGGCCATCATGCTGCCGTCGAGTTCCCTGCATTGCGCTGCGTAAATCGGCTGGCGCTCGAGTTGCCCAATGACTGGCCGCGGTGCCAGGAGATTTGCCTCGGACTCATACTGAAGCCACGCGGGATCTAGCGGCGGTGCTTTCTGGAGGACCAGAGATTCCATCTTTCCGTTTCAATTAACCGGCCAAAGAATACACTCATCAATGTATAGACTGTCAGCTCTCACGGCTCTATCTAGACAGGATAATGAGATCACCACGTCAGGTTTCCTGGAGGGCGTCACGTAAAAGCAGAATCATCAATGTCTCCCCAAGCCATACCTGGGCATGGACTCACATATAACCATTTCCCGTTCAACTACGCGGGAGACGCTATGCTCATTCATGTGGTATTATTCGTGGAGAGACGGAACCGCCGTAGTGTGGGGTGCGCTTCTGGCCCCAGTGTACTAGCTCCACTTGAGTGCTCCACCAATACAAAGTAGGCAATCCAATCCACGGATGCCATCCATGGATGGCTTTCAGCCTCCTTGAGCCCCTTATTGAAACTACCATGACACCTTAAACCAGAATTGATAACATATGCTCATATATGCCGAGGTGCAGAGCGCTTGCAGCTTAATAGATGACGAGAAACCAAGCCCCAATACATCATAAAAGTGATTTTCTTTCATAGTCATAGACTTGCATAGCAAGGCAAAGAAGAATGTAACATGCAGATAGATATCTTTCACTTATAAGGTACATTGGTACATTTAGCAAACTATCAATGGTGCTTTAGAACACTAAGCAAGGGCTCATGTACAGCAAGATTTCCATTGGTACATACCTTAGGTAAGCTTTGCATTGTTATGATTTGGACGCACAGGAGTAAATAGATGTGGTCTTCTGGAGCACCTTCCCCAACTACTTAAGCTTTCACGCGCTAATGCGCCTGATGTTAGGCAACTCTTGAGCTTATTTCCTTGGACTGGACGCGAACTTGATGGAATATAAAACCATCTAGGTGTGAGAACCACCAAATAGGTTTTTGAGCCTCCTTGCCTTGTGATTCCAGAACCGTCGTCTGCCTGCGAGACTTCACCTCATTGACTCATAGCTCGTAGATTCTGTAGGTTCTAGGACCTTCGAGGGCAGTTAACCTCAGGTGTCAACGTGAAGCAGGATATTCACTGTCTGCGTGTAGAAATATAAATACCCGGCACCTCCCACCTCTCTGTCGTCAAACCTTTCCTTGTATTCTTCGTCTTTCATCTACTTTTTTTCACGTCCCTCCAAATCCCACGATTTCCCCGGCATCATCAGCCGGTATCATGTGTTGATTACCTTTAACCTCACCGAGGATAACCGGGCAAAGAGCCCCAGAGTCGTCTCCAAGAATATAGGTACAGTCTCCATCTCTTCAGCTTCCTCTTCCGTCCTACCTTCCCTTCCACAAAGTCATCCTCCTGCTTCATACCTAGGTAGCTTCTCAAGACCACTGGAACCCCAATCTTGAAATCCACCGCACGTCTTCATCGCATTCATGCCTCAAACCCCTCCAAGAGCACCGCCTCTGCTGCCAGGCTCCTCGTTCCTGCACTAAGACTCTTCCTCTGGTCGTACACCTTGCCTCTGTCAATTATTCATCCGACTCCATCGCCTTAATGTATACGTTATGGCTTTGTGTGTTCTGTAGACTGACCCTTTGCTGGCCATAGCAGAGAAGCTGAGATAAGTAGGAGCTCTCACAGAGCCCTTGTCCTACCAGGCTCGCAAGCCCGGGCTAGAAGAATGTGACCTGAGGCATTGGTCTTTCGCCAAGAGAGTATTTGGTGCGGTCTCTTCACAGATCTATACCCGCGACGAACAGGGCCGTGCTCATCTCCCCGCTACAGTCCGCCAATGGCACCAGGGCCATCATGATGGGTGTAGCTCTACGCTACACCGCGATTGATGGATCCTGGGTAAGACCAGCCCTGTTACCAGCCCTCCTATCCACACCCTTCCTGCAAATCTGCCAAAATCATGACAGATGCAGTCACTGGACAGTCCCGTGGAGACGGCTTTGTTCGCTTCGCCGAGGAAGGCGACCAGCAGCCTGCCCTCGCCGAGATGCAGGGCGTCTACTGTGGTAATCACCTGTGCGCACCTCGACCGCAACTCCGAAGACTAGGTTCGTTTCTGCCTTCACCAGATCCTCAGTCACCTTTGGGTATCATTTTACTGAGTTTCTTTTTTAGAAGTCATCGCTATACATAATTTCAAGTTGTACGGCAATGCCGGAATGATCCAGGCGCCGCCGATGCAGCAAGGAGGCATGAACTAGGGGCATGCAGCCTTGTTGCGACGGGGATGTTCCAAAGCCGTTTTCATAACGCCGACGACTTCAGTAACTTGACAACCGTCTAATGCGAATCTCCACCGCTACGCCCAAGACTAGGAGCCACCATGGCTGTTGTTCATCCGTAACCTGGAAGAAAGGGGGTCGATAACCCGTGTCCGCCGATCCCGCCCATTTCACGGTGGAGGACGCGGACACGGGGGCTGAAGGCCAGTCTCGTTTGTTGTCTGGAGAGATGGTTCCTCCATCATCATGTATACCGGCTGCAGCCATGCCTCCTTGCCCAGGCCCTCCACCACCGCAGGATGTAGCTCTACGCTACATCAAAGGTGTGGTGGCTCCTGGTCAGGGTCGTATAGCTGGGCGCGGTAGACTTGGTGGTTGGGGGGCGATCCACTCCGACTTCAAAGATGCTTGGCCTTTGCCTTTGTTCACGACCGTTGGGGATGTTTGATCCCTCTCGGGATCTTCACCCGGTATGAGTTCCTGATATTTCTCATTTAATCCAGTGCTAATATTAGTGTTGTGTCAGGTGCTTAGCTGTTGGTCATACCATGGAGCAAGACCCGCTGGGGCAACCAGCATATGACGACCGCTCTCTTGAGGCTGCGGTGACTCTTGAAGTCAGCAAGTACGTCACTGTGTTTGTCAAGATTCGTCGAGATAATCGACACAAGTCGAATCTTGACAAACACAGTGCCGTTCGCCTTCTGCCAATATACGGTAAGCTGTTTTCTGACTTATAGGTCACATCCATGTCTATTAACGCACCACAGCGGGATGAGGACGCCAAGGCTGCCATGGAGCATGGCAAGGGCACAATGACCCTCACACCACAGCGGGATGAGGACGCGAAGGCTGCCATGGAGCATGGCAAGGGCACTATGATTCTTGGTCGTGCCTGCCGGACCGAAATGGTCAAGGTTAATCGTATGTTATCTCTTTCTCCCATCCTGGCGCAACTAACCTGGTGAAAGGAATTTTCGTGACCTACAAGGTCACCAATGATGACATCACTGCCGAGGAGGTGCGTGCTCTTCTGGCTCAGTACGGACCTATGAGCAAGTGTGAGCCGTTGTTGTTTGTTGTCGAGGGAGTGTATCATGTTCAGAAGTTCTGTAACTTCTTGAGCAGGGGCGGTTGGCCATGTGTACTTCACTTGTACCAACTTATGTACCTGATATCTGTAAGTTTGTCCGTTATGGCTTTCAGCTTTGTGACATTTTGACGTTGCAGTTGATGAGAATGATCCATGCTAACTATTTTAGCTTTCACTTCAATATTTTCATCAGGGTAGAGGGCAGCGCGCGAAGATGCCGTCCGAGACAATGACGGTCGGTGCGGTGTGTCGTTCTGGTCATTATCGAGATATATACAATTAGCACACCGAGTACAAGCCTGTAAAAACATCCTTTATCCTCCAGCAAGTCATTACGCATACACAGAAGTCTATTTACTCTGTCCAGTCTACTATTTGCAGTATCTGGAAAGTGGGCAACGCACATATATCTTGGTTGTCGAAGAGTTAAGTGGCTGGGCACTGGGAGAAGTGGTCGTGTTTTGGAGGAATTCTCGGAAGGATCGATCATAGGGTTTTCCTTGGTGGAGCATGTTGATTAGAGCCACCTGACTATCATCTCACTCTTATTTATGGATGGTTATAGCTCAGCTTTGTGATTAAACATGTGAATGCTTTACAAGATATCCTAACCTTCCATTTGCCTTTATGAATCGTTCCGAAAGTAGCACCATGACGTTCACAAACTCCTCATCCAGGTCATTACTACTATATTGGAAGTCGATCGTGCTATTTTAACAAGCAGAATCTTCGAGGCTTTCAACAAGCTCTATTGACAACAATCATCCAATAGAGATCAAGGCCATCAGCCATTGTTTCGTCATTTGGTCGACGTTGTCGAGTCTTTCGGCTTGTACACCACCCTCTCTTTCAACAACCTCGGCGTCTCCGGGTCATGGCTTGGTAAGACGACGACATCCGTCTGGCCAGCAAACTCCTTGATCAGCTTCAGGCTCTGCAGCGCCGTCACAGGATCGTCGTTGATGCCGTCGGGCTCCTCCCTGTCCAACAGATCGATGCCGTACGTCGCGTCACCAGGTAAGAAGTATGTCGTCGACGAATCCCCCTCCTGGCCATAGACAATCATCGAGATGTGGCCGGGCACATGGCCGGGGGTGTGGATGACAACGACCTTTCCATCAGCCGTCACCTTGTGTGACTGTTTCCACGGCCCAACGGGCCCATCAGCAAACGGCAGGATCTTAGGGTCGAAGCCTACAGGCCAGTGCTGTGGCGTGCAGCCTTCAATCTTGGCGCGCAGCGGGTGCTTTCCGAATGCCTCCCAGTGCTCGCCGCTCACAAAGACCGGCACGTTTGGTGCGGCCGCGGCCAAGTCTTTGAGCCCTCCGGCATGATCGCCGTGTAGATGGCTCAGCACGATAGCCTGCAGGGTCGTCGGATCGACGTCATGTGCCCGCAGCTGCGAAAGAATGCCGTCGTCGGGCCCTATGGTGACATGGCTGAAGAACTTGGTCGGGCTCCACGCCGGCAGGTAGCCAGGCGTGCCCCAGAGCGGCGAGTCGCCGGTATCAAACAGGATCGGCCCGTCGGGGTGCGAGACAATGAAGACGCCAATGGGGAGCTCCTCCGTCCACTGGCGGTCCATCAAGGACGTTAGACGTCGCAGGATGACAGTCTTTGTGGTGATAGGCTGGCCCTTCATCGACTGCCGGATGCGGACGGTGCCGGTCGATATGAAGGTCAGGCCGACGGACGGGCCTGCTGCCCTTGGCGCGGCTTCAGCCATTGCTTATAGCAAGCAGCCCGATACTTGGACGTGTATAAGACGCTGCTAAGGTTTTCTATGGCTCACTTAGCCAGTGTACACAGATGATGCAGCTTGCCTCATCCAAGGATGATGGCCGCGCCGGAAGATAAGAGTTCTGAAGTGAAAATGGCCGAGTCAGTCGAGAGCAGATGGTGTGGAGCCCGGGACCTGTGGCGGCGCACGGCGCGGTCAATCAGTCTCCCAACGGACCCTGCATTGTGCCGTCTCGGGCACTACCGTAGATTTGTAGTGCATTCGGTACAGCGAATTGTGCGGAGGATCGGGAGCCGAAGCACCGTGAGCCAATGCACCAATCGCAAGGCCGATCCCATCGGGGATATCTCCAGATTTGACAATTTGACAGACTTTGAGCTCGTTTTCGTGGGCATTGACAACTATTTCTCTCTGGTCACCGGTATCACCAACGGCAGTAGTGGGCAGACACGGTGCATTTCACATGTCAGGTAGCCCCTCCGGCTATCGACCTACAGTGGGGATGTAAAGATGTGCACGAATCTTCAGCTGCAGGGCTCCACCAAGCTTCCAGCACGGACAGCTATATTCTCAACTTGGAATCGGCACACTCGGCAGAAGCTACCAGGAGGGCCGAGAAGAGATTTTGTAGCGTTGTGACGGGAGTGCAACACATCGGCATCGGCATCGATATTCGTCTCGTCCACCTTGGTAGAGGCACGGGCCATCGAAAATTACCCGATTGGGATCTATCAGACTGCTGATTGGCCCTGAGCGAAGTGGGCTCTTCCCCAAATGCAAATGCTAGGTCTTCGAGCTTGGCATCAAAAGCCTCCTTCCCAAGACTGTAGTTCTATTGTAGTGCTATTCAAATGCGGCATGGTAACGAGGCATTGGGCTATTGAAATGCAGGAAAATATCAATGCTCATTTACATTGACGAGTGGCTTATGATCTTCTATTTTCTCGACTCTTTCTGTCTAGCTGCCACGAGAAGGACGCTGCTGTCCTGGCTCTTAGTGTTTGATCGAAGAGTCTCTTTCATCCAACACGCTGCGAGACTTTCATTTAGGATGGCCCGACCTTGCTTCAGTCAGCTATCAAGCAGTGTAACATGGTATGGGACGACACACCTGCCAAACGTTCAGTTGCACTCCTCCACTCAGCCGTCCTCCTCTGGCATACCCAACGACATTATTCAACCATGCATACTTCTTATGGCCTGTCTCAAATGTGTGGTGCACATTATCACCCTGTCCCTTTGCAATGACGTAGATGTTGGCGCCGTCAGTCGTCTGAAGGAACATCACTGTGTCTTCGCGGAATAGGCCGGTTGTGTCAGTCAGCCCCCAGTCTAGACCATAGGCTACAGTGCCTGTGTGCGATCCTGGTTAGACGATGGCGTCCCAAGTCCAAAAAGTCAAAGCAACTGACCATTCATCTTTGGTCCAGAGAATGTGCCGCCCGTTATAGCCCAAACACCTCGACGCCCCAATGGAGTCGTGCCCATCTGCAGACTCACGTTGGAGGGAATGGTCAGGTTGACGGTATACAGGTAGGTCAGAGGCGGTGGCTGCGGATCGCCTCGACTCGTCGCTGCGAAAGAGAGCGCAAGAATAGAAGAAAGCAGCATCTTGGCCATGAAGGACAAGAAATTGTCATCATAAAACTCAAGATAGCGGAGCAGCTGGATTACTGTATACCACCCTTTATGTCTGTGACTTCATTCATTGCTGATCTCTTCGGCTTGACATCGGACTTAAAAGTCTTGTATTGACGGGCATTTTGCCTATACATGCCCCCACGCACAATATGTGATATCTCCAGGAACCAGGGAGCTTATCATCGCTGCACGGCTTGATGGCGGCTAAAGAGGCTCAACCACGGAATCCATGAAAGGTCTCGGATATCTCGGTGGCGACCCCCGGCCGAACACATCAAGATATCATGAATCGCAATAACCTCACGCAAGAGTTCAAGGCTTTTCGCATACATCAGGGCGGAGATGTGACCACTTGATAGCACAAAGTGCACAGCGCCGGCAAAAGTCATGCAGTAATATTCAGAGCAATGTATCCATGGTTTCAATCCCATAGCCTGTGATGTAAGTCATGATATGCAAAGTGAATTGAATTACTAGCTGCAGTCCGATGATTCCCGAGCCGGCCAATGCTTTGTCTGCCGCAGCAAGTATCAAGCCCTACAGATGTACTGGATCTGCGCCATTCAAGGTGACTTGTCAGACGCTCTATAGTCATCAACAGTGGTTGACCAAGCGCCAACCGCGCCCAACGACCAAGATAAAGACTTGGGCTACTGAAGGACGACCTCAAGGTTATAAAACGATAGATGCTTTGATTATTACCTTGAGGATATCCTTCATTGGCACAGACTTGCGGGGGAATAAGCAAATCATCTGCGGGGCATCTAGACCTGTCGGGACACTTCCTTAGCGGTGTCGGAATGATTCCGATGCCTACAGCAAGCAGTAACACACACCTCCAAAACACACTTCGACGTATGACATCAACTTCGGAGCAGATCCGTTTAAAGTATCTAGGTTGTAGCACAACAGCTCCCGCGGACAATCCTCACGAAGAGCGTGGAAACATGTCTTCGGGATTGAATTAGTATCTAGATCTTTGCGGAAATGAACATTACCCCTGAGCAATTTCCAAGAGGATCTGGGCTTTGGCGATGCTTGTTGTTTAGTCCCTTGAAAATTGACAGCAGCTATGTTCGCGAGCCGCTCCTCAGTCTACTTCGCCATCGCGGCAGTACCCGTCCTCTTCCTCGCTATGGGACCCGCCTACAAGATCTTGTGCCAACTGGCGGCATTCGTCACGGTGGTCTTGAGGAGCAGCGGCCACGTCGACACGCACTTCCATGCTCTGCCTCCGGCATATCTGGCTGCTGTTGAAGCCGATGGGGGTGATCCGTCGGGATATACTAGCCCCGAATGGAGCTTGGCTGCCGCTGTCAAGTCCATGGACGCCGTTGGGACATCGACAGGTATGCCAAGGCTGAAGCAGTGGCGATGTTTCCAATATAGCTGACTCGCAATAGGCATCCTCTCCGTATCATCCCCATCGAGGGGACGGGCGAAGCGGGCAGAAATCTGACCCGACTCCTGAACGAAAATCTTGCCGAATATGCCACGCATAGCCAGTATGCCGGTCGCATCGGTTTCTTTGGCGTCCTGCCCGACTGGCAAGATGTGAATGGTCCTATGGCAGAGCTTGACTTCCTGTATAGCCAGCAAAAGCTCTGCAGCGGCGTAACAGTATACACCAGCTATGGCGGCAAGCTCCTCAGCGACCCTTTGTTCGTCCCCATTTGGTTGAAGCTGCAAACCTACAAGGCACTCATCTTCCTACACCCCTCGGTCCTAGAGGTAGGGCCTTTCTTCATCGGTCCGGCCATTCCCTCAGCCCATCGTGGACTACCCCCTCGCCACCACCCGCGCGGCAGTCGACCTCGTGATGACAGGGACGATCCGCGCCTGTCCATCCGTCGATATCATCTTGTCCCACGCAGGCGGCACCATTCCCTTCATCGCCGGCCGAGCTATCAATAGTCTTGCCTTCCCCGCCGTCTCGAGCCTTGCGAAGGTGAACATCTCGCAGGCAAAAACCGATTTTGCGCGTTTCTATTACGACATTGCGCTCAGCACCAGCGTGGCCCAGCTGGATGGGCTGTTGGATTTTGCCGACGCCGAACACGTCCTGTTCGGGTCGGATTTCCCATACGCTCCGCAATTCGGTATCGATGTAGTGGTGCTGATGTATGCGAAATATGTTGCCACAAACTCAAGGGGGTAGGAGATCAGGCCCGAGGTCCTGAGAAGCATGCTCAGGGTATTGTATTTAGCTGAAAGTACCGCATGACGCAGTCCCAGGTCCTTGGCGTGTATAATAGTAAAAATATTTGAGTGTATGTAGAATCTTGAATATATTATGGAGTAGAGGGCATGAAGTCAAAGTTTGGATCCCAAGTGAACATGTGCCCCATCATGTAGGCCTCCTCTAGACCTGGTGCGCTCGGGTCCAGGTGGAACATCATGTCAATCTGGCCCGGAAACTGCCCTTGTACGTCCGCCAAAATTTCGCTCTGATCTTGCAGAGGTCTATTGCCTTCGGGAGCGATCCCATTTTCCCTAGCTGTATGGTTTGTTAGCGAGGGCAAAGACGGAAGAAATAGAATGCTGCTGGAGCCCACCCGTCTCTTTTAATATTACATGCTCGTTGACTTTGACGAGCAGATCGAGGGACTTGCGAGCAGAGACACTGAAGGAGGTCAAGTGTTGCAGGATAGATTGGCATTGGTCCCACAATGTATCGATTTCCGTCTGGTCCAATGTCTTCCATAGATCGGGGCATAAACGCGCGACAATCAAAACGAGCCCGGCGGTAGATGTATCTGAGAGTATCATTAGAATGACATACAGTCAATATAATGCATCAGCACTCTTACATAAGGCGTTCCACCACCACGCGCCACACGTATCCGCCAAATACACTTCATTCATCAGGCGGATCAGCCTCTTCGCCGCTTCAACGCATGACTTCCCACACTCAAGGGCAAATGAATTGCGCAGTCCGTCACTGGACAACAGTGCGCCGCCGATAATCGTATCATTGTTGCCACGAGGCTCAGTGGGTTCTGGAACGGAAAGCTGCGTCAAGATGGGGCGGTGTAGTATTAGCAGCATGTAGATAAACCTATATGATCATTAGCCATGTGAATTTTGATGTTAAAGTCATAAATAGGGCAATAAATGGACGCTCACCTAGCATGCAACACATTCCTTTGAATCTCAAGAAGCGTTTTGTCCTCAGCGGCCACACCATTGGGTGTTGTTGGGGACACCCAAGATAGGCAAGGTGTAACAGATTGCTCGAATCCATAAAGCTGAGCTTGAAGTTCGACCACAGCATCTAGGCTGTGATGGATGTTCAACCCAGCAGGCACGGATCCGTCAACGCTGGTGTCCCGGTTAAGCCATGG